CTCACTTTTAGTTATTACAGACATGCCAATACATATTTGAATTATTCTAGTACTTTCCTTCATATATCACTAGCTATTCGCCCCGGCTTCGCCCGAGTGTACACGTATTATACATATGAACCTTCCTCTTGAATCACTCTATTAAAATAAACCGCTTCAAAATCCGTTGCGTAGTTTTAAAGATCTAAGCATATATAGGGACGGGCAAACAGCGACAGCGACTTTGTTTTATATACTATGCAATGATTTAATAAAATTTACATATAGATATGTAGATCTCATTGAGTTTCTTTTTAAATATATGGTAATAGAAGGTGCCCCCGCCTACGTTAATTACTGGCGGGGCACCACTGGAGGTGGTATATTTATCAGATTATAATTAGAATGGTTTCTATGGGTATGTAATATTCTCTTATCTGTGCTATGGGGGACCGCGTTTTGGTGGATATGACACCATGTGGCATATGGCAACATTACACATATTGCCAGCAATGGGCTCACTAGCCCTATTATTAACAATTTTCTTCTCCCTTTTAGTTCCATTACTAGATGACTGTTAAGTGACAGACATGCTTTTGTTTTGAAGTATTGTAATGGCAGTTATATTGGCCTTTACCATACGCAACGACGGTGAGTACAAAGGCTCATTGCTGAGCAATACTTCATGTAATCTGAGTTCACCGAGTATACGATGATGAATTACCGTTTTACAAATTCACTTCACTTATAGTTTATAAACTTTCAAACCTATCAACATAGAAAATATATACAATTTATTGAAATCAAACCTTAGACTATACGTTAGTGAGGAGAGTCCGCACCGACTAATCACTATAGTTGTCAAGGGGGGGATGGGATTGTTATCGTTATAATTTCATGGTGAACTTGTCACGATGGGCTAACTGACCTGACCTAATCACTTTATCATCCTGCATTGGTGCCCCGCCAGGGTAAATCTTTAACGCAGGCGTGAGCAACACTGCATTATAAAAAGGTTAATTAAGGCTGTACTATGTAACATTATGTTATCTGTGTCTGTAGGAAGAGGAAATTAATTTATTGTATTTGTTTTAAAAAAAATGTGTCACAAGCGTTGTCTAAAATATTTTGGTTGTTCTGTAAAGACGTTAAAAAATCTTTTATCCTATTTTTCTTGTAAAACCTTCAATGCATTCCTCGTTAACTACTGGCTGCGCCGTAGACTTTGTCCACGTGTAATAGTGATCTTGGGTAGCAGTTTTAATTATTTAGGCTAATTATTTTACTAATAAGACATGCGTCATATCATTCTAGCTTAAATAATGACGAATTTCTGTACAAACTTTCACCCCTCATTTTATTTTACTCCCTTAAGTGTAATTTTTTGTACACTTTGAATCTCATATTACCTAGTATAATATGATGTCGCTGCGCTATCTGTCCCTATGTACGCTTAAATCTTTAAAACTACGCAACGGAATTTGAAGCGTTTTTTTAATAGATAGAGTGATTCTAGAGGAAGGTTTATATATAGTAAATGTACCCGCGAGAAGCCGGGGCGAGTAGCTCGTTTATTTATATTTAATAAACAATAATATTCAAGCTTCTGGCTTTAAATACGACTATCCCTTCATACCACATTTCATCTCCCCTTTTAACCCATTACAACCCTTATTTCGCATTAAAATGTAGACTATATCCTTTCTCAGGGTCTAAACTATCTATGTACCAAATTTCATTTAAATCTGTTCAGTTGTTTTGACGTTTAAAGCGTGACAGACAGAGTTACTTTCGCATTTATGATATTAGTACGGATAGCAATTCTTTCTACATTATATAAGGTCGCCATATAAGGGTGGTACTCGTTAGGGAACCAATAGGTATGACATTTGAGTGTATACTGACTGTTTATTATTATAATCAATACTTATATATTACTTACTTACTAAGTACATTTATCCTTACACCAACATGGTAAATTAACTGTAAGTTTATATTGTGGTAATTAACTAAATAAATAAAAAAATCGATACATATAAATAAGATTAGAGTGTTTGTTTGTAATATTGAAATAACTGTTTTTTACTACATGCATATGAATATAAATACGGTACATACACCAAAATAACATTTTTTACAATTTTTGTCTGTTTGTCTGTCTGTTTGTTCCGGCTAATCTCTGAAATGGGTGGACCGATTTTGACGGGCATTTTTAGGCAGATAACTGATGTAATAAGGAGTTACTTAGGCCACTTTTATTTTAAAAAATAAAGTTATATTCCACGCAGACGAAGTCGCGTGTACAGCGAGTAAATAAATAAACCACTAGATCACCGAGGCCGTCACCAAAATAGAGTATTTACCTAGATTCTAATTTAGTTACCATTCATTAATTCAGGGGCAATCAAGACAAATTTCTCATGCAACCTTCATTTAACTTGTTTCCAATGAAAAACAACATTACAATTATCAATTTTGTAGTATTTTTACTTGTTTATTTGTAATGACAAATAAACGGATCAGTCATGAATGCTGCTGCTTAATTGGTACGATTTTTAAATGGATAATAGAGGAATGGTGCACCGTTTTTGTTTTATCGGATTACTCTAATGCTATTGGCCGCAGCTGGCCTTTACAACTTCACTGGAAGATAGGCGGCGAGTGCAGATGGAACTCCAAACCCGCGTAAGGACTTTTTTTTTTTTTACGGATGATAATGGTATGGTGCACCCGCCTGCGCTATCGGTATACGCTGGCGGGGCACCAGTGGAGGGTGATAAGATGAATATGAGGTCAGGTCAGTTAGCCCAACGTGACAAATTCACCGGGTATTTATCACGATGGTTTCCAGGGGGAACCGCGTGGAGGTCGACCTGATATGGTACATTGCTAGCAATGGGGTCATTAGTCCACATTACTAACAATCCCCTTCCCCCCCGCGTAAGGACTTATAGAGCAGTTGAAGGACAAGTCCCGCCTGACACATATAACTTTAGTCTGAGGGCACCGCGCGAAACAGTTCGAACCTCGGCTCAGGCCGTTTTAATTTCGATCCCCATTTGAATTCGACGGGGGATTGATCGGAGAGGGCTGGTGCACCCGTCTGCGCTTACGGTATACGCTGTAAGACAACAGTGGAAATTATGCCTGATGGCGAACTTAATGTCTGATGGCATTTTCTACCAATCCACCGTCGCGTTGCTTAGAAATAATAAGACTTGACTAGACATTATCAAAAATGGATCCGTATTTCTGTAATTAGGAACAAACACTCTATCTCTATCGTACCTCTATCGTATAATATTGTAATGGGTGAAAACTGTAATTGGTACAGTTTATGCTGTGAATAATATAAATGACGTAGTGGAGTAACTTGAAACAGTCATCCTCGCTATAAAGTTCAAACTTGTGGCGGCGTGGTGGGTCGGGTCGATGTGCTCCCTCTAATATGGTCGAGTGCAATGATGGCTGGCTCATCCGACATACTCGTGATCGGGTGCTGCTTGTGGAGACTGGTCTGATCAGGTTGCGAACACTGATTAGATTTTTTGTTTTTTTTTCAATAGTATATGCTGGTGGTCACTCTATTCTCTCAAATTTGAAGTTAATGAATCTGTATCATTGTAAATATGTACAGCATTAAAAAAAATACGAGGTGAGTTTCTTGCCAGTTCTTCTCATCTCGAAATCATTCTGAACTGACGGTAGATTTGACATATCATAAGAGTCTGTAATAGACCTACATGAATAAAGATATTTTGAATTTGAATTTGAAAATTAAAACTGCAATGACTATTAAACACATTAGTATATATACCAACGATTGACAAAACGCCTACTGAAACTAAATAGGCAAAACCTCAAAATAATGATAGGGACAATAACGGGCCACTGTCCCTTAAACAAACACCTTTACACAATAGGTGCTACAGACAGTCCCCTTTGTCGGGGCTGCTTTGTAGTCGAAGAAACGGCTGCTCACGTAATCTTACAATGTGTAGCAGTGGCCATACAACGGACACAAATCCTCTAAACGGTGAGATCACTCCGTGAAGCTTGTGACAACACCGAAGATGTTTTTGGGAGGAGCTTAACTGGCTACTTTAGTAGTCTCGGCTCTACACGTACAACGGCCCAGACGAAAGACTGATTGCAGAAAATAGAGTCCAACTTACATTTACATTTTTATACCAACAGATCCCGATATCACGTTATCATGCGACGCCCGTCGTACCACTCTTGTGTTGCCATTCCGGAATTTTTTTATAAGATATCATACCCTGTTATTTCACTGCCTTAATTCTTCAAATTTCATTCAAACATAACTCAAAAAGCAAGCTGTATGTCGGCTGTAATATGTAAGATTCTATTATAATAAGTGATATACTGCATTGGTTTAAATAATCGATATTGTTTGTTAATTGTAATGAAACCTTCTAAAAACTTGTAATTAAAATTCATATCTATCTATAGATAGATCTACCTACCCTTTACCTTACGCAGAATGTACAAAGTCTGTCTCGAAAAAATATATTAAATAATGTTCTAATTTTAACATGAATATCCTATATAAATTAAGCATACACCATACAATAGGAATCATATCACACATCCTTGTAAATATAATCACGCGGTAGGTAAATGAACACGTCCAATATAAAACAGTTCAAAACTGAAACACCCGCTTCATTTCAAACCCGCCCGGTAAAGGAAACGGTTTCCTTAGCTTATAAAAAAAAAGTTTGTTAATTTGACGCGTTGTTCCTTGCATATAGAACTGTAGAAATAAAGTTTGTGTACAGTGACGATTATAATTTTAAATAAAAATAAAATGGCAGATTTATTTAGTTGATATTCAAATAAAAAATAATATCTAGTACGAATTATTATTTGTTAAGAAAAAGTGTTCCGCCAGTGTTTAACGTAATAAAATATTTTAAATTAAGAATTATAAAGTAAACATGTATAGACAATTCTGAACGGTTTATTATATCGAAAAATATATTAACTTTTTAATAAAAATGGAGGCAAATGAAACTTTGTACCAACATATTGGACTTCGGTCCCCGAACTTAACAAATACGACCGTGAATCTACAAGAAAATTTCGAAATTGACTTAGAAGACACCAACTGGATTTTGACTTCTTCGTTCATAATCTTCACTATGCAGACAGGCCAGTATTTATTTTTTATTTTTATAATAGACTTGGACATTAATAACAATAATAACTCAGGACAACTCACACAGCGCCATCTAGTCTCAAGCTAAGGAGAGCTTGTATTATGGGTACTAAACAATTGATACAAATACTTTATCCATTTTAAGTAAATATATAGTCATAAAATAGAGATAAAACACCTAGACCGATACAAATAATCATAATTATAAATATAAATGTTTGTATCGTGTTAGGAATCGAACCCGCTACCATCGGAAGAAATCGGCGTGCTGAACCACTAAACTTCCGAACCTATTAAAAAACACGTATAACAAAACCTAATCAATCTTCTAAACTTATTTGAGTACTTATAGAAATCTACTTAATAAATACAATAAATGTGACGACCTCAATGGTCAAGTGGTTTAGCACACCGCTTTACTTCCAATTGTCGCGGGTTCGATTCCTAGCACGGAGCGAACATATGTATTGATGCTTGAATGTACAAAAAATATCTATGTATTTATATCAGTTATCTAGTATCCATAACACAAGCTCTACTTAACTTAGGACTAGATGGAGCTGTGTGAATTATACAAGAATATTATTGTTGTATAGACTAAAATATCGCCAAACCGATATGCACAGTAAAAAATATAAAAGTTAAATCCTAGTATAACTAACCTTCCAATAGAAATTCTTAAAATGATAACGAATATCATATTAAAATCGGTTGCATCTACAAAATAAATTAGGAATAAATTTCTTATTATTTATATATATTACGGGTCCTTGAAATTGTACATTATTTTTATTTTTTTTAAGATAAAAAACAAGAATACATTTCGGACAAATTATTTCAGTAAATATTATGTTATCTGTGGTACTACGTAAAAATATAACGAAGTTTAATAAGCGTAGCTATTACCAGACTTGCTGGCATTTATTTATTTATTTAAGTGTCCATAGACAAGATGAAGCACTCCCATACACATACACTTGGACCCAGAGGGGTCCGGAGACTTCTATGGTCTCCGGACCTCTCTGGGTCCAAATAAGTGTATGTTCATGAAGAAGGACTACTCTCCGAAGCGTTACCGTGGCAGATTGCCATCGTTAGTGTCATGACCACACAGACTACTTATAATTATGTTTTATTTATATTTTACTAGCTGTCCCGCGCAACTTCGTCTGCGTCACACTTACTTGACATTTATCATTATATTTCGCCCAATTTACATAATATCTTATTGAATTTGCCTATGTGTTATTCTGATGTACAAGCTATATTACTGTAAAATTTCATCAAAATCCGTTCAGTAGTGTTTGCGTGACAGAGTAACAAACATCCATCCATACTCACAACCTTTCTCGTTTATAATATTACTAGCTTTTACCCGCGGCTTCGCTCGAACGTTTTTTTTTAATAAGAAGTATCCTATGCTCATTCTCTAAGAATATGTGTACAAAATTTCATGATGAGCCGTTCAGTAGTTTATGCGTGAAAACGTAACAAATATCCGTACTTTAACATTTATAAATTATAATATTCGTAAGGATCACTTCATGTGTATGTTAGTCTAGAAGGTATATATAATATGGACCATTAGTAGTCTGAAATAAATAAATAGATTGAGTAATACAGAGATAGGCCAATTCAGCGACTTTCTTTTAGATAATTTATTATAGATATACATATAAATTTGACATGTTTCATCAGGTTTCGGCATGCTGGAGTCAGGATGCGTGTCGATAAAGAACGAAGCCAACATAATGATGAAGAATTTGGCAGACATCTCTTTAGGAGGTAAGTACTTTCGCCTATACACTTAATAAAACTCCTAATAATACACCTAGATAATCCACACAACGCCATCTAGTCCCAAGATAAGCAGCTTGTAATATAAGTACTTGACAACCAATATAAATACTTAGATTATTTTTAAAATACATACATAATAAACCACCCAGACTCATAATAAACAACCAGGTCATGGTGAACTTACCACGATCTGCAGATCTGACTGATCTGACATCATGTTCATCTAATAATACTGTTGCCCCACCAGCGCAAACTGTCAGCACAGGAGGGATGATAATTTCATGCTGTGCATGTGCAATGCTGAATGCATAAGAAAAAAAATGTTCTCGTGTTCTTGTTTTTAAGTCAACAAGTGTCCCGTTCAAAAAAAATAATGGACACGTCAAATCTCATTTAGAAGCGAATCACGTACCGTAATATGGGTGTAGTCTTATCAACTGTCGGACATTAATCACTAACATGGATGATCATAGAATAAATTAGATATAATCATTCATTGGTGTCAAATAAAAAAATCGGACCATAATTTATGATATAGTATATGCACGCAAAATTAGAAACAATGTCTGCGAGAGTACCTTTGAAAGAACTTTGCCTCACCTATGTATTTTAGCTGCCAGACAGCTTTGTAAGTTGGTCTGTTTTTTCTTATGGATGATAATGTGCCTAGTGCCGCCTGCGCTAACGATTTGTGTTGGCGAAACACCTGTGGATGTGGATGATAACATGAGAATGAAGTAAGGTCAGTTTGCTCATCTTGGCAAATTCACCAAGAATTTATCACGATGGTTTCCAAGGGGAACCACGTGGAGATCAACCTGATATGGCACATTGCTAGCACTAGGCTATCAGTCCACGTTACTAACAACATTATAAATGCGAAAGTAACTCTGTCTGTCTGTCTGTCGCGCTTTCACGCCAACACTATGAAATTTGATACACCGGAGGTCTAGACCCTGAGAAAGGACAGGAACAAATGCTGTAAGGGGTTGAAATGGGAGATGAAAGGTTGTATGAAATTTCGGCATTCGTCATCTATTCCACGCGGACTAAGTCACGGGCACAGCTATGAATAAAAAATGGTAATATTTATATTCCAGGCTTAACGTACTGGATTTTCGGTTACGGCATGTCATTCGGCGAGGGTCCGATGTCTAATCCCTTCATTGGTGTGGGTGACTTCTTGGTGGACCCTCCAGTGGGAGATGCCCTCATGGGTCCCGTCTTCGCCTCCTTCCTGTTCCAGCTGTCTTTTGCCACTACTGCCACTACTATAGTCAGCGGTGCTATGGCGGAAAGGTGAGTAACATGAACATAGTTTTTTAATCAGTCATCCGGTGAATCTGTAAACGCCAGCTGCGGCTAACAGCTTTAAAATAGTCCGAAAAAAACATTTTTAATTAATTTAAATTTTTTGGCCCAGATTAGCGCGGTGTAAAGAAGCTAAATTAATTTTGTTAAAACTGACTGTCAAACGCTTTACGCTTTATGCTTTGTGGGCCAACTACACACAACGCCTTAACAACGCAAAGTATAGCAATAAATAACCCTGGACAATTAACACAGCGCCATCAGTAAGCAGAGCTTGTGGTATGGGTTGGGACAACTGATATAAATACTTAGATGTATATTTTTTTTTAATAAATACATGCCACATATACATAGAAAACAACCAGACCGATACAAACAATATAAATGTTTACACCATGCGAGGAATCGAACCCGAGACCATCGGTAGTAAAGCTAGACCCTTTTTTCTTTTTCGGACTACTCTAATGCTGTTGGCCGCAGATGGCCTTTACAGCTTCACCGGACGTTAGGGGGCGAGTGCAGATGGCACTCCAAACCCGCGGAAGGACTTATGGAGCGGCTGAAGGCCAACTCCTGCCCAACAGATACCACTTTAGTCTAAGGGCTCCACTAGGGGATCGAACGTCGGCTCAGGCCGTCGTAATATCGATCCCCGTTTGAATTGGACGGGGGATCGATCGGAGGGGATAAAGCTAGACCGCTAGACCACCGGGATTTCAGGATGTTGATGGGGCTGCCGGGTGCATCTGATATGTTCACTCTTGCACGAAAAGATGACATTTTATGGCTGTGCAGAGCAGGACTAATAGGACCAGGAGAAAAAATATATTTTACTAATAAATGAGCCATTGATGCCAAAATAAACATTTTTATTATTATTAATTAAATAATAATAGCAATCAAGCCGATGGTCTCTGTAATTCATGAACAGCACGTCTTCTAGAAAATACTTTGTAACGCCATATCTATTGCCGTTTCTGACCTTTAAATTTTTCCCTTAAGTTTAAGGGGAATTCGTTACATATACCTTACCTTTTTATTATTTTTTTTTAATATACCTTTTGCTTTGTTTCTCCACCAGATGCAACTTCAAAGCGTACTGCATGTTCTCGTTCCTGAATACAATCGTGTACTGCGTGCCGGCGGGCTGGGTGTGGGGGTCCCATGGGTTCCTCAACAAGCTGGGCGCTGTGGACATCGCCGGCTCCGGGCCTGTCCATCTAATTGGTATGTGTCTTTCCTTTCATATCTTTAACGTCTACATCTAAAGATTGTCTGGAAGAGATAGTTTAGCAATAAGACTGTCTTTTGTGTCAGTTTTTTCACCGACAGACAGTTTTTTTTTATAAAATTAAAATTTTAAATAGGTACCGTATATACTTTTATTTCATCTCATTGGTATATGTCTTTCCTATGTTTCTAGGTACTCTTTCTCTCATATCCTTACCATCGACATAAAGGTAGGAAGAGGTAGTTTAGCAATAAGACCGCCTTTTCAGTGAGTTTTTTACCGACAGACAAATAGTAAAAATATTTTTTTGATGTAAGTACCGTAGGTATATACTTTCATAGGCATTTGTTGAAAAACTGGTAATTTGAAACTACATACAGACACTTCAATTTCATATACATATTTGCATAGATAATAAATCATATGCTATAAGAATAAATAGCCGTACTTAAATGTAGACTAATATAGACTTCTATATCTATTATCTACATATAATCCGTTGCGTAGTTTTAAAGATTTAAGCACACATAGGGACGGACAGACTGCGACAACGTTGTTTTATACTATGTAATGATTATAACGTGTCCGACTGTTTGCAACCGCGTCGATACGCACAAGCCACGCTAGCAATTCTCCCACTATGAGAGCATTGCAATTATTAAATTTATTTTTAGGTAAGGTCCAAGATGCTGACGTTTATGCAGAAGCCTTGCCTTCCATAATTACTAAAATAAGAATATTTTTATCATTGTATAATTTTAAGTAGTATAAATAGGTTTAAAATATAAACGTGTTGGCAATTAGCTGTAAGTTTATATTGTGTTAATTAAATAAATAAATAAATAACAAATATGTGAATAAATAAGTGGCGAGAGAATATCTCAAATGTTGAGGTGTTCTGATAAAAGAGTCTAAATATTTTTGTATATGGAATTTTAATTTATACCCGGTGTCTTTTACATTCAGGTGGATCGTCGGCGTTTGCATCAGCCCTCATGCTGGGACCTAGATTGGGTCGATATGCAAACGGGAACGCTCCCTTACCACTGGGGAACCCAGTCAATGCTGTCATGGGAACGTTTGTACTATGGTGGGGATGGCTGGCGTTTAACTCCGGGAGTACTTATGGAGTGAGTATACTATTCTTACTTCTTACATATTACGCCGACCCCAAATAAATGCGATAAGGAAGAAGCAAATGATGATGACACTTTTACCCTCTAGTGAAACCCAAGAAGGGTTTCACTAGAGGGTAAAAGTGTTTCTTACATATGTTTTTTTCCTTTTTTGTTAATCTTAAAAGTAATCTATATGTATATATAATAAAAGTGAAACTGCCTGTATATGAAAAATATATGACCAAAACTATTATTGGCAGTCTTTATCAATCTAATAGAACCCAACACAATGATTAACAAAAATGCACAGACGAACAGAAAAAAATACTAACAATAATTGTGTTGGGTCTTATATTTTTCATACACAGACAGTGTCACGTTTATTATATGTACATATATAGATTACTTTTACAAACTAACATAAATACAGCACAAATCATCATGAATATTCAATTTCAATTGCGTCTAATTTGCAAAATGTTCTCTTAATGACAACTAGCGTGCTACAAATTACCGCCATTTTGTTTAACTATACCTATTTTAAAATGGCCGTCAATTACGGGAACACGGATGACAGAGTATGTTGAATAATTTAATAGTAATTGAGTAAAGACTATTAAGCATTCATGCTTGGAGATAAATCGACTTGTTTGTCATGTATCCTTGCTTTTATAGGAATGTTTCTTGAGCCCTTGTAATACACAGATCCGGATTTGCCATGACGGGCCCATAGGCAATGCAATTATAATCCTCAGTGAAAAAAGTGTTGAATAGAGTCCATTTAATTATATTTTATATGTACATTTTGATATAATACTTCTTAAATACATTTCTTACAGCCGTCACCCGCCCATATTCTCAGTTCTAAACTCGATACTGAATGATTTTGATCTATAAGTAAGAATTACTAGCTGACCCGCACAACTTCGTCTGCATAACACATGTCACTATATTTCGCCCAATTTACATTATATAATTTTAACTAAAAGCATATATGTTATTCTGATATATAGAATATAAAAGATAAAATATAAATGTTAGGAGTGGATGACCCTTATCACTTAGGGATATGAAAAATAGATAGTAGCCGATTCTCAGACGTACTGAATGTGCACATAACATTGAATAAAAATCGCTCAAACCGTTTTGGAGCAGTATGGTGGTAACTAACATTGTGACACGAGACTTTTATACATATCTTCATGTTTATAGCGAAAGAATAGTTTTGATATAAGTCAAAACCATTCTCTCGCTATATGACTGTAAGATGACTTTTTTTTCGAACTACTCTAACATTGTGACTCGAGAATTTTATATATTATATATTGATCTTGCCTTTAAACTAATGAAAGGATTGCCATGTTAAAAATTATAAATTAAAATAATTTTAAACATGCGAGGGATACCGTTGGTCAAGTTTTGTTTTATTTATAGGTAAGCGGCGCCAAGTGGCAGTATGCAGCTCGCGCAGCAGTCATGACCATGATGGGATCATTCGGTGGCGGGTGCTTCGGACTTCTGTAAGTATACATTTCTATTAATAAGAGATTATTTACTCTCCGAGAAGATACTATAACACGCGCGTATTATACATATAAACCTTCCACTTGAATCACTCTATCCATTGCTGAAAACTGCATTAAAATCACAGTAAGACCTTGCTTAACGTGGAGGATACGTTCCATGAAGTTCCACCGCTAAACAAAATAGGGTTAAACGAGGTCTTACTGTAGTATCAAACAGTGCAAATATAGATATTTGTAACTCTTTCTTTCGTTTCTTGAACCATTTCTTCGACGTTCTCTAGGAGAGCTAAACCAAAACAACGCCAAACGAAACAGCTTTAAGCGAGGTATTACTGTAATCTTTAATCAAATAAACTTAATATAAAAACTTTTGAATAGTCTATTTTTTTTTTTATTCTACCACTCATTCTGAAAGCAGACACATCACAAGAATATGTATGAAACTTGCGTATTGCTTTTTTAAATAAATGTTATTCTAGGTAAATATGTATTAAGAAGGATTAGGCATGCGACAAAAAATATAGAAACCGCTACGCACTCAATCTTTATTCAATCAGACAACATTATCAGCACTATGATTTTTAAGTGTTTCTACAAAAACATTATTATCATTTATAAACTCTTTTTTTACAAAGAAAATGTTTTAAAGGATATTTGAATCTTTTTTTGGCAAATTGTGGACAGACTCTAGCAGTTTGTTGTAAAACCTTACACTAATTCCATATAAGATATTGTATTCTGTTTTATTCAATAGATTTACACTGATAAGGAACAAGGGTAAAGCAGAAGTAATGGATCTCATTAACAGCATCTTAGGAGCACTGGTCTCTATAACTGGTAAGTGTACCAACATGAGAATATCGTGGTACAGTGGTTTGATACCCTGAATTACTGCTCGTGTTTTCAAATCCGGCCAACATAAAAATGCTTATATCATTTATCTCCTAACTATCCGGTATTGTGTACTTTATTAACTTATGTAATTGTTAAATATGTAAGTTTATTTTATTGTTTTTTTTTTATTTTAAAATTAACATTGAATATAATAATAATAATCATCTTTATTTGTCTCAAATAAAAAGTAATACTATTGCTGCTTATATAATAACTAATAGACCCGGTCATGCGTTGCTGTGGCTAAGGTTAAATAATATTACTACTATAAATTGAAATGTAAGCTATCCTATCTTTCAAGTTGGATCAAATTGCACACAATGTGCAAATCAAATTTGCAATCGGTACAGTAGTTTAGGAGTCCATCGCGGACAAACAACGTGACACGTAATTTTTATAAACGGTCTACAACTCAGAGGGGGCAGTGAGTCTACCCTCTCTGCTATTCTGTCGACGACGATAGTACTTAAGTTCTAAACTATTACTAAAAATGTAAACATACAACATATTGTGGTTACCGAATAATTAAAGTGTATATTTTAAAAAGTAGCCAAAATTTTACATAGTGATTTAATTTTTTTTTTTTGATTCGAGTTTTTTTGTTCATTTTCTAAGAAAATGTACTATATTACTATTTTATATATACACTATCAGACAGCAGAAATTTGAACGAACAAAAATCCAACAAACACAACAGTTTGTATCGGTCTGGGTGTTTTCTATGTACATTATGAATGTATTTCCAAAAAAATATCTTAGTATTTATATCAGTTGTCTAATTCCCATAATACTAGACTTACCGTGGGACTAGATAGCACTGTGTTAATTGTCTAGGTTTCTTTATTTATTATTATTTATTATATTTCAGCTGGATGTTTTCTATACCGCTCCTGGGAGGCGCTTCTTATTGGCATGATAGGTGCCGCTATAGCCTCTATCTCTGCACCACTGTTTGATAAAATGGGAGTGGACGACCCAGTCGGAGCCTCTGCTGTACACGGCGCTTGTGGCATCTGGGGTAAGTATTTAATAGACTCTAAAAAAACGTAGAACCTCCCCCTTTTTTTAAGATGGCTAATATAATATTTTTATGTATTTTTTTTTCTGACGACATCGATGGTCTAGTGCAGTTTTTACTCGGGCCATTCAGCATTAATAAAACTCTTGACTCAACGGTTTTTTTTCTTAGTCAAAATGTTCTGTACTCTTAACCTTTTCAAAGTAAAAATGCATAGACTCCGCTCTGGACATTATCCATCGGCAAAGTTTGCATACCTGATGAAAAAAAGCAATTCACAAAATTGTGAAGTATGTGGTCCAATAGAGGATGTTCATCATTTGCTGATGGAGTGTGTCAGGAACGAGAGTCTACGACATAGAATAACGTCAGACCATGAAATAAATATATTAGATGTTGGTGCCATACAAACTGTTTTAGCCGATCCTTCGGGCGGTGCGGCTAAGGCAATTTGTTCACTGGTGAGGTAATGGAGTGATTGGTTTGAAGAAATTAAAAAAAAAACCTTTTCAATATTTTATTTAGTAGTGTAAACATATATTGTTTACACTACTAAAAAAATATTGAAAATTATAATAATAATAATAAACTTTCTATTGTGTAAATTATGTATGAAATCATGAACACAAAACATAACAAAAAATCCATAAATAGGAGTATGATAATATACGTTTAGTTGGGCGTCATTTATTTTCCGATGATACCTACAACTTAGCGTGGGTCAGCTATATTAGCTGACCCACGCAACTTCGTCTGCATTGCACTTACTTTACATTGTATCTTTTTAAATTATAGCCTATGTGTTATTATGATGCATAAGCTATATTACTGTAAAGTTTTATCAAAATCCGTTTCGTAGTTTTTGCGTGAAAGAGTAACAAACATCCATCCATACTCACAAACTCGCGTTTATAATACTACTATTAAGATTAAAATATAACTATAGTTGAACTTTTTTACACGTGTTATATTATTAATGGATAATGAAATATTTTTCCTCCTTTCCTTCCATTATATGAACCATAAGCTTTATAGCTAAAAAAATATATTTTCAATTTCTTTCAGGTGTCATAGCGGTTGGTCTCTTCGCTGACAACCCAATTCCCTTAGAAACAACCAACGGCAGATCTGGCCTCTTTAAAGGTAAAGTAATTATCGTAATTTACCAAGTAATTGTATTGTAATTGCCAAATGAGTAATTATTTGACTATTTCTTCGTAAAAGCTTCGTCAGGGAATTCATCCCAAGACGCTGGAACCTAAGTGGTCTCGGACAGCGCCGTGGAGTGCCGAGTGCCAGTGCCGAGGAGCTTCCCCCTGTGTACACTACATTGTGAAATGAAGAAACCTACCGAGGTTTTCTCGAGAGAGTACAGCATGGGGTTTTATAAGAAGGATATGTTAAGGGGTGAATTACCTACCAGGGTTTTCGCGTTTTGGGGTTTTACAAGAAGGGTATATTAGGGGATCAATTACCTGCCGAGGTTTTCTCTAGCAACTATTTCTGGTTTTCAAGATGGGTATATTAAGGTTTCTTAAGTGTCGGCGACACGCACGTAACACACCGGTGTTTCTGGCGTCCATAGGCTACGGTAACCGTTTACCATCTGATGGGCCGTATGACTGTCAGCCACCATCGTAGTATAAAAAGAAGAATTAGATTATGCAATTGACTGAAACTTAGTGATAGATCTAGTATTAGAACATTTTTAAAATCTATTAAATAATCATTAACTTTCACAATGTTGAGATATTCTTTATAATTATTTATATAGATTCAGTTGAGAATACAACATACAAATACTCCATCCAATAAGAAAGAAAAAAGTGAAAAGAGTTTAAATGGAAAACAACGTTTGCCACATAAACTAGTTATTTTTATAAATATTATATTATATTATATTATATTATTATTATTATTACTTCTATTTCTGGGTTATTTATTTGACGATTTGACTCGGTGGTCTAGAGGTAAACGAAACCGCTTTTCTTCCGATGGTCGCGGTTTCGATTCCTTACACGGCACAAACATTTGTATTCATGAGTATGATTGTTTTATATCGGTCTGGGTGTTTTCTATGTGTATAATATGTATGTATTTACGAATAACAACTATGTATCTGTATCAGTTATCTAGTGCCCATAATACCGGCTTTAGCTAGCTTATCTTGGGACTAGATGGCGTTGTGTGAATTGTCTAGTGTTATATATTTATTATTTCTATTAATTTTATAATAATTGCCAGGCGGTGGTTGGTACCTCCTGGGAGTACAAACCCTGACGGCCGTATGCCTGATGACGTGGGCGGTCGTGGTGACGATGGCACTTCTATGGATCATCGACAAAGTAATGCCGATCAGAATGGACCCATATGAGGAACTGCTTGGAGCTGATTTAACCGAGCACAGAATACGACACGGACAGGTAACTATAGTGCCCTATTCTCTTTAACTAATTTTAAAAATGAATCTGTATTTTTTAATCATGTACCTACAGGATCATTTAAAAAGAATAAGTCCTGAATTTCTCCTGCGCTAACGGTTTATGCTGGCGGGGCACCAGTGGAGGATAATAAAATGAGCATGAAGTCAGGGTGAGTTAGCCCATCTTGGCAAATAGCAGTTTACCATGATGGTTTTCAATGGGAACCGCGTGGAGGTCAACCTGACATAGTACATTCCTGATACTGGGGTTATGAATTCACATGTCTAACAATCCCCTTTCTATGTATATTTTGTGCATTTACAAAAAAAAAGTATTTATATCATTTTTTTATTACCCATAACACAAACTTTGCTTAGCTTGGAACTAGGTGACGCTGTCTGAATTGATTTGGCCAGGGCTATTATTATTAAAAGGACGTATTCATTGAAACCGTCATTGTATAAACACAAAATTTAAGTAAACTTTATGTAACTTTATATTCCTTCCATTAGGTTGGAGTGTCGAGAGCTGTATCAGCGTTACGGCCGTACCATCGCTCCAACAGCGTTGAAGAAGTAGGCGGCATTGGAGTCAACACCGGCCATAGCTTGGTTGTTGATAAACTCAAAGAGGTTGGTACCATTACTACTAAGAATTATAGTAATATACATTTTTTTCGGATTACTTGAATGTTAGATATTTTTTAAACCATTCGAGTGATTTTTCAACCATTTTTTAAAACCCATGAAATCAATATGCTAATAAATTTTCTGTTTGTACCAGATGCAAACAAATCAAAAGAATGGAGTGGCCCTTCGCATGTTTACCAACAATGCTTTCGTAAACGATCAAAACCATGAAGGCACATATAAAAATGGATTTTTGAACAAACGTCCTGGCAACCCTGAGAACGAATTGCATAGAGCTCTCGACTCTATGGCGCACGAATTGAATGGCGCGAAATTTAAACATGGCGGACCGTCAACATCTGGGATTGCGCCAAACATAGAAAGTATTAAAGGAAAAAAGTTAAGGGAATTATCAGCGATGGAATTGAAGGATGCTGAAGAATTAAATGCTAGTCAAGACAGGTTTAGACATAGATTTGGGGAAAATGATTATAAGAGAGATGTTATTTCCGCTAATACCCATCTTAGATGGGTTGATTAGTTAATTAGAAGTTGTATTGTAGCTTTACTATTTAGTATAGTTAGTAGTATGCTTTTGTACATTGCTTTTGTTATATTTTAAATTTGGAATATTAAATTCTTTATTCAAATAAAATTAAATCTAAGCTCTTTTGAATAGTCATAGTTAATACACCAAGAAGGAGTATAAAACTTGAGTGTTGACTTTTAATGCATTGTGTAACATTACACTTTTAAGTTGAAATGTACAGACTACTTATGTGTTTTAGGATATTTATGGAAGGGTAATCCATAAACTACGTCACTCAAATTTCGGATATTGCTGCACCCTTAAAAATGTGTTTTAGTACTAAAATATGAGCGCTCCGTGTTTCATTTCATTTTTTTGCACTAACTTTGCACCTTCTTCACGTTTGTTAAATCCAATAACTCTTTGACGCCCCCCTTTTCTCCTCCCCCTAAACGTATAATTTATGGATGTCCCAAGTGATAAAAATATATATTGTTGTACATATTAATGATTGTAAATAAAACAACGGTTATACAAAAATAAATTAGTTTATTTCAATACTTATATTAATAAATAAAAAAATAGTAATACTTTAAACATAGTTAAGTAATTGTTTTAAAATAAACATTACTTTATTTAGTTTTAAACTTTCACGTTCAAGTTTTAATACGAATATTTTTATAGTGAAGATACTCGTATTTACCTCTCACGACATTTCCACAAGGTTGCACACTTCCGTAGCCGTGGTCACGAGTTGTATGTCTAATTTATAGTATATATTATTGAATTTAAATTAGTTGTTTATTGTTACCATTGTTTCAAAACTTACTTCGGAATGCCGCAGAAAGTATATATTGATTCATTCGAGACCACGTCTAAAATTATTCGTTTTAAAACCATTAACTATATTAATAAACCGTAGTTCAACAATGATTTTGTTTTTGAAAATTTTAAACAACAGAATTATTGTACCAATGACTAATTTCTGTGGGCAGAGCCTTGAAATTCTTCACAGCCTCGTTAATATCATCTATGGGCACGGCTAGAGTGTATAATTTATATTCCTTCTGCACTCGACTGGCTGTGGTATCACTTGAGTTGTATATAGAGTCAGTATTTCGTACTGGAAGTATTATTTCTAAAGCTTGTAGATGTTCGAACGCTTTCAGTATGACTGGCCTGGGGACGGTTTGCGTTGACGAATTGGCGTTTGCGAATTTTGTATACCTATAATTAAAATAAAACACTGGATTATTGCTAGAAATGTTGTGATATTTTTTAATATCAGGAAGATCCGTCATGGAAACCTATTCATCATAGAGATGAGTGTATTAGATACACACGTATATTTTACAACATTTTTAAATAAACTCAACCATAAAACATGATGACGTGGCGGCGAAGCGACAGTGATGCACATTGTCGCACTTTCTGTTCAGTTCCACTTTTTGAAATCAGTGCACTGCCTACTGATTGGTGCCACGCGGCTGTCACTTCGAAATTTTGTATAAAAGTAACAAATAAGTAAGTATATTTATGTTTGTTAATAATGGTTGACTTTCTTTCTTTAAAATAGTGCGGTAATGTAATGCGTGCGTGCGTTGTAACCATAAATAAGTCTATTATTTACGTTTACAACGCACGCATGTTTTGTAAGCCGCTTTATATATCGAAAACCGATGAAATTACATTCACTTTACGAGCAAGTGTGTTGAAAATAATAATAGTAATAATAACCCTGGACAATCCACACAGTGCCATCTAGACTCAAGCTAAGCAGAGCTTATGTTATGGGTACTAGACGACTAATATAAATACTGAAATACTTTATCTTCTAAATACATTCATAATTTACATAGAAAACACTCAGACCTGTGGATTATTGTTTGTATCAAACAATAATCCTCAAGTCGGAGTGTTTAGTATATGTGAAATATGTGTAATTAGTTATGTATCATAAATTAATGTTTAACCGCGTGAGGAATCAAACCTGAGATCATCGGAAATTAAGGCAGTGTACTAAACCGCTAGACCACCGAGATCGTCGAAATACAAAAGGATAAGGTACAGGTACTCAAGTAGATGACTTTTTATAAAGTCGACGGTACAAGAAATAATGGAAATTAAATTAAATAAGATGAGAAGAAATAAGTTAAGCATGAAGATAGTGATAAAAATGAGATGTAGAGATTACATTACCTATGTAGAACCATCTCGAAATTCATAGGCTGCCCATCAAAGATCTCCAACCCGTGTTTCATAGCTATAACCAGAGACAATTCTAGTATAGACAGTGACTGCAACAGTTTCACTCTATGCTCCGGGGCTACAGTTTTGTCTATGAACGTCGTCAGATCTGTTGCATCTATGTATGGTTTGTTTGGCGAAAGTTGACATACTAACTGAAACTAGAGAAAAATAGAAATAATCTTTATTCAAATAAAAACAATACAAGTTTTGAATAGTAATATTTTTTTATTCCTCTACTCATTAAGAACGTAAATTCATCGCAAGAAGAATAAGCAAGAAACTTGTGTGTTGCTCTTTAAAAAGATTTATTAAAAAAAGTCACTGGTTGATACTTTTACCTCGTCTGTATTTTTTCGTAAACTATTATAATCTATTAATAATATCTCAGGACACACAGTGCCATCTAATCCCACTGCAAACAGATCTTGTGTTATGGGTACTTGACAACTGTTACAAATACATAGATACGTTTTTATTGTAAATACATATGTAATAACATAGAAAACACCCAAGCTAATACAAAGTGCGAGGAATCGAACCCGCAGCCATCGCAATTAAAGCAGTTTACTAAACCACTAATAATCCCATTCCCCGACATGCTTTTATTAAAGTCCATTATGATAACTCACCAGAATATTCCTGTATATCTGTTCGTTGGCTGTATAATAACAAAATTTCTCTATTGAGTCAGTAACAATGTCACTCATGGCTAACGCCGCTATATGGGAATTCCAGTCTTCTATATACCCTGGATCCAGTTCAGCAAATTGTCGTACATCCATTTTACATCTTTCCAATACTTCTGTTGGTATTGAATATTCATTACTTCTGTCTACCTCCATTTCTTCTATGTATGCTGAAACAATATAATTTTTTATTTATATGTCAATGCAAAGTAGTCCGTTGTCTAGCGGTTTAGCACAACAATTTATTTTTATTATCGCAGATTCAATTCCTCACATGATGCAAACATTTGTATTTATATATATGATTGTTTATTTCGGTCTGAGTGTTGTATGTGTATATTTTTTAATAGATGATAATGAAAGAAAGAATGAAAGTAAAAAAAAGGGCGGCTATTGGTCCACATTATTATTTACACATTATATTTGAATGTATTTTTTGTCTTACCTGATTTTTTCCCTTTTACTTTTCTCTTTCTAGGCGTTTCCATATCATCCCTCTTTCCCAAACCGGATGGCATGCTCAGCAAATCTACTAGCAATGCCTTAAGCAACTGTACAGGTGATTTCGAAGTAGAATTTGTATTATTTGCTTCTATATCTTCATTTGGAAACAGGAATATGTGTCGGTGCGAGAACCGTGACTTTACTCGTTTTTCCAGCAATTCCATAACATCTAGGCGATTTGTGACACCTAAAATAAGAATAACACTAATTTTTTAACCTCAAAATAATAAACATTTTCGATACAACACCTATAATAAGGTGCAATTCCAAGTGTTATAGCTATATATTAATTACATTATATTATGTCATACTCCATATGACATAAGAGAAGTGGCTGTACTAGTATGGAGAAGGAAAGCATTGGACAGAGAAACATGGAGTCTTTTGGAGGAGACCTATGTCTTAGGACAAGTTGACGAACCTGGCAGTGAAATAACAATAAATAAAACTAACACTAACTTTACCATCAGTAGGCTATAAAAATAATAATAATAATAATATCCCGCAGTACAGTGTGCCTTGTGGCAAAGGCCTCCTCTAATTCCTTCCAGTGTACTCTCATTTTGGGCTGCCCTTGTAAGTGGGAGAGAAAAAAACACTCACCTAAAACACACATAGGCGACTGCTTGCTATGTGTGATATCAAACAAGTTGTACAGCAATGTCTGTGTGCGGCCACTATGACAGAACATGTCAAACTCCTCCAATATGAACACCATACTCTTGCAGCGCCTATCAGCACCGCTTTGAAGACAGCTCAGCAAGAAGGAGAGGTTCTCAGCAAATGTACCAAAGACTCGGTCGCCAACAGCATTCTCCAGTTGCATCTAAAAAATACATTTGAATGTGACTGAAGTGTGACTTCATTTTGTGTCCTTTAACAAAAACTATTAGGGTTTTTTTTTAATCTATCCTATCTATTGCAGACTTGAACTATAAGAAGATTCTTGAGAGTGTTTTATCTGATAATGGAATTTTTCTTTCAATGGATGCTAATGGAATACTACACCCATCTATGCTAACGGTATTCTGGCAGGACACCAGTGGAGAAAGATAAGATGAGGTCAGGTCAGATCATCCTGACAAATTCACGAGAAATTTATCAGGATGGTTTCCAGGGGTCACTGCGTGAAGGTCAACTTGCATTGGTAAATTTCTAGCAATGGTGTTACCCATTACTAACATTCCTCTTACCCTGGAAAAAAATTTACCTTTCTATACACCCATTAGTGTAGACTTAGTAATGAACAGAATTTAATGCCCCAATGATTAAGTGTACTCCGTACTGAATCTTTGTGGTCACATACATGCTAATGATAATGATAAGGCCTTTTAGTCTAAAGGACACTTTTACTCAGAGACTGATGTGTAGTGTATTGTATTAGTAATGACCTGTTCATTAATGTATTATAGGCACAAAAGTCTATGAGTAAAGATGGACATTTGTTACTTTTTAACACAAAAACTACTAAACGGATTTTGATGAAAGTTTACAGTAATATAGTTTATACATCAGAATAACATATAGACTATAAATTTCATACAGCTGAAACCGCAGACACAGCAAGTGTATAATACTTATTATATTTATTTAAACTTTTATGTAAATATTTCAGTTTTGTTTTAGTGGTTCTTTCTGTTTTAATTTGGTTTAGAATTAATAAATAAAATACAATACCTGAGCTGTGATAGATTTCAGTGAAATTTTATCATCATGATGTATCAAACCATTCAATTTGACTATGATTGCATCACTCTCTATATCCACCTCCTTGGACAGTTGGTGAAGTACTGAATTTATAAGCTGTAAAGAGGTTAAAACAAATTAAACCTATTTGGAACTATTCTCATTCAAACACAATGAGAATTATTCATTTGCTAAATAAAAAAAATACTATCTGACTCTATGGTTATTCTGTAAGTGTAAACTAACATTATATAGAATTTATAAAAAAGCTGCCTGCATCAGTACCTCAGTCTCACCTATTTAAGCCACCAAATAGATTACTTGTAAGCTAGTAGTGAATAATAGCTACTTGTAAACACATTTTGTTTTTTAATTTGCTATCTGCAATCAGTATGGGAACTATAAGCAGATGAGTTGTTGGAAATTGCCATGGGAGGATCTCTATCTATTAACAAAGTACTTCATACTTCAGCTAGGCAGAAATCTTTCATCCAGTTCCAGGATATTTGCTCATTTTAGTCTGTTGGGTTAATGTGGTGAGACCCATGTCATGAGTCCTCTGGAATTGCAACACATGTGGGGAAACATCAATCCATGACGACGTGTTGTTCGCAGTGCTGTTCATGTATGCGATGGTTACAACATAACACAAGGGGGACGTAGTTTGTTGTCATTACAATTACATTTGGCATAAAAATGCAATTTGGAAAAGAATATATAACATTCCCGTCACTTACAGTAGTTTTGCCGCTACCTCGAGGTCCTATAATTAGAGCGGAATGAGACTCTCCTTGCAAGACAGTTCGTTTCATCAAATCGTAAACACTATTCTTCTCTTGGTTATGATTTTTAAACGACACATTATTTTCTATTATTTTTAACTTTAAATACTTCCTAATCATTTTAATTTTCACGTTATCGTTCGTCATTGTCATAGGAAAATCTAAAAACAAGAAGGCAATACACAATAACTGTATTAAAAAATAACGAAATAATGAAAGAAACTTCAGGGTTTGCAAAATAGGATTAAAGTTATTAAAATTAATAATATAATTAACGAATTACCTAGTAAAGTAAATATATAAATAAGTATTTGAAATAAAACTAAAGAACAAAATAAACAAGATATAACAAATAATTGAAAATTGAATAAACAATAAACAAAATTTCAGTAAACCCGCGAAGAAACCACAGACTGTTCACAGAACAAGATAATATAGAGAAAAAATAGTCAGGAAGGAATGAATGAAATAGATTGCATTCGTTCTATTAAATGAAATATTCAATTGCGTTTGGGTTTAAACTCAAATCGACAATTCGACTTTTACTGACTCTAATTATTTGAAACTATCTAATTGATTGAAATTGTAAATTAACTTAATATTAACAATATAGTTAATATTTAAATAAAAAAAAATCACTTGTGCAAAAAATTACGCATGCGCGCTTCAAAAATGTTACGATCAATATTATTGAAGGTACACAGGATATCAGATATCCAAAGATTTATCTCGTTGATAATTATCTTTAGATTTTTAATAGAAAAATATTTTATAATACAAATGAATAAAATAAAAGAAAACAATAATAAAAAAAACTTGTTCTTTATTAGAAAGTTGTATTACTAACTTGTAGCTATTCTTGTAACTAAATATACATTATTCTTGTAAACAAATATACTATAAGTATATTTGTTTACACGTAAAATAATGTAATAAGTGTTTAATAAAGGTAAAGTATCCAATATACCAACAATATATATCTATTTCACAAGTGTTAATAATAGTTATTTCAAATAATATCAAATCTTCGGAACGAAATCTCATGTATATTACATTCATTAATAATACACTTCTCTTTCTAATACATAACAGTACAATCACTCTGTCCTTTTCTTGACCTTAAACTCTGCAGATTTCAGAAAACAGCGCAAGAGAATATTCTCTTAGTTTGAAATGTAGTAACCACTGCCCGTTTACATAAAAAATACGTGAAATTAAAATAAAATCTAGTTTAACGGATCGATAATCATTAAATTGTTACATACCAATTCAAGGAAGTCATATTAATGATTTATTTTGAAAAATTAAGTGTTAGATTTCAATATACAGGGTGTAAAACAGCGTTATAAAATTAGACGAATGAGTTAAACGTGATTCGCAAGATGTGTGCAAATTTGTGCAATTTAAGCAATAGTGAATTTAAAGGTCACAAGTACGATATTTTTAATAATTTCTCGAAGTGAAATATTATAATGTTTTACTGTGAACAGTGCAGCAGGTTCTAAAAGTTCAATTATTATTCCCAATTTTGCACTCCACACGAGCAATAAATAATCACAATGTAATAATATATTATAATATTAGCAAGCAGCAGTGTAGCACCGCTTTTTTAGTATAAAATAACATATATTAAACGCAAAGCGCTAAACAATTTTCATGCTTTAAAATTGTGAGTCGTATTGTTATACTTAGGCTTATTTTTATTTAAATATTTACATTTTTTTCTGCTTATGTCGCCTGTCTATTATTTTACTTAATAAATAGATCTAGATCGAATTGGGCTTGAAAGATATATGAGAAGAAATATCTTCCAAGCCTAATATTCAATAAATGAAATAAAATTTATTGAAAGAAACCTGTCAATAGTTTTCTTAATTATAAAAAAAAAAAAATTAGCTTTGTGTGCATCTATTATAATTATATATTTCATATAAAAGAGATAAAACTGATAGTATTATAAACAGAACATTATATATTAAATGTATTGATTATTTATTAATTATTGGGCGGTCTACAAGAATAGCAGTGCACGAAAACAGAACTATCAGAACTCAGAACCAAGCAAATAAAAATTCTAATAAATGTCAATAATCTGCATCTGAGTGCACTATCTATTTGTTGAATTCTGTTGACATTTAATCTGTGGGTAACTGGATTGTATAGGTACATTTTGAAGACTTTAGATCCTTTGATCAATCCTTCTCTCTTTGTTTTTACTTTATTTCAATCTATTTCGATTAATTTTTATTTATGTATGATTACAAAATCATTAATAATCACTTTCTATTTTAAATTTGTTACCAAAAGCTGCACATGAAATATTATTTTGGTATTTGATATTGAAAGTAAGTTTTTTTATCTTTGTTATTGTTGGTGTAATAGTAATAAATTATGAGTTTTATGGCTTTGCCTCGACGTAAGTGAATTAATAATATAGAATAAATAGTTTTGTGCATTCTGTGAACTTTGTTCGTGTGTTGTTTAGTGGGATTATCTCCCCCGCGCAGTATTCAATTGGATAAATTGACCACTGCCGTCTGTCAGGTAACATTGCATTCATTGTTATTAATTGCTGCTCTAATAGCTAAATGTCCACTTGTAAGTATTGCACTCACTGTTTTGCAAAGATGAGTAATATTTTTATAAAACGAGCTTTTGCCGGTGACTTTGTCTGCGTTATTATTATTGTCTGGAATAAAAATCACATGGATTTGTAATAATATTATTAAGAACCCAGGTCCATTCACATCGCGCCATCTAGTCAGAATTGGTCGTCTATACAGAATCTAAATACCATTTCTTCTTGCTAGATGTTCCGAGCAAGTGGTTCCAACAACGGTGTCATAGTAGACAGCAGGCATGGCGGAGGAACAAGCAAGTCTAGTGCGGGCGCGTTCTGACTCCGAAAACTCTTCGAAGTTGGGTAGCTTCGGCTCCATAGTGCACAACATGACATATACTGACGATAGGCTCACTGGTGAGTAAAGATTATGTGCTCTTTTTTATTGTAGTGATCATGAAGTTCGTTATTACAACAGTACCTCTTTAATTCAAACCCCTTTGAATCAGAATGTCCATTAAATACCTCCTGACAAACTAATTCTTTAAAAAATAGTTTAATAAATGTACCCTTTAGAAATGACTATACACATGTACATTTAAAATTTCAGAATATTATTCGGGATATTAGAATACATTTGGAAGGTAAATTTTCTGAGTTTAGATTGAAGAGGTCCTTGTATATTAATTAAGTTCTATTCAAGTTTAGTGGGTTCTATACCTTCTATCCCCTTTGCCAATTAGTGGCATAATCACAATTTAATTTTAAGGATAAAAGAATATATTGTCAGACATGAGAAAAGTGTGACAATATCTTTTTCTTTTTATTTTTGCACATATAATTTTCTTGAGTATGAATAATTGTATTTCAGAAAAAAATGTATCTATGTTTTTATATCAGTTGTCTAGTACCGATAACACAAGCTCAGATTAGCTTGAGACTAGTGGAGTTGTGTAAATTGTCCAGGCTATATTTACATTTTCATGTATTTTTCAGCTGCAGAAGGCAGTGGTGATCCCGGCAACACAGCCAATACAGCAGCTAGTCCCCCAGACGATGGCGGCGATGGAGAAAGTGGCGAGCTCCTAGACTACAATGACACCAGTGTGCTAGAACAGTTCCATGAGGATGCACTCAGACAGGTGTGTGATCTGCCACTCAAACTGCCAAGTCTCCTATTATTAAATTCCATATTTCTTGTTATTGGAAGAAATCTGCCAATCAACTATGTTATTACTAACCTTCCACAGACCTCTATACAGTGGACCTTGGAAAAATACGGACTATTAGGCAGCACTCTATAATCCGACAAATTTGATGGTCCGACACTGCCCTGCAAAACGTTTGTCAGATAACCGGGAGTCCACTGTATATGCATATTAATTATAATGTATATTACTTATTAATTATATAAAAATAAGTATAGAATGTACAAAAAGTAGTGGTCGCACACTGGTTGAAACCGTAAGATATTTAAATTATAAGTTTGAACATTTTTAAGGTTCAATTGTCATAGACTATACTTCTATGTGTGTTTGTGTAAAATACATGGTAGTGTGTCTAATATTTTTGTAATGATTTTATGTATTTTTGAATAATTAAAAAATATTAGCATTCTGTATTCCTTCTCTATAAACTATAAGTGTACGAATCATACTCTTCCATCTGCACAATTTTGGTAAAAAGAGTTACAAAGTGTTTACTGCACATATTAATATAATGATTATAATGTTGGTCCACAGGCCGGCTGCGGGTTGTCGCAGTTGCGCGTGTTAACGGCTACTGGACTGGCGGCCGCCGGTGCCTCTCTTGAACTTGCTGCTATTCCCTTCATATTGCCCTCTGCTGAGATGGAGCTATGTATACTGCCCCATGAGAAGAACTGGCTTGGTAAGAATGTTATATTATATGTTTCTTAAAGTACTGTGATAAATTATATGTTATTCATCCTTACTAATATTATAAATGCAAAAGTAATTCTGTCTGTCTCGCTTTCACGCCAAAACTACTGAACCAATATAAAGAAATTTGGTATACACATAGACTAGATCATGTAAAGGATGGGAAAAAAGGTTGTATGGGGTTAAAAGAGGAGAAGAAAGGATGTATGGAAGTATTGTCATTTTTAATGCTAGAAATATGAAACTTATTTTTAGACTGTTGATTATATAAATATATTATATATAATTTATCACTAATATACTATAAATATAATTTAGACATCAACAGTTGTTAGCAATGGAGTCAAAATTCCCCTTGACTGATAATACCTTTCCTTTGGTTGAAGGCTGATATAAGGCAGTGAAATTACAGAATAAAAGTAAGGATACCTTAGTACTCTAGAATGGCAACACATGAGAATCCCAGGCATCACATGTTAATATAAATCAAATAGGATTTATTCATGTAGAACATTTTAGGCACTTTGTAGCTTTAGACACATTTTAGGCACAATTTTTTTCCCACCATTCCATGTCTGTAGTATTGTCGGTGTATACAGGTGATGGTTACTACTTACCACCATTACCACTACCATACTTCAACTTATTTGTCATTTGAATTATGTGAAGAGATTCGTTGAGTAATATAAGGTGTTCCGTGTCGTCAGTGCTGATCAGCCTGGTGGGAGGGTCTCTGGGCGCGGTGGGGTGGGGCGTGCTGGCGGAGCGCCTCGGCCGCCGCCGCACGCTGCTGTCGTGCCTGGCCGTCAACGCAGTCTTCGCCGCCATAGCTGCTTTTATGCCCACTTACGGCACCTTTATGATGGCCAGGTGAGATATCTTCGTTTTAAAATCTGCTTCACAAATGAATGGGATAAAGGATCCCATACATTTGGCATCGACATATGTTTAATGTTTTCTCTTCTATTCTTGTCTGTTCACAGTCATCTCGTTAAAAATTCGGCTCGAAATACTATAAATTTCATATTGATATTTTCCAAAGCTATTTAGCATTTTAAAGTAAACTGTATATATAGTATTAAACAAAAAAAGGTAATGTACGCGTAGTGGACACTAGATTCTGCTATACAATCGGGTCGGGGGGTTCCCTCCGTACGCGCGGCGGGGCGGGGTGATTACATACCGATGCCACTTTATTATTGGTATTTCGTTTCACCGTTAAAAATCCGGCTCGAAGTACTAATTTTCATACAGATATTTTCCAAAGAGAAGCTTAGTATATATAGTATATATGAATAATAATATTATGAACCTGTGGACGGTAGGTTCTGCTCCGCGATCGGGTCCGGCGGCGTGGCCCCCGCCGGGTACCCGTACGCGGGCGAGGTGACGGCGCGGGGCGCGCGGCGCGCGGCGCTGGCGGCCGTGGCGGCGGCGGCGGCGGGCGGCGCGCTGCTGGCGCCCGCGCTCGCCGCCGCCACGCTCCCGCTCACCGGCGCCTCCACCCTCGTAGAGAACAAGGAGCACTTCAGCGCCTGGCACAGGTGCGCTACTTCCACACAAAATAACTAGAACGAACATTATTCAGCAATACAACAATTTATTTAACTCTAATGCACACAATACAATATATAGTTTCACAGTACAATACAATATATAGCTCGGTGTTAAGTCCGCCAAATGTACTGTACATTTGGCGGACTTAACACCGAGCGGCATTTTCTACCAGTCAATCATAGGTGGTGCAGAGAATAATTGTAGTTTAACAATATTTGTAGTTTATAATAATGTTTGTACTATTATTATAAGCCGGGCAAAGAGCTCACTCTGAGGCCCTAACTGACACGCCCCTGGACAAGAGTGTAGAAAACTTGTGTGTTAGTCACGCTATCAATGATATAATTGAGCATAGCAGATAATAGAGCATAATAGATGATAGAGCATACCAAACTTAACTTTTCTAATCATAATTTCCAGATACCTGTTGCTGTGCACTCTACCAATATTAGCGTCACTGATAAGTATGATATGGACGCCGGAGTCACCCCGATATTTACTGGAGGTCGGGCGGGAAGTCGACGCCATGATGGTGTACCAAGTGAGTTTTTTTTCGGACTACTCTAATACAGCTGGCCTTTACAGCTTCACCGGACAATATGAAGGAAGTGTTCCATATCTGTATACTATGATATAATGACGGCCTCGGTGGTCTAGCGGTTTTGTACACTGCATTACTTTCCCGGGATCGACTCTTCGTATAAATGCGCTGTTATGATTTTTTGTAACTTGAACTGGTATTCAATAATTTGAGACGGTCCGACCAATAAACACCCTGACCTATACTGACTGACGTAACAGTTTCACACGCCGCTTAATTCAGTGTGTTAATTCATTTCTGACCAGAATATACATCAATATTGTGTTTAATTTAGTGAGCTAATCTTTAGTTAGCCTTTATATAGTGTTGTGAAGAAGTTGTCGATGTGTACAGCGATTGCACGCGGGGAACGTAGTGCGCGCGTGCGGGCGGCGCTCCGAGTGTCGCCTGGCCGAGCTAGCGCTGCCCGGCAAGAGACCGCGCCCCGCGCCGCCCGCCCCCGCGCTCGCGCACGTGCGGCACAGCGTCAAGATGGTGAGCACGACACACCACGCACACTACACACTACACACTGCACACACACTACACACTGGCCGAGCTAGCGCTGCCCGGCAAGAGACCGCGCCCCGCGCCGCCCGCCCCCGCGCTCGCGCACGTGCGGCACAGCGTCAAGATGGTGAGCACGACACACCACGCACACTACACACTACACACTGCACACACACTACACACTGGCCGAGCTAGCGCTGCCCGGCAAGAGACCGCGCCCCGCGCCGCCCGCCCCCGCGCTCGCGCACGTGCGGCACAGCGTCAAGATGGTGAGCACGACACACCACGCACACTACACACTACACACTGCACACACACTACACACTGGCCGAGCTAGCGCTGCCCGGCAAGAGACCGCGCCCCGCGCCGCCCGCCCCCGCGCTCGCGCACGTGCGGCACAGCGTCAAGATGGTGAGCACGACACACCACGCACACTACACACTACACACTGCACACACACTACACACTGGCCGAGCTAGCGCTGCCCGGCAAGAGACCGCGCCCCGCGCCGCCCGCCCCCGCGCTCGCGCACGTGCGGCACAGCGTCAAGATGGTGAGCACGACACACCACGCACACTACACACTACACACTGCACACACACTACACACTGGCCGAGCTAGCGCTGCCCGGCAAGAGACCGCGCCCCGCGCCGCCCGCCCCCGCGCTCGCGCACGTGCGGCACAGCGTCAAGATGGTGAGCACGACACACCACGCACACTACACACTGCACACACACTAGATAGCGTCTACATGGTGAGGACCACATGCAACACACCACGCACACTACATACTGTGTACACAACACACTGCATGTTGTGTCACACATTCGCGCGTGTAAAGGCAGATAATGTACTTTATTGCACACACAGTACCTTGGCTTCTTTTACACGCATGTTCATGTTGTCTCACATGTTACACAGCGTGTATACATAGATATGTTTATTTTTCATATAATGTCCAAATGTCATATATTGTCCAAAGTACAAAATACAATATCGTTAATACTGATTACAGTTCTGGCAGGCGTTCTTCCAGTTATTCTCGAGCATGTACCGAACCACCACACTGTCGCTCACCGGCATACTTTTCTTCACTGTTTCGATACAGGTGAGTGAATCTATATATTTTTTCCATTACATTATATATTCCGTATAATCTGTAGATTGACACAGCTATATTAATAATTATTTAAATCTGATATTAGCCATGATGATATTATTTAAAAGAATAAAAATATAGACAGCTGACAATAAAGTACAAAACAGTGTTTATCATAGTTTAGATAATATCCTACCTAACTCTCTCTTCGACAATCTCTTCTGCAATCTCTTCGAGCCTTATTAAGCGGCCTTGTAAGTCAGTGTAATCAAAATACAATGCAATATACACTACATTGAACTTGTTTCAGTTCTACTTGTCATCTTATATACCGTCAACGGTGCTCAAAATGGCGAACGAACAATTCGAAGCGTCAAAGACAATAATCCAAAACACAACATTAGTGGCGGAGCACTACAACTTGACGCTGGAGAATGTGGAATTCACCAACGTGACATTCGTGGACTGCGCATTTCGTGACATGCTCATGTCCCATGTCACCTTCAAGAACTGCTCGTTTGACCATGTGGCTTTCGCAAACATCAAGTCCTCATACACGGTCTTCATGGGCTCTACATTTGTTAATAGCACGTGAGTTTTTAGATATTATCGATTTAGTAAATATGATTTTAACAACACCACTGAGACTTTAAAACTTTGTCAGCTACATTATTGTGGATTTTAGCTTGATGAGTTAGAGTTACCCCCGTGCATAATGCAACTTGTTTTATATGATTAATCCAAAGTTATATTTTACGGATTTGATAGCCTACTCCGCATACCACCAAATGCAGGATATAATCAGCACATCAGTCGACTTAAATCTGATGGAAAATGTGAACATTGATTTTATGTTAATTATGCTTTTAGTTAATGGTTTGAATGTTCGAAATGTTTGTATATGATCGTTGATGTCTCGTTAGGATAATCGACACGGACATAGAGGTGGGGCGCGAGCTGGACCCGTGGTGCGTGCTGCGGGGCACCATAGTGCGCGGCGTGCGGGGCGGCTGCGCGCGCCACGCCGACCTCGCCTGGCGCCTCGCCGCGCCCCTCGCCGAGCACCGCCACGCCGCGCGCGCCGCGCTGCTCGCCGCGCTGCTCGCGCTGCTGCCGCGCGCCGCGCGCCCCACAGGTACGAGTACGAGTACGTGCGGGGCGGCTGCGCGCGCCACGCCGACCTCGCCTGGCGCCTCGCCGCGCCCCTCGCCGAGCACCGCCACGCCGCGCGCGCCGCGCTGCTCGCCGCGCTGCTCGCGCTGCTGCCGCGCGCCGCGCGCCCCACAGGTACGAGTACGAGTACGTGCGGGGCGGCTGCGCGCGCCACGCCGACCTCGCCTGGCGCCTCGCCGCGCCCCTCGCCGAGCACCGCCACGCCGCGCGCGCCGCGCTGCTCGCCGCGCTGCTCGCGCTGCTGCCGCGCTGCTGCCGCGCGCCGCGCGCCCCACAGGTACGAGTACGAGTACGTGCGGGGCGGCTGCGCGCGCCACGCCGACCTCGCCTGGCGCCTCGCCGCGCCCCTCGCCGAGCACCGCCACGCCGCGCGCGCCGCGCTGCTCGCCGCGCTGCTCGCGCTGCTGCCGCGCGCCGCGCGCCCCACAGGTACGAGTACGAGTACGTGCGGGGCGGCTGCGCGCGCCACGCCGACCTCGCCTGGCGCCTCGCCGCGCCCCTCGCCGAGCACCGCCACGCCGCGCGCGCCGCGCTGCTCGCCGCGCTGCTCGCGCTGCTGCCGCGCGCCGCGCGCCCCACAGGTACGAGTACGAGTACGAGTACGTGCGGGGCGGCTGCGCGCGCCACGCCGACCTCGCCTGGCGCCTCGCCGCGCCCCTCGCCGAGCACCGCCACGCCGCTCGCGCCGCGCTGCTCGCCGCGCTGCTCGCGCTGCTGCCGCGCGCCGCGCGCCCCACAGGTACGAGTACGAGTACGTGCGGGGCGGCTGCGCGCGCCACGCCGACCTCGCCTGGCGCCTCGCCGCGCCCCTCGCCGAGCACCGCCACGCCGCTCGCGCCGCGCTGCTCGCCGCGCTGCTCGCGCTGCTGCCGCGCGCCGCGCGCCCCACAGGTACGAGTACGAGTACGTGCGGGGCGGCTGCGCGCGCCACGCCGACCTCGCCTGGCGCCTCGCCGCGCCCTCGCCGAGCACCGCCACGCCGCTCGCGCCGCGCTGCTCGCCGCGCTGCTCGCGCTGCTGCCGCGCGCCGCGCGCCCCACAGGTACGAGTACGAGTACGTGCGGGGCGGCTGCGCGCGCCACGCCGACCTCGCCTGGCGCCTCGCACCATATACATACGTACCTAACGAGCACCAGCAACAGTATGATGATGCTTATATACTTACTACTTACTTAATACATACGTCCTTATACATATTATGTACGTATCTCACATCTCTCATAGATTGTTTTACAAACTAGGGTCTGGTCAGACTGAAAATAGGGTAAATTACTAAGTACAGACGACAGCATAACATCTTGCCTTCCGTAATGATAACGATCATGGATGCAGATAATATTATATGCAGTCTATTTACGTAACAAAATTACTTTGGATTTTAATAACGTTGTTGTTTTATCCAGTGGTCATCTGCGGCGCGTCAGTCGCTCTAGCACCAGCGCTGTATTTGGTGCAAGAAGAACATCTGCTGTATATTGTAGAGGCAGCGTACCGGGGGCTCGCAACGCTCGTCTTCTTTGCGGTTGTCGCCGCAGTCGTGCACAAATACCCAGCTAATTTGAGGTATGTCACAGTTTTATTTGCAGTACACATGATATTGTTAATAATATGGTTATTTCATTATGTTCCAATAGTGTAATATGTATTTTTGGCTTTATTTGTATTTAAAATATTTTTCCAAAATTGTTTTATTTGGTGATGATATAAATAAAAGTATAAAGGCTCCATAAAAGATTACGCCGTTTTATCAAATACCAGTTTTTCCGCTTATAATACGTTTATTTGTATTAACTTTCAGGTTGTGTTACAAAGGATGTTCTTTTACAAAGGTTGCTTTTTATGTTTCATTTCAACTACCACTTGATTGATCTACGTTTCTAATTTTATTCGTTCTGACCCACTGCCTTATATTGTTGTACTATAAATACGTGGCGCAGCGTGCACACATAGACTAAGTAGCGTGGTGCTGTGTACAGGTGCACGGCGCTGGGGCTGGTGGTGTCTGCGGCGCACGTGGGCGGGGCCGCGGCACGAGCGGTAGCGGACGCGGGCCCGCCGCCCGCCGTCGGCGCCGCGCTCGTCGCCGCGCTCGCACTCGCCGCCACCGGCGCCGCACTGGCCGCGCGGTACGTACACGAGCACGGGGCCGGGCGCCGCACTCGCCGCCACCGGCGCCGCACTGGCCGCGCGGTACGTACACGAGCACGGGGCCGGGCGCCGCACTCGCCGCCACCGGCGCCGCACTGGCCGCGCGGTACGTACACGAGCACGGGGCCGGGCGCCGCACTCGCCGCCACCGGCGCCGCACTGGCCGCGCGGTACGTACACGAGCACGGGGCCGGGCGCCGCACTCGCCGCCACCGGCGCCGCACTGGCCGCGCGGTACGTACACGAGCACGGGGCCGGGCGCCGCACTCGCCGCCACCGGCGCCGCACTGGCCGCGCGGTACGTACACGAGCACGGGGCCGGGCGCCGCACTCGCCGCCACCGGCGCCGCACTGGCCGCGCGGTACGTACACGAGCACGGGGCCGGGCGCCGCACTCGCCGCCACCGGCGCCGCACTGGCCGCGCGGTACGTACACGAGCACGGGGCCGGGCGCCGCACTCGCCGCCACCGGCGCCGCACTGGCCGCGCGGTACGTACACGAGCACGGGGCCGGGCGCCGCACTCGCCGCCACCGGCGCCGCACTGGCCGCGCGGTACGTACACGAGCACGGGGCCGGGCGCCGCACTCGCCGCCACCGCGCCGCACTGGCCGCGCGGTACGTACACGAGCACGGGGCCGGGCGCCGCACTCGCCGCCACCGGCGCCGCACTGGCCGCGCGGTACGTACACGAGCACGGGGCCGGGCGCCGCACTCACCGTTACCCCACAAGGATATAAAAGTATTAGATAACCAACAACTTATGTTCTACAACTTTCCCTGAAACCTTATAATTATTTCGAAAAAATGCCTTCAAAATTAATATATAAAAATACAATACCAAAAGACAGCCGCCGTAACAGCTATCATCAGCCTTATTATAATAGGAAAATGTAATACCATTCAATTGACTTTTTATATGAATAAAATGGTAACACTAAATTATTTCTTTTCAGGACGAGCGCCCATAAATAGCAGTGACATTACAATAAGTATCTCTTCCTTGCCAACGATACATATACCAAAGTCCACGACTGAGAGAATCGGATGATACTCAAAAATTACTAACATTAGACTTATCGAGGACATCACCATTGAAAATACTAGTTCCAAATAACTGTTATTTTATTTAACAGTTTCGTTCTTTGAACAGTAACAGCCCTATTTAGTTTATACTACGTTCCTAAAGTACTCGATATATCTAAGTAGTAAGTAACTAACAATACATGTGACTGATACGTATATTACTAACACTGACAGTAACAGCACTGTTATTATTGTTTTGTATATTTTATTTGGTGAAGTTCCAATTTTAAAATTTACATGATTACAGCTATATAAGCATATACAGCTATATTTATTAATGAATCTGTAGATGAAATGACATCAACGAATTTCCCGCTCAATTGTACGAGACCTTATTTTGAAACTTAGAAAATATTTTCCTTTTCCCATTAGAATAAAAAAAAAATTTCAGCCCACATCTTTAGTATATAATAATTTCTGTTATTGTGCAACTTTCGAGAAACAAACAAGAATAAAAATGCAATATTTTTTTTATTAATGCAATACATTTCCCAAGCAGTTTCTTAAGTTGGTATATGCGTGATAGTCGTCTAAAAACAGACAATTGACTTATCTATAATGGGATTTTGGAATAATTCCTGGATTTTTTAATTGTAGTCATTTAGATATGACATATAAATGTGAATATTAATTTGATAAAAACTCCCTAACGATTACAACAATAATTATTTTAGAGAGTATAAATTCATTCCTAGATCTTGTGGTCATTATGTATCTCCCCAAAATTGTGGTGTATAATGTAATACCACCACACATAATGTAAATAGCACCCTATGTATTTGTATTATTAACAGATGTTACGCATTGTCGCCTAATCGCTATATTTTTCTACTATACACTGCAATATTTTAATAATGGCAACATTTGATATAAATTTAAAAATGGAATATTCACTTTCAAAATGGAATAGATCGTTTAATATCGACAGTGTGCAGCGTCTTTTAATTGAATAAGAAATGTGTTGTGTTGAACCAAATGAGATCTTATGGAGTAATAGTTTACGGTTTAAATTAAGTTGTACATATTATTAGGTGAATATTTTTTTTATTGATATAAATTTATATTATTCTTTATTGCATTTTAAAGAATATAATAATAATATGAATTTCGTAATATGATAATATATGATTTACGTTTTATTTAATTTTTGATAATGGAATTATTAATATTCTACGTTCATATACGGTGTTAAAGCGACTATAGAGAATGAATTAGTATATATAGAATAAAATTAAGTCGGTCAGTTGATGGTTTCCAGGAGAGACCAACTGGAGGACGATCTAACATGGCCCATTTGTAGCAGTAGGGTCACGAAACCCCACTGCTGACAATCTCCCTATCGATTTACATCAATGAATATTACAACAAATGGTGAAACTATATTTACATCCAATAGAATGAAGTCATTAGTAATTATCTTCATAAGGTCTAATTTGGGTTGAATTATTTTTACAAGTTTACTATTGAACTGAGTACAGATGTATATATAGTAGGGATGTGATGTAGTCAATGTATCTCCCATCCCATGTCTGCTCTAAAGATGCTTAAAACCACAAAGAACTTATATATTTTTTTATACTACCAACCAATTTCGAACACACCTTTTATAGTTGTCTTTTATCTCTTTTACTCTTAAAGCTGACGACTTGAAATTATTGTTCAATCTGGTTTTAAGTATTTTGAATATCCTAATGCCATATTGCTCAGTTTAATGGTTCACTTTTAATATAAAAATTCAGTAGTGTTGCCATATCTTTAAGTGATATTATAGACTGGCTTTAATTTCGGTAGTTTCATAAAAGACATTTTCATTAAATGTCACGAATTAGTTAATTATATTCTATATTATTGAGTATTGCCATAGATAAATTATTTTATTTTTTTAGTAAAGGCAACTTTTATTTTACTTTTGTAAGTTAAGTGTGTGGCTACGATTTTTTATATAAATTTGATGAATTGACTGATTTTATTTAAAGACATTATTTATAAAATGGATTAATAAAAATAATAAGTTATAGAAAAGACAAAAATGAGTTTTAAATACTAATCACAACATGTTGAACAACACATTTGGCTGTATAGAAAGATATCAAGTTTACAAATTAAAAAGTGACACAGACATTGGCGCCAAAAACATAAGCTACAAAATATGTTAAAAATTACTTCAAAAGTTAAGCATAGAGCAAAGAAAGAGTTTGAAAGTATCTTCTGGTGATAAGTATAAAACTTTATAGCTACTATCAACAATAAATACTTTTAATGCTCGATATACGCCTCTCTACCTTGGAACAATACTATAAAAAAACTCCATAGACAGTTAAGCGGCTTGAATTAAGCGCGTAAATTGTAACTAGTCAACCGTGATTGTCTTCAGACTAGGCTAGATGTTTAATAAATAATTTTAATACAATACTAAACCGAGGTAGACTAAAAAGTCGTCTGCGCAGGTACCACGGTCTCACCTTTTTCTGCCGGCAAACAGCTTGCTTTGTAACATGTGATTTGGTAAAAAGATAATAAGGCAGTGAAATTAGAGGATGACATGACATCTTATTTCTCCGGAATAGCAACGGATGGTATCACGGGTGTCTCATGATAACGTGATGTCCCTATAGCTGTCCTTGATATAATAATGATAATATAGACATTTATTTAACATTACATCACTTTTCCTATTTACTATACAACTTAAAAGCTAAACTATACCTTAAATATACTACACTATAACTTAAATACTGGTAACGCTGAATGTAACCCACTAAGCATTTATACTGTAGTATAACTAAGTTATACCACAGCGCTGATTTTTATTGGAGCCACCAGACACGAGACAGCGTACGTACAGACAACAAAAGAACTTAAAATTTACGATCAAGTCCATTTTATAAATAGGTATGACAATTAATATATAAATGCAATTTTCCTTAATGTAGTAAATTAATATAAGCGAGAGTTACCACTTACCATCAGGTGGGGCGTTAGCTTGTTTGCCATTTGAATTGCATAATAAGCATTTTGTAATCGTAAAACCATAGATTATTTTTCTTTGTTTTTTAATCTCGGAGACTGACAGGTGTAAATGTCAAATTGTCAAATAATGTTACCAGCTATACCGGAGTAGTGGTGTACCTGCGATACTGTTTTGTTTAATAGAATTATTTCTATTTAAGAGTCGCATAATATATATATTCAAGCCGCTTGATGTCTAGTGACGTTATTTTGTATAAATATGTATCTATATTGAAACCCGAGTAATATTTGATACAACAGCGCTGCAATTTTTGGAGAGTACTCAAGTTATTTGCTGGAATTCATGTTGTAAATTTTATAGTTGACCTGTAGCTTTGTATTTGATAGTAATAATGTATCGTTTAGCCTCAGAGCAATAACTAATGAAAACTGGACTATAGCAACAAAATTCTATTATATTTGTCTCAGTTATTAATAAATTATAATAATGACTACAAAATATCGCATAGACAAATGACATTTGTCTATGGTTATCACTTGTTTTCTATAAAGAAAAATTTTGTGTCCTACTGAATCGAATCGGCTATCATTGTAAGTAAAACGGTGTGGTGAACAGCTAAATCACGAGTCAGAAATGTGATAAATAAATTGAGTATATTTGTTTGCCAAGTTAATTTAGTTACTGTTCTTAGGATTTGGCAATTTGCAACAATGTCATAGATTGCTATCAGGGCCTTAATTATGTATTATTACATACTTAATTGTTGCTAACAATTATAATTTGTAACAGATTTAAATCTACAATATTGTATGAGACACGCGGACAATTCGAGCATGAGCAGCCGGCGAATGGTAGGACCATTCGCCGGCTGCTCATGGAACAGATTAAAATGTACAATGTTGTATTAGACTGCTCGTATAATGCCGTTTTTGTGTCCGAGTCACTGTTTATTGTGCCGTCTTGTGCCCCATTACTCATAAAAAGTCGTAAGTGATAGCAATTGAAATTGAATGCAACAATTTAAGAGTTGCAATTGCGTAACTTGCCTAGCTCGCATCTCAAATGGTTCATAGAAAATTACAAATAACAATTTTAATCCATTACAATTGAGTTGAATTTAAACTAAAGTAAACTTTAAAAATCGTCTGCTAAAATAGCTTACCTGCTTAAGTACCTACCTCTATATTTTTCAGTCGCCAAATAGTCTGCTTTCTATAAAATAAGAATCAATAAAATTTATTCCTCCGATATGCAACTCATGAATGGTATCACGGGTGTCCCATGATAACGTGATGTCGTATTGCTGTTCATGATATAGGCGACGGTCACCACTTACCATCAGGTGAGCCGTCAGCTTGTTTCCCATTTTATTTAGGTACATAAAATAAAGAAAAATGATAATAACATCGTTCATAATTAAGGCCCGGATTTAAGTTATTCAGATAGCAATCGAAAACGCCAATATATTCTATATACTATTATACCTATAAGCTTTAATTAAGCAATAAATATTCGTTTATTTTAAATACATATCCAATTTATCTTAGACTGATAACTTATTTAGATTCTATGTCAATCTATCAGATTATTTTATTTGTTCCTGTTATGTCACAAATTATATCAGTACCAAGTAATGGTCAAATAAATACCTTCTACTTATCTATGGGCTAGCACAAAATCCTCATGTTGTGAGGACCCATGCCTATCAATGCGTTGATTATGAAAAAAATAAAAAAATAAATGATTTCCTTTTTTAAATTAATTAAAAACATAGTGTGACATAAAAGGAATTAAATACATATGATTTATTTATATTTTAGTCAAAATATTTTAAATTAAGAACAAAATATTTTAAATTAATGTCCCGTCGTTAGGCAGTAAACTCACCTATAACAACAGAGATATTAGGCAACTACTATGTTTCGATTGATAAATAAATTATCCATATGAAAGCAGTTGATAAAAATATCAGGTAACTTTAAAAAAATACATTATTCAAATAGAATTAATGTTATAAAAACATTGTACACGAATTATTTACTTATAAAAATATTCTTACAATTGACAGATGCGCCCAGCGGCCATTTTGTTGGCAGTTTTAACAATGTACAAAATGGCTGTTGTTTTTTTATGCTACATCAACAAAATGTGTAATGTAAACCTATTTACGAATGAAAAGGCAAATTTAGCATTACTTTCATGTATTGCGATTAGACGGCATAGACTGAATTGTGTTTCGATATCAGATATGTAAATATAGTGAATAAATATGTTGACATTACGAATGTTGTTTTATTTTCACACAGCGACATCTAGTCCCAAGCTTGTATTATAGGTACTGAGCAAATGATAACTAAATCCACACTAATATTTTATAAAGTTATTTAAGTATATACTAGTTAAAGTTTGTGAGGTTGTAGGGGATAATTTCCATTTGCATGATCTTCTGAATCGATTTTGAATATTCTTTTACTTTAGATAGTCCATTTATCGAGGACAGTTACATCACGCTACGACAAATAGGAGCTGAGCAGCAAAAGCAATGAAAAATATTGCAAAAGCTGGGGAAATCAGACGCAGACGAAGTTGCGCGAATCAGCTAGTAATAAATAAATAGTTTATTTCAAGACAATACATAATGTGCGTAGACTTTATCCTTTTATGTGTTTATATAAATCTATATTAGGATAATAATAAAATGTAATAATAAATTTTGTGATAATAATAATAAATAAATAAATAAAAATAAAATAAATAAATACATATGTATGTAGGTGCCTCAAAATATTAATTTCAGTCTTGTGATGTAACATGAAATGAACAAAAATTATATTTTCATTTACTAACGTAATAAGTTTTTTACAACACAAAACAATATTTAGAAACAACACCTTAGTTTAACAAGTGCGATTCATTTTATTATTATTTTCAGTTCCATCATCTGCCTTATTCTATTCATTTCTGATCGGGGTATTTTTCACTTCCATTCATCCCTGTTCGCAGTAATCTCGTTATTTACCCCCTTTCTTACCATATCATCTTTCACACAGTCCATCCTCTTTTTCAGCCTTCCTCTGCCCTTATAACCAATTTAATATATTATTTTTAGTAGGTACCTACAAAATTTATATTAATTCCAGATATCTGATGGTTTAGGTAGAACAGATTTTCTTTTATATACATTATACAACCACACTTGGATCTTAGAAATAGGATTAAAAAACATTCTCTTGGTTGATAGGTTTTTAATAAATAAATATAAGTATAAATAAATTATGCTTATCATTGAGAACTGCTTTTGTGATGCTTGTATATTCTGAAACAAATAATACAAAATTATTAAAAAAGACATAGTAATTAATAATAATAAGCATCATCTTTGTCTGATCTATTTATTAAAAAAATACTGTATATATACTAAAAAATGCTGTACTAAAAAATTAAAAAATACAGCATTTTTTTAATATACCCATAATGCAAGCTCTGCTTAGCATGGGACTAGATGGCGCTATGTAAATTGTCCTGAAATATTATTATTAACTACATTACTAAGGTTATTAAAGCAAATACTTACACGTTATAAGCATTGCAGTCTTGATCCACTGTGAAATATATTTCTTCATTTTTAAATGCTGGTAAATAATGTTTGTCTACAGAATTCATATCACCATCTATATATATATAAATGTTCCTCCAAAATTCATTTAATGCCTCTAATTGTATAGAATCGTATAAACCTAAAAATCTAAATTCAGTATATTCACTCTCCTTTGAGAATTCAATAAAATATTCTACTAATATATCATGTGGTGCTTTCTGTCCTTCTTTTATACACATATTATCTGTATTAGAATCTGTATATTTCATTTCCGCTCCATTATCTGCACTTTGGTTAACACCCTTATCAATTTCGTCACCACCAGTAGAGTTACCATCATCGTCTATGACAATGTCATAAGATTCAGATGTGACGGTCACATCCGTGGCTGTATGCTCATCTTTCAAGTCATCTGGTATGACAAGATATATGTGAGCTGGTGCTTCTTTGAATATTGTCAATTCTCTGTAATATAGAGGTATAATTAGAAAGTTGTAATTAACGTAAGATAAATTGAACCATCGGAAGTATAGAAGTTATAAATTTCTAGTGAATTTGTCACGATCGGCCAACTAACCTGACCTCATGCTTATCCTATCATCCTTCACTGGTGCCCCGCCAGTGTAAACCGTTAGCGAAGGCGGGAGCACTATTCTATAATCGTCCATTAAAAAAAATACCATCAGTGGTACGAACGCTTTTGCTATTACAGTTACATCCTATCTTATTAATATTATAAACGTGAAAGTTTGTGAGTATGGATAGATGTTTGCTACTCTTTCATGCAAAATCTACTGAACGGATTTTGATGAAACTTTACATTAATATATCTTATACACATAGCTGTGCACCGTTAATCAAATAGTTAACTTCGTTAATCGTTAATTCGCTACAAAAAAAACTTAGCTTCTTAACGAAGCGCTACAAAAAAAACTTAGCTTCTTAACGTTAAAGCGTTACATTTCAGAAGAATTAATGCAAGTTAACGTTAATCGTTAATCCGTTAATATGTGTAAAATTCCATTTTTATATCGTTGTTTTAGTGAATTTATAAAACCTGCTGGTTTAGGTCCTGGAAGTTAAAAGGTTAGGAACAAAACAAAATACATGTATAACTCAAATGAGTAATTTAATCGTCGGGCATAAGGTGTATATTCTGCTTTATGAACATTAACCTGTTGAAGTTCTCGTCTGAAAGCAAGGCTCGTTATGGTGTTAAAATCTCTTTACCTGTGGAAAACAGACGTTCAACTGCAGCACTTGAGGGTAAAGCAGTATTGTAGTTAATGAATAGATTTATGAGTATCTGTTCCTCTTATGTTGAGTCTTTTGATTTTATGTCCAGCCACAATTTATTGATATTTTGCGTTTTATTCTTTAAAGTGGAGCTTGGAGCTTTATGTTATTGAACCTGATTTTCAAACCGTGCCGGTGTTTTAGGCATTGGATTAACGATTAACGGACTTCTGCGTATTAACGGAAGTTAACGTGTCCGTTAACATTTTTAAAAGTTAATCCTTTAATCAAAATGTTAACTTCGTTAATTATCCATTAACGGACTAACGAGTTAATGCCCAGCTATGCTTATACCTACATCAAAGTAACATATAGGCTATAAATTTCTTCTGGGCGAAACTGCGAGCACAGCTAGTTAACACATACATAAAAGAGACTAACCTAAATGGTTTCTGGCCCTCGCTTTTAGTACTCAACAAATAATTATTATGATCGTGTATAAGTTTCACCACCTCCAATTCTTCAGGGCTACTCACTTCACCGTCGACTTCATCACCATCATTAATCACATTGTTCACCCATTGGTGAACCACCTTCCGTTCACCATCCGTGAGGTTTTTATCGAAGACCATCGTGATTTCCGAGTCATTTCTAACGAATGCAAATATATGTAGTAATACGTTTAGATTGAAGTTTGGTCTTTTTTGTAGTAACTCTTTATTTTTCAGACGTTTCGTGATCACAACCTTTTTAATAGGACTTGGCTTTTTGTATAGGTCTTGTCCGAAGCCAATAGTTCTCGTTGCCTGTAATTTTAATTTTGACGAGATCTTATAACTGTGTTCGGGACTTTAATAAATTTTATGTGTTCATTACAGCAGTGTAATAAATAAGACTAATACTAGCAGACTCGGCCATGCGTTGCTGTGGCTAAAGTTCTTAAATAAAATAATATTGTGACTATAATTTGAGATGCTATGCTATCCTATCATTCAAATTCGTTGGATCAAATTGCACACAATGTGCAAATCACATTTGCAATCGGTTCAGTAGTATAGTAGTCCATCGCAGACAATCAACGTGACACGTTTTTATATATATAATAAAAATAAATATTAAAAAATCGAATTGAAAAATTCTCTTTGTGTTGGATAGTCATTTGTCGAGGAAGGCTTTAAGCTATATAACATTACGCTACGACAAATAGAAGTGAAGCATCAGTGAAAAATGTTGCAAAAACGGGGAAAATTATTCATATTTGACGGCTTCTGTTGCGTGCGCTGCATAAACAAGGAAAATTACGCCAACGAAGTCGCGGGCACAGCTAGTGAGTTATACTATACTTTGATATTATAATATTTAACTGCAAGTTAGTAATGCCCATGTAGATACAAACTGATAACCAGCACTGGGCACACATCAGTCCAGAAATAGCCGAGATTGTACCTATTACCAATAATTTAACTGTATTACTGTTAGCAGTAAATAGATTTAATATTATTATTATATTTACATGTCCTTGACATCTTATCTTTATTAGATAAAGATAAAGCTACAGATAAAAAAGATAAATGTGAAAAGTAACTCACATAAGTTATATTAGGGGCTATGGGTTCAATAATTCCGATGCCAGTTTTCCCTAGGGCTCCGCCCTGCCAGCCCATTCTCTGCATCATGCTGAAATAATATTAATGATTTAATAATAAGAGGTTGTTGTCTAGTGATTGTACTACCCTACTTAGAATCAAAGATATATTAGACCAGTAGAAATTTGGTCTGGGTAATAAATATATATCTGTATTATGTATTGAAGGGCAATGGTACTTCAGTAGTATTTCTAGGTGTTTTCTATGCATATTATGTAAATACACACATAACATTCATAGCAGACCGATACAAACAATTAAACTCCTGAATACAAATGTTTACACCATGCGAGGAATCAAACCTACAAACATCGGAAGTAAAGGGGTGGGCTAGAGGCTGTCATATATACATGAACAGAACTATATATTGTTGTGTCCGCTGTATACTATTGCCATTCCAGAGAACTAAAATGTTAATACAAGTTAAACCATACTCACCTCTCAGCCTTGTTTAATTTAACAGGTTGTGATAACCCAACCATTACAGTCTTCAGGAATTTATTATCTGTACAGACTTCTGGTACTTTGCAGGTCACTTTATCAACTGAGCCTTGGAAATTACTAGCTTTTTGCCATTGCTGTTTTGTCCAGTCATATCCAGGTGGGTGTGAGGTTTGAGGCTGAGTGTCTGGAGGCTCTGCAGTAGGAGGGTCGTCTTCAGGTGAACTGTAATTTTATATTTACAAAACATAATGTAAATGGTTGTTTTCTATGATAAAGCCAATAGTTATTAGTGAAAGATGATATACTGAGCTGACCACATATAATTTAATTCAATTTTTTATTTTTACACAATTCACACAGCACCATTTAGACACAAGTTAAGCTAGCTGAAGCTAGTGTTATGGGTACTACATAACTGATACAAATACATAGATTTTTTTTTAAATACATACATAATATACTTATAGGTATATATATTTGTAAATACATAATTAATATACATAGACAACAGCCAGAGCAATACAAGCAATCAAACTCAAGAGTACAAATATTTGCGTCATATGAGGAATCGAATGCGAAGATCAGAAATACGGGTATACTACACTACTACACACAGCCGTCAATGATGATAAGGTGAGCTTTATATCAAATCAAGTAGCCCAATACAATATTACTCCTACCCTCATAGATAAAAAGTACTCACTCTTGAAAATGAATTAAATCTGGATCTTCGTATAATGTTTCCCTTAATATCCACATTCTATTCTTATTATCTCTTTGTACAGGTTCTAATTTAGACTCCGGAGGTGAAGGATCGGACACAATATATTCAGAATAAAATAGTTTTTTATCTCTACACTTCAAGTAATTCTTTCCGTTATAATTCATGTTGGTGTGGCTACTTCAAGTTTCAACGATAAGTATAAATAATAAATTATTATAAAAACTTTGCCCGATCATTACTTAGGGAATAACACTTTTTTCTTTATCAGTTAACAGCTAAATAAAACAAATAAATATGACAGTCAGATGGGTCAGATGTAAATATTTTGATTCTGTCAATCCGATATGTAGGTAAGTGTCATTTTTAATAACTTTACGGCTTTGGATAATCGTTTACAGCGAAACGCATAGTCGTACGTATCATACGACTGTTTAGTTTGTGATCTCGTTCACAATTAATTATCAAAAAACTAAGTTGTTATTATAAAAAAATACATATTATTATAATTTTAGTTGTAAAGATCTTAAGAAGAGTATAAGGTATCTGTACACGACGGAATCAATTAGAAAATAAGTTTTAGCTGTAATTAGTATAATAAGTCATCCTCAATAAAATATATAACATAGTGTTTTTTATTGCCCTAAATATAAGTAATTAGTATAAGTAGAATTTGTATATAAGATCATTTTTGTTAATAATAATTATATGTAAAACTAATAGAAAATAAATCACACGCAACAGTAGTAGTACAGTTGCAGTAGGGAAGGCCAGCCGTCGGGCGTCTATATACAGTGCCCTAATCAAGAATCTTGGTTTGCTAATGGACAGCACTCTTAGCTGGAATAACTATGTAGGTGAGATAAGTCGCAAGGTCACTCTTACACTACGTAACTTATACAGACTAAAAAAATTCCTTCCTGTAAGTACCAAAATCCTCCTTGTCCAATCCTTAGTCCTCCCCACCCTTGATTATGCTGATGTGTGCTGTTCTGACATGAACGTTGATCTTCTAAATAAATTGGATCGTCTTCTGAATAATTCTATCCGTTTCATCTTTAATTTGCGTAAATTCGATCATGTCTCTTCTTTTCGTTCTCAGCTTAAATGGCTCCCTATCCGTTATCGTCGTAATATACGTATGCTATGCACACTATATTCAATTCTATACGATCCTAATTATCCTGAATACATTAGTAATAAATTTCATTTCCATGGGGACAACACCAATCGCTCTCTACGAACTTCCAGAAAATTCTTACTTCATATCCCGGCTCATTTATCCGGCTTCATCCATTACTCTTTCGCCGTTCAGGCTATCAAACTCTGGAATGACTTACCTCTTGATATCAAGACCGCCACGAGTAAAATTTCGTTTAAACAGAAATTGCGGGAACATTATTTAAATTTGTAACTTTTTTTTTACTGTCTTTCTACCTTTTACACATCTTTCTGATATTTCCCTATAGCTCTCTCTATATTTATATATATATATTTTCTTACTTTCAACTTGAGGCTCTACTTATAATTTGATTATCAGATAATTATGTATTTATTTATATATAATATTTATATATTTATGTTTATATTTATACATTTATTTATGTATGTTTATTATTATTATTAATTTTTATTGAAATTTATATTTAAAATATTTTGCTTTATATTATATATATATTTTTTTTTTTTTAACATTACTCATTTATATTAGTGCACCGCCAACAATCTTTCTCTGCACCACTCATGGTTGACTGGTAGATAACGCCGCATGGTGTTAAGTCCGCCATATGTACACATTGTTTTTGTGCATTAAAGTTAAATAAATAAATAAATAAATAAATAAAGAGCGCGGCCGCGCAGCAGCGACCCGATAGGTGCCTTCCTACTAAGTGCGAACAACCGAGCATTTTCACTTCGCCGTCCGACCGTACGACCAGGGATCCTATAGTATATAGTCCTGTCATCATCAGTATCCAAAAAAATAAGATAATTGAAATAAAATATGAGATCTATAAGGGTTCCCCAATTATATATTTTACTCTTTATTACATTAGTAACTTAAAATAGTATATGGATATTAAAACGAATGTGCACCTTCAGTTTCAATCCTTGCAGGTTTATATTGATTAAAACAAGTTATAAATCCAACAAATTTATTCTACAAATCATTTATATATAACTATTTATGTAAAGTAACAAATTAGACAAAACTTCATGATTACGAATCCGCGGAAATATTTCCTTTAATATATATAATTACACTTATAAGCTATCGTCGTATATTCTTAAAAACATAAAACATATGAACAATATATTAGATGTTAAATAGTTGAATTCTTTTTTTAATCCGACGCTGCCTGGGCCTTATTTAAAATTACCAGAATTGAATGCTCCTTAAGAAAATTTGCTACAGGCCCTGCATTGGCATAATCTGGCACTTGATGATGTTGCAAGGCAATGTCTACTTTACATATAGTCCTGTATACTGTTCAAGAACATAAACTATATATTTATCTACAAATATTGAATAAAGATGTATACATAGATTATTTTATACAAGTGTAAAAATTTATAGTTCAAAGCCGTACGAAACAACGTTAATATACAATATATGGTCTTGGAACCAATTTGTTACTTTATATAAGTAATGTATTTTGGATGACGCGCAAGTAGAAGCAACTTGGTAATTCGTAGTGACATTTTTATATCAAATCATCAAAACATGTCCTATTATATGTTATAATTACTATTGTAATGTTAGTACAGGTTTTTTTTTATACCACAATGATGGCAAAGGTTTACCTACAATCGGTGAATCAATGACCACCAATACCTCTAAGCATCTTCTATATAAATGATTATAATTTATGTATCGAAATAAATGTACATATAGATATTTGAATTTATTAATAATATTAAATTATTAAAATTAGTGAATTTTTAAACTGAAGTTTTTCATTTTATAATTATTTTAGATGTGTTGCAATTACTCATGAGAATATTGGTTAAAAGCCTTATTTTTATACAATATACATATGTAGTAAACAATGTAGGAGTATTTTATTAAAACATAAGTTTAAAAAATTCTGAAATAACTAATGAAAAAAGTCTTTAGTGTAATTCAATTTATTATATATTGTATGTCTTGTTGATGTTTTGATAGAACAGTACAACATTATTTTTATATATGCGCCAAGTATAACAAATTTAATTACAGTGTACTGTAGATTTAAAAAATAATGTAACAAAATCACTTGAATAAGTGGCTAAATGTCGTATATGAACAAATGCTTTTAAGTTTAATTTGATTACTACTACTACCATAGTATCTACTAGTAGTATATATGTATATATATATTACTAGTAATCGTTTAACATTGCGACGTCATCCCTATTGGCTGTGGTGAATGTTGTTTACTCTGTCATCCAGTAGAATCGAGAGCCATAACGCGCGGGTTTCTTCTCTGCGTCCTCGGGTAAGGCTGGGGTCGCGTCCGGATAATGGATCTTGGGCTCTGGCAGAGGTTTCGGTCTGGAATAATAAATATATTTTGATGATGAACAGATATATATTATATATACATATTTATAGACGACCTCAATGATCTCATTCATAACACAGGCTCTGCTCTTACAATTAGTTTTGAATTGTCCTGAGATATTATTATTACTTCTTCTACTTACATCAGGTAATATTACAGTCAAACGGGCTGAAATTTCATAATAAATAAAATACATATTAGCCGCTTCGTCGTAAAATGCTAACAAAATGTCACTGTTGTTTTGTCTTTTATCAGCTTATATTGCTACATAGGTTTCCACAATCTGTCTACACGAAAAACTCAATTCTTGAGAAGACACCTCTAAGGAAAAGTGACTTCTCTAGAAACCATCGTGATCAATTCTTGGTGAATTTGTCACGATGGGCTAACTGACCAGACCTCATGCTCATCTTATCATCCTCCACTGGTGCCCCACCAGCGTAAACCGTTAGCGCAAGCGGGTGCACTATTCTACTGTCATAGATAAAAAAATTAATATGTTTGTAGGTATATTAAAATATGTAGTAAAAAAGTGTAGTTTCTTTACCTCTTTGTATCATGGACACGAGCTTCACAGAAGTAGCCGAATCCAGGGCGTTCCAGGTTCAAATTTTCTAGCATGCATTTGTCAAACACACCTTGAGTCTTGCGGCAGCTGAAAATAGATGTCATAATTAATAAATCAAAACTTTTTTATGTAACTGGAATGGCAAACAAGCCGACAGACCAGTTTATGGCAATCATCATTTTGTATAATATATCAAGGGCATAAGGAGACATCCACATTTTTATGAAACATAAATTTAAAGCTTCTTTATATATAAAAATGTGATATTCAAAGTTTGTATGGAAATTCATCATTTCTTTTTTTGTTCCATGCAAACAAATGGCTGGCACAGCTAGTATTTTATATTTTTAATACTAGGAATTGAATTAAAACAATGTTGGTTCAGATTGTTTCCAGTTGTATTGAGGTTAACATTTTCATTTATATTAATATAGTGGACTAGCTGTACCCGCAACTTTGTATGCGTGGAATTTAACAAAAAAGTAAATTAGAGAATTTTTCTAAAATAGAAATAGCCTAAGTACTCATTATTACATCAACTACCTAGCAAAAAAAGTCCCATCAAAAGCGGTCCAGCCATTTCAGAGATTAGCAGGAACAAAACAGACAGACAGACAAAAATTGTAAAAAGTGTTATTTTGGTATATGTACCGTATTTATATTCATATGCATGTAGTAAAAAATGGTTATTTTAATATTACAAACAGACACTCCAATTTTATTTATATGTATAGATGTATATTAATACTTACTGGGACAGCCCAAAGTCACCGGAGCTCTTGTCAATACAGTTGGCATATTGATTGAATTCACTCAAACATGCCTTTTTCACTTTCCTAAAGAACTCCATGGTACATGCTGTGACCACTTTGCCCTCGTTAATACATTTCCGAGGATCCTTCTCCTCAAATCTACATAACATAAACTCCTGAAAAATATTGTTATTTTTTTATTATTTATTTATTTTTAATAACAATAGATATTTTATAAATAATATAATAAATAGTTTAACGGAACGAGGAACGTGTCAACACTCTGTGTCAGTTTAATGTTTTACAGTTTTTCCAATTTCATTATTTAAAGTACATTTTCATTATAATTGTTAGATGTATTTCTGAGTAAATGTGTGTACTGTATATGCAAAAATAACTCATTTTATAGTAATGAATTAGATAAACTACTTCTAAAGTAATTAAGTGAAACAAAAATATCTAAATTAGACCTCAAAACATAACCTCAGTAAGATCTGATTATGCAATCAGTAATACCCATCTAAATAACATAAAATAACAAGAAATAATAAATTATATGGCTAATACTAAATAGATATTGTGGTAAAATAAAAATTGTACTTACATTATTGGCTTGTTCACAATATTTTCCTAAATGGAACGACCCAGCGATCAAAGTTGGTCCCGATAAACTGACCTCAGGGACGGTCAATTCAGAATCTTCCGGCAAATGTACGTCCGCAGTTACGACCATTTTAATTAAATTAAATTTTACAATGAATTTTGTTTAATAAATAACTATTTCAATAATTTAAAATTTTGGATGTATACAAAGTGGTGTAGTATAATAATACAACGCATTTAAGAAGATTGGTATCATAATATACAAAAAGAGTAAAAAACACAGTTATTCCATTATAGTAAAAGAGATGGAAGATCTACTGCATCAATACGGACTACAACACAATATGTTTGGTTATTCTCAAACATCTGACGTTTGTTCAGTTAATGTTGACAATGACAGTTATTCTATCCGCATCGCGATTCGTTTCACGCAAATTCTGTGACCGACAAACTTGAAGATAAAAATGTAATATAACTAGACTGGCTTACCAGATATCCAAATATCGTAAGCGGTGGAGACGGAAGCAGATACGGGTATTACACACTGAAAGGGATCAGGCGAGTAGGTACACAACACGACACGAACACTTTAGACACTATTATTTACAATTTATGTAATACGTATATGACATACACTTTTTCAGTTTTTTTGAGAGTGACAATAAACAAGGAGGGTAGCCCTAGTAACCACTCTAGTCATAGACTTTATACTAGCGCTATTCAACCTTAATAAAATGTAGTGATTAGTGCAAGGAACATAATACTCTAAAGAGGATTAGTGTGATGGATGAAACCATTAAAAAACACCAAAACTGTGAATTAAATTGTTTACTTACTAACTCTAAGTGTAACATAACTGTGAAGAGAATAAAAGACAATAATACTCTTGAAAACACAGAGTTCTCTATTTGAAAAATAAGAAATAAATTATTAGAGGGTTTAACAATTATTTTTGTTGGAATTTCCAACAATATTTTTGGGGGTATTTTGCGGTTATTGTTAGTTAGCTAAGTTAAATGGTACCGATTACCAATTTCAAATGTATTTAAAAAAGATATTAATTTTATTTTGCCTTAAATGAATGTTTACAACTGACTTACATATTCAAGCCCCATATTTTACCGACAGAATAGGTAAAAAGAATTCCCCGACATTCGGAAGTTGGAATAAATGAAATTCACGAAATGAGTAATAAAACGTAATATATTATCTTAAATAATGAAATGACTAGCTTAAACAATTTACTCATTGAAGATGGCCAGGGTCGTATAATTTATATTATTTCTGATTTTATGAAGGTACAAATACCTATAATTATTTCATATTTTCTAATGGATAGCTGTATGGATTTAACTGTTCCTCGTTATACCTCACTGGCACTTCATCTGAAACGTAAAGAAATAAACAAGTTTACGAGATAGCATAGAGCATAGATAAAATATAGAGAAGCCTGAGTGGTAAGTGGTTTACTACCCAACTTTAGCTGCGAAGGTCGTAAGTTCAAATCAGTTTACAAACATAACAGCGGCACGCACGCTCCCTGACACTTTAGATTCCATGGCAAATAACAGGGTTCCTTATGTTCCTAAGAGTTAGTTGGCGCCTCGGAGCGAACCCCTTTGCCCAGGAAATTTGGTACACAGACAGTCTAGACCCTGACAAAGGCTACTTTTTAGTGATTCAAGAGGAAAGTTTGTATTTCTATTTAAAAGATTTGTAATGCATCCGTGTCGCAATACATTATATAGGGGCAAAGGGGATTGTTAGTAATGTGGACTAATGATCTTATTGCTAGCAATGTACCATGTCAGGTTGACGTCCACGCGGTTCCCCCTGGAAACCATCGTGATCAATTCTTGGTGCATTTGTCACGATGGGCTAACTGACCTGACTTCATGCTCATCTTATCATGCTCCACTGGCGCCCCGCCAGCGTAAACCGTTAGCGCAGGCGGGAGCACAATTCCATTATCATCGTAAAAAAAATACTTTATAATTGTTGTAGACATTTCTTTTTGGACTCTAATACTGTTTTACAGCTTCGAGACAAAATGGGATTGAGTGCTGAGGTGTGCAGAGTGCTGAGTTCAAACACTCGAAATTAATATAAGACTCGAACCTCAGTCTAAGCCCTATGTATATTTATATTGTAATTAATTTTAAATATCCAACCGTACCTCCATACTGTCCAAATGCTTCCGTTGGCAAGGAATAAATTTTTGGTATATCGTAATGATTCCCCTGGAAACAAAAACAACTTTTAAAATCTAATACGATATATTAATTCTCGTATGAAAGTTTTTAAGAAAACACCTCCGAAAAGGTTTGATAGGTTCTTATGAAATTTTGTATGTATATTCTGTAGTAGGTTCAGACCTACTACACACATTTAATAGTTTTAGTCCTATATTCAGTATAGGACTAAAACTATTTTCTTGCCCCACAAATGTATGGACATTTCTTAATTTTTTTATGATTAAAAAATACACACAACGCTAACTTTGCACCATAAATCCCTATTTTTTAATAGCAATATTAATATATGCAGCAAAACAATTTTTGCCGGAACAGCTAGTTTATAACTTTATATAAAATACTTAGATAGAGAGATGTCTAACTATATACTATATGTATATACATATATATTTGTGTGTGTACAGGTAGGTATATAAGTTACATCATGTCTAGTTTCCTAAATAATAACCAAATACGAAAATATCTTACCGAGTCGTAGTTCCTTCTTCCCATTCTAGGTATGTTCTTGTTTGTTTTGATGACATATCCGGACGCATCCTGAACATATGGACCATCGGCCTCATTACTCCTGCCAACCCTAGGTAAATTATTAGGTTTTAAAAAAGAACAGTCGATCACCAACAATGAATAAAAAAAGGTTAATAAACCTAACGTAAGCGTAAATTTTACCGCCATATTGAATAAAATATGTATTTTGGCGGGAAACGTGGTGCATGAAGCGTTGAAAGTCGAATAAGTATTTACCAAAATAGTGCCCAATTTATAGTTCATTCGATTTCTACTAGTGTGTACACCTGCATTGTTTATACCGTTTGGAGAATACTAATAAGTTTAGATATTTATCTAAGTATAATAGGGGTATTTAGATATGCATCTGTTTGTCGTTAACATTTTAATTTCTTAGTTAACATTATGTGTATTGGTAAAAACACTCTCAAACACTCCAAGCAACTTGCATATCTACTTAGTGTGTGTATTTCGGAACTGATAGTACTAGTGTTAGAATTCACATCATTATTGTAAAAATCCGATATTTTAAAAATATATTAAAAGAAGGTAGTTTGTTTTTAGTACTAATGAAGTACCCAATGTAAGGATTATTACGAATATTGTAAATAGCGCCATCGAGTATTTATAGAATAACCTACTACACTGACTTTGGTCTATAAATACGGAGGTCGGTAGTTGAATAATCGTCTTTCGTTGCGTGAGCCGCGGCATTCAGTGGACGAGCGCAGAGCATGCCAGTTGTGTTTTGGATATTAAAGTGAATTGTATTAGCAATGGGTTTATCCCGGTCTTAGTTGGGCCTGGGGGGAAGCTGCAAGTAGTGAAGGTGAGTGTTAATGCATTCTAAAAGGGCCTTTTAAACCTACACCCGTGTCACAAGTCACAGGCGCTACTTGGGGTTTCCCTTACGGTAGCCGGCTTCAAAGCCTCAGGCGTCCTTGATAATTTGTGCTTAAAGCTGTTTCTTTAGCGCTTCTTTATTTTAACCCAGGCATTCGGAACATAACGGTAAGACATCGAGGCAATAGTTTAAGAAACATCAGCTAGTTTTTGTAGTAATGATCTCAAGGAATTAACTGAGCAAGAAGAAAACAAAAGTATTGATAGTAGTGATTTAGAAGAAAAGAAAGAAAGATATCCTCGTTTAGCGCTGGAATTTATTGGAACGCGTTAGCAAAGTATTACTGGTTATGATCCTAGTACGGTAATGGTGCAGTAAGGGTTTTTTAGAAAAATTCTTGCTATTCCAGACAAGTTGAGGTCCACCTGGTGGTGAGTAGCAACCCTCACCTATATATACTTACATGAAAAGCATCACGAACGACATCATGTGACAACTGTAGTAGATCATCACCTGACATCTCCTCATACATTGCCATTGCAGTGGACTAAGATTTTTTTAAAGGTTGATAATGAAATGTATAGTCTATATGTATAGTAGGACCATTGCACTCATATAGACCGTTATTAAAAAAAATGGGTGTGTTAACTGCTACTGCCATGTACATTTATGAAACAGGTATGTTTGTAAAAAAACATCCATATTTATATGACAAAATAAACAATAATAGCAAATTTACACAAAGAAACCCTACTAAATTAAAAATGCCACCGTGTACAACTAACTTGCATAAAATTAACTCACACTTCAGCTCCATACAAATATATAAAAATATATTAAAAAATAATTACACCAATGGCTTGTTAAAAAATGCTGTTGCTCTTTGCGAGAATTGACCTGACATTTAATATTTTTATTTATAATGTAATTTAATTGTAACAGTAATTGTTATGAATTATAATTTGCATGCCCCCTGAATATGAGACGAACAAAAAAAAAATGGTGCTCTCGCTTGCGCTAAGGGTATACGCTGGCAGGACGCCAGTGGAGGATGATAGGATGAGCTTAAGGGTAGATTTTTTAAATTGATAACAATGGAATGATTCACCCGCTTGCGTTAATAGTTTACGCTGGGGGTTGGGGCAGCAGTGCATCTTGTATGGCACATTGTCCTGTACGCTGGCAGGACGCCAGTGGAGGATGATAGGATGAGCTTAAGGGTAGATTTTTTAAATTGATGATAATGGAATGGTTCAACTGCTTGCGCTAAGGGAATACGCTAGTTGGGCACAAATGGAGAATGATATTACAATACAAGCATGTGGTTAGATATTTTTAAATTGATGACAATGGAATGATTCACCCGCTTGCGCTAACAGTTTACGCTGGGGGTTGGGACAGCAGTGCATCTTCTATGGCACATTGTCGTAGGCGGAACCCTCGTCTGGGGCCGCAAGGTCGGAGTATGATTTGATTAGGACTAGGTTTTAATGGTACTGTTTGTTTTATTGTCTGACTTACTTTTACGTACCAAAAATGGACAAAATTCCCTAATATTCAAAAATAACAACGAAAATGTAATGTTGTAAGTTATTTAATTTAATACTGGATTACAATTATTCTTTCTCAAATACATACCATTAATTAGTTAAGCAGGGAGCATCACGTGATATATATTATATACAATTAACGTAATTTTTATAATGACATGGTGCCAGTGGAGGATGATTGAGATGGGCATATGGTCAGGTCGGTTAGTCAAACCTGTAGTCAGGTCAGTTAGCTCATAATGGCAAATGGCAATTTACCATGATGGTTTCCAGGGGAACTGCGTGGAGGTCAACTTGATATGGCACATTACTAGCAATAGGGTTATTAGTCCACATTACTATAATCCCCTTCCCCCTAATAATGACATGGTGCACCCTATAATACCCCATGGGTGCCTTGCCAGCGTATTGCCTATGCTAACGATATACGCTGGCGGGGCATCAGTAGAGGATGGTTCAGATGAGCATGAAAGCAGGTCAGTTAGTCCTTATTGACGAATATATCACCATGGTTTCCAAGAGGTACCACGGGGTGGTGGACCAGACATGTACCATGTACATTGCTAACATGGGGATTCCATTACTAAACACCTAAGGTTTGCAAATTGAAAATAAAAAAAAACACTTTTTCGCCTTTATTTATGCCTAACCCCTAGTGGTGCCCTCAGACTAAAGTCGTATCCGTAAGGATTTGGCCTTCAGCCGCTTTATAAGTCCGTCAGTTTAAAGTGCCACTCTGCACTCGCCCTCTGTTGCTCGGTAAAGCTGTAAAGGACAGCTGCGGCCAACACCACTAACTTATAAGATGTTTCATAATATCTCATAACATGGCAACGGCTAATGAGACGATCCCTCCCCATATTAACAGTCGCTCTAATCTGCTACACAGTATTGCTAGATGATCACCTTGTATTTCCCCAAAATTTGTCTAAAATATAGGTTTTTATTTTTTCAAAAGAAATTCAAAAACCGCCATACATCAATAAAAAAGTTTATCTTACGACCTTTTATAGACTCACACTTGACACACACTTGATCATCGCGACAATGATGACTTTTATTTAAGGCCGCTTGCTTATTCTAAACTGTTTATATTTTCTTCTTTTTTTTTAAACATCACATTTGTTTTTAGGCTTGCCTACGTTTTAGCCCGTAAGACGCACCCCTCCCTCGCAACCTCAATGTCTTCCTCACTAAACTTGGGGTAAAAAATTCCAATATATTCATAAATACTAATCCCTGTATCATACGAGAAATTGAAGCTGCGAGCATCGTAAGGCGGTGCGCTAACTTTCTAGACAACCGAAACCATATTGCAATGACATTAGATGTCGAGGGATGGTTTCTAAAATTATCCTAATTTATGGTCTTTATGTAGGTCAAATCCTTATATAGCGCAGGCGACGCAGGACCCATTCGCGACCCATTTGGAGGAATAGCATTCATTAAAACGTCTAAGAGAAAAGAGAGCCTGATCTGCTCCAAGTAATAGGAACTTTCTCTCTATTTGGAAGTTCACGTTGGAGAGCGCTGTGGTGATCAGGAGAATTGGCCACAATAAGCTAACTGACCTAGTTTAATTTTCATCCATTTATACTTCATTGGTTTCCTGAACGCGCGCTTTTTACTATGAACAGCGCCACTAACCATGTCCAGGAACCACGACTCTTTATTTCGTAGTAAAGTAAAGTTCTGCTATCCGCTACACCAGAACTTTTTTTCTGAAGGGCGTCTCCAAGTACTGACGTTAGGTGCATCTTCCGAATTCTACACTGCTCAGTAAGTAGCAGTTGAGGATTTTGGAGTAAAAACAGTTTTCATTTCGTGTTCCCTTTCCACCCCTCTTGTTGGCCAGATCTCTTTTGTAATTTCACAGTCTGGGGTTTCAAACTTGCCTAATATATTTTCAGGGTAATCAAGAACTTTGAAAATACTAAGGTCTACTCCTGTGTATAATTTGAATCCTTTCTTCTTTATGTATTGGGCAGACATCCAGTCAACGAAGACAACGCGTCTAACTGAATAACTGTCAACCTGTGTCGCCACTATATCCCAAGAGGCGGTTACTAAGTCTGGATGGAAGCGCTGAAGCATTGTTAGCACTCTCTCGGGTTTTAGACAGCCAATATTTCGGGATTTCCAAGCCATTTTAATGGGCCTTGGAAGATCCTTAATATTCAGCACATTTAACTTGATACCATTAATAATACTCCCATTAAGGATATATAGCCAGTCTGCTGATGCTTTTCCGTCACAGTTAACATGAATGGCTCCTGACACTATTCTCATCATATTGAACTTTGGGAGAGGATCACAATTTAACTCTAACTTCTTCCATATCACTTCCTGGATGAGAGCATAATCTTCCTCTCCCAAATGATGCGCAGGGTAGTTTTCAGCTACAATAGCCATTACATTTTTAGACATGGTCTTTGACTCATCATAGATCTCTTGTTTATTAACACCAAATATTCTTGATTCTTCGGTTCTACTTCTATTCAGTGGCGTTTGGTATACATGCCGAGCTGCACCACTACTGGCCTGTAGTAGCCGCAACAAAACTTCCTCTCGACGACGACGTTTATTATGATATAATATCTTTTTCTGTTGTTGGCTATAGTTCATCATTGTTATGATATTCCTATTGGATACCTGGCTTGCCAAGATATTTTTATTTCTTTCAAGATTTCCACAATTGCTGGATGGCAATGGGAACTCTTTGCGGATTCCATAATTGCTGTCCAAAGGTAGTGACTCCTTACATTCGACTGGTGATTGGTTGCTGAATTGTTTCGCATCTCTTGAGAATTGTATTGCCATGGTCGGATCCTGAATTAAAAATAATTTGGTTAGTATATAATTATTATACTTAATTTTTGTACTTGTAAAAATTCATCTGCACCTCAATCTCGGCTATTTCAGCTCCCAAACAGCTTATTTTGTAAGCTGTGTGTGTGTCAGTTAAGTGAAATTACAGGATATATCTATTACTTTTTGTGTTAAGGTTATTCTAATATTATTCCACAACATACTTAAAAAAATAAAATCGAAATTATAATGTACATAAGTTATAATAATTCAATCATTATAAGTTCATAACACTTGTTGGATATAAATCCATTTTTCTACATACTTGCAATATATTAGTACAATCCTAATTTGATTTTTATCCACCAAATTTGGGAGTAGCAGTAACTAAAACTTGAGTTGTTCTTTATATGTCGTGGTGAGCACATTTATTTCAGGTATTTTTCAGCAAACAATAAAACAGATTCATCAGCTGCAATATCCACACCTCATCCAATTAGAAAATCATCTTACGCACATTGTCATCTCGTGACATAATGTGTTCAGTATAAAACATGGAATGTGTTCAGTATAAAACGTGGAATGTGTATGGCACCTACATATGTGGATGACATGATCCAGTTTTGTCTTTGAGTTGCCTTTTTTCCAACAATACAATCAGACTGGTAAATGTTTACTATCTGATGGGCCCTATGTTGGTTTACCATCATCATAGTATAAAAAAATTTATATGTAATCAATGATTTCAATTGTTCAGTAAGTATATCCATTCTAATATTATTGTATCAATTCGGTAGAACTGATGACACTTTGGGAGACCGCCGTTGGCATCGAATCAAGAGACGAGACTTCTGATCATGAAAATTATCACATGATCAGCCTCAAAATTATCTCAAGATTGCTGTTGCGATTGGCTATAGTACGATCAGTCAAGAAACAGGTCTGTGATTGGTCATTTCAATTCACTCGGACTGTGTTTATGAAACATATATATAAATTTATAAAAATGATGATGAAACAATTATTAATGCCAAATTGGGTCTGTCAGTCTGTATTTTGATGACAGGCTATCTGTTAATAACACAATACTGTCCCAAACTAATCAGAGCCTTGTTTGTGTACTAAACTAGTGATAGGAATATTATTATTGTATATTTTTTAGATAAATACACATATAGATAGAAAACATTCAGACTTATAGTCATATTGATGAATCTTTGCTTTGTGTGGAATCAATCTGCAACTATGGGGGGAAGAGGATTGTTAGTAATGTGGACTGTTGACCCTATTGCTAATGTGATATAGTAATTGAATTACAGTACATAGTTTAATAGACTGCCAGTGAATGTTAGATAAGTCACTTTATCAAATGTCACATAAGTTATGTAGTTGTTGTGGTGGGGTTCTTTTGTGTTAAGATGGTATGTGAGATGATGTGTTAAATAATAAATAATATGTATGTTTGCAGCAGAAGAATTCTATTGTCCTTTTTTAATATATTTTACAATAATGTCAATCTATATTTGACAACTATTACTTGTAATAAAACTTAATCGGTGAGGAGGTTGTATATACACCTAACAATAGTGTTTAATATAAATAGTCTTAATAACTAGTGTAGAATTAGAGTAACTCAAGATATAACTAATATACAAGTGCCAACAACCATGTTTGTATGGTTACTTTCACAACCAATCTTGTCATCACACTAACAATGTACCATGTTAGTTTGATTTCCACACAGTTCACCTTGGAAACCATCATAATAACTTCCTGGTAAATTTGTCAAGATGGGATAACTGACCTGACCTCATGCTCATCTTATTACCCTATTCCCCAGTGTAAACCGTTAGCGTAGACAAGTGCACTATTTTATCATCCATAAAAAAACCCGCGACCTTCGAAGGTAAGGCGGAGTGTAAAACTGCTAGTCAGCCACTGTACATACAATACTGTTACCTATTTATAAGAGTTTGTACAAGAGATGGTGTTTATTTATTTTTCTACTTACATCTTTAGTAAGTAATATTATTTCTTGCATTATTTCCTTTGGATATCTACATCCTCTAAACTTGATGTTCGCCAACACCCAAGATAAGTACACCAACTTTCTTTCAGGGTAATACCTCTTCCATTTGTTCATAAAAATGTGCCTTACGTGCCAATGGTATGCGGTCTCGTAATGCATTCTATGTTTTCTAAATGCCCAATCGGTATTGAAATCCATTCTAAGACAATTTTTAAAAATTTTGTTCTTATTCAGTGAAAACACATAGTATATATTGGCAACGAAAAAAATTGTTATTCTAACTGCTAGTACTGCAGTAGCAAAACTAGACACGCCAAATCGTTCATAAAATACACAAAACAAGTACAAATGTTTTACAATTTAATATTATTATATTATAATTTTTTCATGCCAAACAAAACACTTGGAATTTTTTTTATTCGTAGTTGAATTTCAGATTATTTTTTTATTTATCTGTCAATCTATCAGTAGTAGTAGTGGTATATTTTATCCACAAGTGGATAGGCAAAGGTACGAGTCCATACAGCCTAATCTTCTTCAGTAGTATTTCCATGAGATTCAAAAATTCTTCAAGGCGATCTCGCCAAATCTTTTCATTATGAAAGCGTAGCGGGTTTTGTTTTGATTGCCGCATGCATTCTTGTGTGAAATGTGAATACTATAAACATCAGATGGCAATTGTGAGTAGCTATGCGTAGCGTGGTCTGGTGTTTTCAGTAGTCATGTTCACTAAAATGTCCAGACTTGTGGCGGCGTGGTGGGCCGGGTCATTGGGCTCCCTAAAATATGGTCGAGCGCAGTGGTGGCTGGCTCATCCGTCATACTCGTGAACGGGCGCTGCTTGTGTGGACTGGTCTGCTCTAATCACTATGACTTATTTTCTTTTATTAATTGTTTAACCAGTTGTTGTATATTGAATGTTTTTTTTCTATTTTATTATTTCATTGAATTAGTGCTAATCGGTGGTTTGTATTCACATACTTAAACTTAAATTGTAAGTAAGAATAAATTATTTAAAAGAGCAACACACAAGTTTCTTGCTTGTTCTTCTTGTGATGTGCATTTCGAATGAGCGGTAGATTAAAAAAAATGTTATGACTATTCAAAAGTGCTTCAATGTAAGTTTATTTGAATAAATGATTTTCTATTCTATTCTATTAATTATAAGTTTGTGTTAAGTCCATGTATGTGTCCATAATTGAAATGATCACCAGTTATTCTTGTATTAACCTGTGCAGTTTGGCATTTGTGGTAGACTATATAAGCGACACCAAGGAACAAAGAATATACTGCTCAAGAGGAACTATAAAGTTCGAACTTGTGGCGGCGGTGGGCCGGGTCAATGTGCTCCTTCCAATATGGTTGAATGCAATGATGACTGGGTCATCCGTCATGCTCGTGAACGGGTGCTGTTTATGGGGGTCTGTACTGGTCTGTTCAAGTTACGAACACTGATTACTTTTTGCTTTTGCATATGCTAGTGGTCACTGTATTCTTCCAAATTTGAATTTAAAAATAAATCTGTATTATTGTAAACATTTATTTGAAAAGAATACGAGGAGGAAGTGGTGAATTTCTTGTCATTCCGAACTTACGGAAGATTTGACATATCATAAGAGTCTGTAATAGATCTGTATAAAGATATTTTGAATTTGAATATAATTCTCTAAAGAGAGACCTGTTTACGGTTTTGAGCCTTTGGTATATTTACTTTACTCTTTGGTATTGAGAGAGACTATATGACACAAAATGAATAAAACGGAAAAATAAAAAAATGCTCAGTTTATAACTAAACATATTCAAATTTATTTTAGAATCAATATTATAAATTCATAACAATCATCATACATTGAAGTGTAAACAGGAAATATAACAGCAGTTGATTGTAACCAGATCACCTGTTCAACATCATTAACAAAAACAAAGTATATGTAATGGAACCACCCAGGAGAATGCAACTGCCCCTTAACCTCGAGAATTGCATATATTTATTTATCATATTTAACTTCAACATTAATACTCAAATAAAGGAGCACATGGCGGCCTTAGGCAGGAGGGAAGTGGATTGTTAGTAATGAGGCCTGCTGACCCTATTGCTAGCAATCTAACATGTGGGGTTGACCTCCACGTTTCCCCCTACAAACCATCGTGATTTATGCCTGGTACATATGTCATGATGGTCTAACTGACCTGACCTAATGTTCATCTTACCATCCTCCACTGGTGCCCCGCCAGCGTAAACCGTTAGCGCAAGCGAGTATACCATTCCATAATCATCCATTAAAAAAACGAAATACATCAGTACATTCTTTATGTAACTGGAATGACAAGATGACTGGCCAAACACTATGTCAGTGGCGTTCGTCGAGTATACATATACAGGATTACTCGGAAAGGGTATTCTAACCCCTAGAACTGTAACATTACTAATAACCATAGATCTAGACACGCGGTAGCGTGTCAAGCCGACTTTCAAGTAAACTGGCAAGCAGCACCGTGTGTATATTTACACGAACCATTTGGAGCCACTTTTGACCCCCTCATAACTCAAAAACTATTTCACACAAACCTGTCAAATTTGGTTCATATATTGAGACTTGCGAGATAAACATGTGTTCCAAATTTCATAAACATATTTCAAACGGTTATTTAGATATGAATGTCCAAAAATCGTCATTTTTATCACTGATCAACTATAGATCAAAATTATAACCCACTTCCAGATGACCTAGGAAGTTCAAATTTGGCATGCAGATAGGTAATTAGGTGAATATAAAGGAAAAAATTGGACTGAAACTGGTAAATTGTTATCATTTTACTACAATTTTTCACTTTAATTGATTCTATTTCAACTTATACTGGACGAATACTAAAATTCTATGAAAACGTCGATAGCCACCAATTGACATTGATCCCTGGCGAAAATATCTCATCTTGTACTGGACGGAAAGTAATATTGTATGAAAATGTCGATCATTACCAATTTACGTTGACCCCTTCACATCAGTGTCGATAACTAGCAAACTTCAAATATTGCATTGAGCGGTAAACACTAGTTGCTATAATTTAGATTCTGTCTAAAATATACTCGTACTTATAACTAGGAGTATAGTCGAATTTCGTATTTATTATGTTATTAACTGAGATTTGGTATTAATTATTGTTTCAATATTTAGCGCACATCGATAATGTAAAATCATTATTTTTATAAATAATTATTAAATAATAGGCATTTCGGTATAGGGCGCCGCGGCGGCGCCGCGGCGGCGCCGTGTGGGAGCGGTGCGATAAAACGTTGACGCGAACCTGTCCGAGCGAATGGCAACCGCCCTCATGTCTCAATGTTTTGTTTCTCGATATCTAACCTATAAGGTTGCGATTTATGCTACGAAATTCATAGCTTTCTTAAATTATACTTATATATTTGTGGTTATATTATTATTACATTATTTTATATACGAAAATACAGTAATTTATCAAAAATAATTTGGTATTAATTTAGTTATAAATAAGTACCTCGTATAATTTATGTACAAAAAGTTTTCACATTGTGTTTGTCACAATGTTCACATTTATGTTTTTGATGGGATATCATTATCCCATCAAAAACATAAATGTGAAATGATAGCCGAGTTTAATATTATGATATATGCCTTGATTGTTGACTTCTACGACAAAAGAGATGAGATCTAAATGGGTGCCAAGTTCAATGGTCTGTCCTGAAATGTATTTATAACAATATAAAATATCATTTCTTCTTATAACTTAGGATAATATACTGTAGCCTAAGGTCTGTGTCTGTGTTCGTTACCACAGATACTTTCATAACAATAATATATCCTTTCTGACTAATCCTGTATATACACGAAGAACACCATCATATTACGCCAGTACAGGATATCATGTTACGTCAGCGCTACCTCTCACACGTTTTTTTTTATGGATGATAATGGAATGGTGCACCCGCCTGCGCTAATGGTTTACGTTGGCGGGGCACCAGTGGAGGATGATAAGATGAACATGAGGTCAGGTCAGTTTACCCGTCGTGATAAACTCACCAAGAATTTATCACGATGGTGTCCAGGGGGAACCACGGGGAGGTCGACCTGACATAGTACATTGCTAGCAATGGGAGTTACTAGTTCCCATTACTAACAATCCCCTTTCCCCCCCTCCCTCTCACACGTTGCATTCTGGAGGACTAAGATACCATGCGTTTGTACTCTGTGATTATGCTATCTCAATCTTCAGCCCTAGTAGCTGAAATAGCTGAGATTTGAGACTTTATGCAAAGTCATCTGCAAATTACCATATTTATAGATTTGTCTGATTAATGAAGCAACTTTCAAATTATTCATTTCATTATGATATAAGTTGAATGTCGTTTCATTCTTCTTTTTGTGTGTTTAGTATGTACATATTCATCTGCCGTTGCTCTTGCCAACAGCGACAGGTATAAATACTTGATACTTCGGCGTGTTCCCGCCCTTTTCTATAACGGCGCGCGCCAATGAGAACGGATCCAACTTTTTTTTTACTACTAGAAATCTGGAACAAAAAGTATTTCATGTACAGGCCAGTTCATTAATAAGCTTAAAATAAAAGTAACTTAGGACTATTCACACAGCGTCATCTAATCTAAGCTAAGAAGAGCTTTACATATATTACATATTTATTTAAATAACTGTTTATTTATTTACTGCTATTTACATACGATGTTATTTATTATGAAGTAACAGTGAAAATATTTGTTTTTTGAATTGCTCAGTTGTCCTTATCCTCCTTAAAAATATGGCTGCTTAAGATCAGCTCTACGTCCAGGTTGCCGTGAGAATATTTGTTTCTTTGAATTGCTCCTTATCGCCGTAACTTCTCGAAGACAGTCTCGCTGTCTGCTCGAGTCGGTGCAGCAGCGCCAGCTCCTCCTCCTTGTTGAACTCGATGCTGAAGACCAGATCGAAGTCCAGGTTACCGTGAGAATATTTATTCCTTTGAATTGCTCACCTATCCTTATCCCCGTAACTTCTCGAAGACAGTCCTGCCCTTTGCGCGAGTTGGTGCAGTAGCGCTCGCTCCTCTTTATTGAACTCGCTGCTGAAGACCAGGTCCACGTCCAGGGTGTCGGAGGCGAAGTACCGCTGCATAAGGTCTTGGGCGGCGCGTCTCAGTTGCCGGATGTCAGCGTCTGCGCTGCCGAGACCCGCACGATTCACCTATACCACAATGTTTAGTTCACTTTTTTGTCCTTGTATGGAGATATACAAGGACAATCAGTAAACTTCCTATAATTTGTTTACGGACTTGTTGGTAGATGTCAATGCCAGTCTGCAGTCCATTGAGTTTACGACTTTTTATTTAATGCCTCCCTCTGGTTTAAATTTTGTAGTATTTAGTTTATATGTGTCGTTTTTATGCATTTTGGGGGGTTGTTAATAAGTAGCCTCTGAGACAACTCTGGCTAGCTCTCCATTGTATTTTGAGAAAGTGCGGGCAAGCTCCTCTTGTACAGTGGAGAAATTCAAGAAATGGATTTCTGAGTTGGTTATAAACCATGGTGCTTTACGAATGGTCTTCAAGATCTGGCTTCTGGGAAACCGTTAGAGAATTTAAAATGATAATACAAACCATTTGTAAATTGGGTTTAATAGGTTCAGCTATGCCCTGTGCGTCGGCGCCCAGCCCTCCACCTTTCCACCCCATTAGTTTCATCATTCTATAATTAAAATGCAATATATTAATATAATCAGAAAATTTACATTACAAAAACTTAGATTAGTATCGAATTTAGCAGCTAAATTCATACTCTCTCAACAAGTTCTTGTATCTTTAGGTCACGAGCTGACAATCAGCTCGTGACCACGGTAAAATTATTGATGTTAAGATCCGGTTAATAATATAAATATTATAATTAACTTACTTAGTAGCTACACTATTCTCAATGGGGGTGCCAAAATCCCCCTTTCTCGTGGACACATCGCGCATTGATATTCTGGAATCTCCCTGAGCTATCCATTGCTCTTTCACCAATATACTTATTGCTTCTTCGCGTAATCGCTATAAGATAATATACATATAAAGTCGTCTGCATGATTACTCGATGTAATTCTAAGCTATTGGGGGAAGGGGATTGTAAGTAATGTGGACTAATAATCACAGTGCTAGCAATATACCATATCAGGCTAATCTCCACGCTGTTTCCTCTGAAAACCATCGTGATAAATTCTTGGTGAATCTGTTACAATGGGCTAACTGATCTGAACTCATGCTCATATTTTCATCCTCCACTGGTGCCCCGTTAGTGTAAACAGTTAGCGCAAGCGGGAGAACTATTCCGTTATCATCCATAAAATAAATTCTAAACTATTAAGTAAACTTTGTTTAGGCAGTAAAATTACAGGAAAAGAGACGTGATATCTTAATCCTCTGGAATAACAAGGCATGAGTGATGTAATGGATGTCACATAATAATGTAATGCTCCTAGTGTTGTTCATATATATATAGACGACGATTACCGCATATGGTAAGGTAGATGTCAGATAGTTTACCATTCTAATAATGTAAAAAAATAAAGCATGAGTATATTAATATTATAATGAGGTAAGTTTGACAAAGTAATCACCGGTAGTAATGATCTGATGTTGAAAATTCTTTTAGTGTTGGATAGCCCATTTGTCGAGAACGGCTAGACTGAGTCTATATAATAACATGTTACAGCCAGCACTAGCAATAGGCACTCACAAAATGTTGCAGCTACTAGCAATACTACTGTATATCTGTATTGTTTTGTATTATGTTGACTGACTATAGTAATTGTGTATCTAGTTTTAATTTTTGTTATTAATATTACTGTGCATTATGTGTGTGTGTGTGTGCCTATATCGTAAATAAGAATTTTATCTATCTATCAATAGGTGTGGAGATGCCAAGAAATATTTTGCCAAAATGAGGAAAAAGTTGACATAGACAAAGTTGTGCAGGTCAGTGAGTGTATGAGCTATAACTGGTGATGGTTAATACAAATCAATACTTACATTCCAGGCTAACACTTCAACTATACTCCTAGCTTCTACCTTACTAATGCCAGTGGCTTGCGCCAACAGTTTTTCATTCAAAAACATTGAGAAATAGTTATTCTCATACACTGTTCTTATTGGTACTCCACACACTTGGCAGCTTGCTGAAACATAATACAATACATATAAACAGACACCTACACTATTTTCATACCAAATAGAGCACTGTTTCCCAACATGGGGTCCACACCCCACAGGGGGTGGTTAACATTTGATTGTTAAGGTGGGCAATTTGAAAGTGGACAGTTTATTAAAATTATATGGAATCTGAATAATTAAATTTTTCATTTATATGTTTTGAATATTTAATTATTTACTTACAGTTCAATAACATTTTCCTAGTCATTTATTCCTAAAGGCAATTTTAAAAAGGAACTGTTTATTAAAATTATATTGAAACTGAACTTTAATTTTTCATTTATGTTTTGAATATTTAAATATTTACTTACTGTTTCAATAACATTTTCCTAGTGATTTCTTCCTAAAACCTATTAAGAATTTTAGTAAGGCTAAGGTGTGGCATGGCACTAAAAAGAATTAGAGTAGAGTAAGAAACACTGGTATAGAGTAAGTAGTCAGAGGCATTATCAACTAATATAATGATAATTATTTTTATTGACACTAATTTTACAAATTTAGTCATTCACATAAACTAATACAGATAACTGTCAATATTGTGGTAAATGCAATTGACATATGCTATGGTGCATTTGTCTGCATTACAATTTACGCTACCAGGTTACCAGTAGAAGATGATAAGATGAGAAAGAGGTCAGGTCAATCAGCCCATTGTAAAAAAATACCAGGAACTTATCATGATGGTTTACAGAGGAACCATGTGGAGGCCAACTGTAGTTGGTACATTGCTAGCAATGGGGTCAACAGTCCACATTACTTACAACAATCTCCTTTACCCCATATGCCCATATTTAGTTGGGTATATTTAATCAATGTTACAAGGTCCTAGTGATATGGCAATACTTACATCGTATATTTTCCAATCTACTAGACCAAGATCTGATTAACAGAACCAATTTCCCAAATGCAGTATGAAACATACTCTCATTAAACAACCTAACATCTATACATTCAATTTTCATCATTTCATTTAGAAATTGGTTAGCATCAATCACTTGTGAAGATTTTTTTTCAGGCAAATTTTTTTCAGATTCTTTACTAACTTCATTATCTAATTGTTCTATATTATTATCTGTTACTTCTTTTGTACTATCTTCAAGTCCTTGTTGTACAAATAAGATTTTTGGGGTCTTCTGAGGTGGTCCATTTAACACAATGCCACCTTCTCGTTTAATACCCTTGGCTCTGTCCTCTGCAGCGTCAGATGCAGAAACAAATGTCCTTTGCAATTTAAATTTCTTCGCTTTTCTATAATCTTGAGCTACCTGTAAAAAAATGTTATTTAGGAAACAATTCTAAAATAATTATTTATGAATTAATTGCTATATGTGAAACATATAGCAATTAATTCATAAAGCCAAAAGCCAAAGCTTATTAGGACATAAGATAATAATGATATTCAAGGACTATTGAAAGTATACCAGTATTTCCAATTTTTTTTTAATCTGTTGAACCATCAGTTCTCTTAGTGTACTTGTAATATAACTGGCATTGAAACTTATATCATATCATTCATTTTTTTGACATTATTTATTTTTAGTTAGTAGTTTCAGTTAAAAAATAAAAACTTAAATATACCGCAAATTTGATACATGTAACTGATACTGATGTCTAAGCTGCCAGTGCCACATTTTTATTGGTACAGCATATGATGCATTAATGAGGGGTTATTTAATCTGTTACAACCTAAAAATCTATTTTTCTATAGATGATATTTTTTAAATATAATTGGAATAGCAAACAAGCTGATGGTACACTTGATGGTACGTGGTAGCCGTAGCCTATATGTATACATGAACAGCAGTTGCACATCACACTATCATAGGACACCCGGGATAAGTCAAACATGAACTTATAGCTAACAGTTACCTCATGAGAGAGCCTGGCTACTTCTTGCATTACTTCAATAGGGTACCTGCACCCCATAAACTCCATATTAGCGAAAACCCTCGCTAAACAAACCAGTCTCTCCTCGGGGTAATCATTCTTCCATTTCTCCATGAAAGCGCGTCTTAAACCCCAATGGTCATCACTCTCATGGTCCTCCTTATATTTGTCAATATCCCAACTAGTGTCAATAGACATCTTTTTTCATTAATAAAAATATAAAGTATACAAAGTTTTATTCAAAGGAAAGATACAAAAAATACAGGTATTTCAATTAAAATAGTAAATACACAACAAACAACACTGTGACATCAAACCAGAGTTGCCAACATTAAACTTTTGACTCGTACAAACTGTACGAAGAGTTAAATAACTCGTACACTGGCTCTTCAACATTATAACACATCGTTATAGTACGATATCCATACATTTTGATTGAATAATTAAAAAGTATATAAGAATATGTTATTGTATCTTATGACATATTAATCAAAAGTTACGCTTCGTTATAGCTTAATGCTATTCGACCTAATGTTGCAACATGCAATGACAACTTAAGTAATACATACATGTAAAAGTCAAGTAAATTTTTCCTGTAAAAGACACTACTTTATTAGGATTTAGTTTGAGCCATTCTTCGTATTGTATAATAATTCCAAGCTAACGTACATTAATAAATTAACTGTACAATTTACTTGTAAATTATCGTAGATCAACGTTTTTTAATATGAAGTCTAATTCTTTATTGTTTTAAATTGCGTGTAGAACAGAAGTAAAAAAATAATTTTCATAGAAATACAGCTATTAAAATTGATGATTATTTAAAATAGTTTCTTTATTTTTTTTTCATTTCTATATAAAACCCCAGAAACCACCTAAAACAAAATTATACGAGGTTGATGATGCCGTCGATTCTCGAAGACCAAAAATCTCGAACTCGTATTGGAATCCTGTACGGTTGGCAACATTATGTCAAAAATCGGTTTTCACAGAATACTATTTATGGCGCAGGGTCAGCTGTAGAAGATTTTTCGTCCGCGGATATCCATGTCAATGTCAGTTTAGCAGTTTAGTGTACTATTTCTATATTTTATAAACTTTTGAATCGTTAAAATTTCAATTATTTTCTATTCAATTTAACATTATACGCAGTTAATAACTATAATAGTTATATTTAAATACAGACACGTAATAAGTCGCCTTAAGTTACATATAAGTATTGTAATACCTATTTTCTTTAAATATGTATATATAATTTCTTTGAAATAGGTACCTATTCTATTTTATTTCTGGGTGGGTAGGTAAATGTAGAAATATAAAAAAAAATCTGCGACCAGTTCTTTGTTGAGACTTCATAAACATCGAGGTACGTATTATATTTTTTGTTTTGAATTATCGAATGTATCACACACAGATTGAAAACCTGCTCTGATAAATATAGTAATTATTCACTACCAAGTACTGTATTATACTTCACTTATTAAAAAGAGTAGAAAATTAATTATTGTGGTTTATTATCAAGTTCATTTTGATGAACTTTGGAATAGATGTAAATTATTAATATTATATATTACTAAGATCTGGTGGCCCCACTGAAAATCATTGCCCTAATATAACTTAGTTATATTACAGTATATGTGCTGAATGGGAGACATATTCAGTGTTGTCAGTATGTCTTTAGCTTTTAAGTTATATCAATATATAGTAAATGTTAAATAAGATATAAAGTATATAAGAATACTGCTGTAATACTGAATGTCTTTATTATTATTATATCTGAACACAAATCACTTTATTGTAAATAAAAGTACTAGGTTTGTTGTGGTGGGGTTCTTTTTTGTTGAGATGATATGTGAGGTATCATCACCTGCTTCTTCCTTATCCCATTTATTTGGGGTTGGCGTAATATGTTTTTCGCTTCCATTTATCCCTGTTCGCAGTCATCGCGTTATTTACTTCCTTTCTTACCATATCATCTTTCACACAGTCCATCCATCTCTTTTTTGGCCTTCCTCTGCCCTTATAACCATCCACATTCATTTGTAACATCTTGTGAGGTATGTCTACTAATAAATAATATGTATGTTTGGAGCAGAATAATTCTATTGTCCCTTTTTATAATATATTTACAATAATGTCAATCAGTATTTGACAACTATTACTCGTAATAAAACTTAATCGGTGACGAGGTTGTACACCTAACAAGGTTATTACAATAGATTTCTTTATATTGTAGGTATGAAACATTTAATGCTTAAAAAATAAATAAAAGCTCAAGCCACTTTGTTGTAATGAAATTGCTTAACAGATCTGGTCCTGGCTTGTGGCTGGCCAATTACTTGATTGCTACCACTGTGGTTTATAAAGAGTACCTCATACTTCCATTGATAGACTGACAATAGATAAACAAGGTAGTAATAATATATATTTATTTATTTAGGATCACCATCAATTATTAATGGGTTATGATCTAAATGTACACTTATTAAGAGGTGAACACATCATGCAAAGTAACTTACAACTGTTATGTTAAAAAATCTTAATTTAACTGTTTTTTTTTAAACTAGTTTAGGCTTATTATCTTTTACTGTGTATGTTGAGTACTAAAATAGAATATATCACTGCATATAAGATAGTAGTAATTATAATTTGTTTAGTCTATGTTTCCACATTTATGGTTTGTTATAGACAATTATTATATTTGATTACTGATATATGTATTGACTGTATTGACCCCCAATAAATAAAAAATACAGCCTACTATACTAAATGAAGTAGGAAGCAGGAATAATATTATATTGAGATAGGTCCTGGGGCACTCGAACATTGAAACGAAAATGGTGACCAACTAGCAAAGTTAGAGGCAAAAACTGTCCAACTGAGCCCTGAACCCTTCTGTGGTCTGTCTTGTTACCTAAAACTGGGATATCTCAAAATAGTACCTAAACAGGAAGTACTGAATCACTGGCAGAATATGCCATGATTAATACATTCAAAAGCCCTAATAATGAGCTACTTGAATCAATACAGCAATAGACTATTGCTATAGAGTAAAAACAATATATGTATTATGACTATGGCCCTCTCTGAACACTGCAATTTAAATAAACACATGGTGAAATTAGGCCTTAGCTTAACAACAATATCCAGGTTTTGCCAAGCAGAAGAGGAAATGCCAATACACATCCTATGTGATTGTAGCCCACCCATGCATAAACAAAATATCACCTTTGGAAAGTAGAGGCTACTATATACACCATGTACGTACGTATATGTAATATACTTGAGGCCGGAGTTGGCCTTCAGCCGCTCCATAAGTTCTTCCGCGGGTTTGGAGTGCCATCTGGACTCGGCTCCTATGGTGTGAAGTGGTAAGGGCAGGTGCGGTCAACAGCTTTAAAGTAGTCGGAAAAAAAAAATTACTGCCATATCTCAACTGTAAATTTCGTTTTTAGGATGTAAATAATTTAAAAAAATATGTATTAAAAATAAGTAACAACTACAGCAATACTATATATTACAAAGAATGTATAATATCACACAGCGCCATCTAATTCCAAGCTAAGAAGAGTTTTTGTTATGTCTAATAATGCTTCTGACTACACCATCTAGGATAATAGTAGTGAAGATATATATTTTATAATTTCCAGGTTACAATGGCAGGACCAACCAACCAAGATAAAACCGTATTACCATTCAACGAACTCATACAATTTGTAAATGACCGTATGTTATCAAATCAATTGATAAGAATACTAAAATTCTTGAAGAGTGATGGTGTAGAATTGCCATTTAACACCAGTACGTCGGGCAATATGGATGCTGTTTTGATGAGAATAGCCCAAAATAGAGACAATCTGATTTGTTTATTGTACCACCCAAGTAATGAGTGCAGAGATATCTCTGAAAAAATAATGGAGAAGTTGACAGAGAATGAATTTAATTATACATTGTGTTGTCGGTACGATCGTGACGAGCATGGCAATAAGTAAGTTTCCTATAATTGTATTTAAATACTAGTGGAGCATCATGGCATAGCGAATTTAATTCAGGGGAGTTATTCAGAGATGACCATGTCGATGATGATGTTATCATTATCATAGTTGACATCATCAAAATAATAATCATCATCACCGCCACCACCATCATCATCATCGTCATCGACATCATCATCACGCACGACATCTATAGCAAAATCAAATGAATACAAGATGCTGTTAGTCCTGGGTTTTTGGGCTAGCAATGGTTATGATGGGATTATTTTATAACGAAACTTTATGGCTGATACTCTCATTATCACCATCACCGACATCATCATAATCATACACAACATCTGTAGCAAAATTAAATTAATACAAGATGTTAGACCTGCCAGAGGCTTATCTGGGTTATCAGTTGTTATGATAGGTATTTTTTATAATGAAACTTTATGGTTGATGCTCATTATCAATCATACAGGGTAACATTGATTTGAGTCCCCTAGAATCGCAATGCATGTCTGACACCATAATGTCTGTGCCCCATTCATGTAATATGTCGATTATTTTGTATAAATCTTTTAAAATAGACTCTCCTTTTCAGAATATTAATTTACACAAAGTTATGCCCAAATGAACAAATAAAATCAAACTCATTTGAAAGTCTTCAATTTAAAGAAAGTGAAATGGATACAGAGTAAGTAGTTAAACGTTAATTCTATTATGATTCGTCAAATCGGTGTTTTTTTTATGGATGAAATGTTATGATACACCCGCCTGCGCTAACGGTTTAAGCTGGCGGCGGACCAGTGGAGGTTTTTTTTATGGATGACAATGGAATGGTGCACCCGCCTGCGCTAACGGTTTACGCTGACGAGGCACCATTGGGGAATGATAAGATGAGCATGAGGTCAGGTCGGTGAGCCCATCGTGACAAATTCACTAAGAATTTATCACGATGGTTTCCAGGGGAACCGCGTGGAGGTCAATCTGACATGGTACATTGCTAGCAATAAGATCATCAATCCACATTACTAACAATCTCTTTCCCTCCGCACCAGTAGAGGTTGATAGGATAAGCATGAAGTCACGTCAGTTAGCCCATACATAATAGACATTCACCAGGAATTTATCATGATGGTTTCCAGGGGAAACAACGTGGAGGTCAACCTGACATGGTATTGCTAGCAAAAAATCAGCATTTATTGTATCCCATGCTGTAGGTAATAGTAAAACCACAATCTTAGTTGTATTTCTGAACTCCTCTACTTGGGATAAATTACAACTTATGCGCATAAAATAATATGGTTAATGTACGATCTAGTGAGGATATCATATGCAATGAACATAGATTAAGTGCGTAGCGGTTTCTTTGTTGATTGTCGCATGCCTAATCCTTGTTGTTAATTAAATATCAAACAATATTTATTTAAAAGAACAACACACAAGTTTATCAAACAATATTTATTTAAAAGAACAACACACAAGTTTCTTGCTCATTCTTCTTGTGATGAGTCTGCATTCCGAATGAGCGGTAGAATAAAAAACATGACTATTTAGAAGTGATTATATTAAGTTTATTTGAATAAAGATTATTTCTATTTCTATTTCTAATGAGTGAATAAAAGAACAACACACAAGTTTCTTGCTCATTCTTCTTGTGATGAGTCTGCATTCCGAATGAGCGGTAGAATAAAAAACTTGACTATTTAGAAGTGCTTATATTAAGTTTATTTTAATAAAGATTATTTCTATTTCTAATGACTGAAACGGCAATACAAGCGCGCTTCCTCTCGCACCGTACTTATTAGGTGCTCGAGTAGCGATGCACCACTAGCCTATATTTGTAGCTACGTACAAGTTAATTTGTACTTGTTTACCACCATAGTAACATAAAAAAAAAACGTTTAGTAATTGCGACTGTTAATGAGTGGGTTCACTATCAAGTTCAGACCGGACAGCTCATGCCTATGACGCCGTTCCATTGTCGCATTGCTATACCTGTTAGTTCTTTGCCAACATATTTAACAACATATATTTTACTTTCCCAGTTAGTAAGGTATATTATTCCCAAGTGCTATCTAAATATATATAACTCAAAGGTGACTGACATAGAGATCTATCAACGCACAGCCCAAACCACTGGACGGATCGGGCTGAAATTTGGCATGCAGGTAGATGTTATGACGTAGGCATCCGCTAAGAAACGATTTTGATTAATTCTACCCACAAAGGGATAAAAAATAGGGGATGAAAGTTTGTACGAAACTTTGTCAATATTAAACCGATCGAGCTGAGACTTTGCATGTATAAAGCTATTATGAGGTAGGCATCCCCTAAGAAAGGATTTTGATGAATTCCACCCCTAAGGGGATAAATTAACGCGAGCGAAGCTGCGGGCAAAAGCTAGCTAGCCAATGGAGCAGAATAGTAATAAAAAATGTGGCAAAAAATATTCATTATGAATGTTTCCGCTGCGTATATAGGTACGCATATAATATGACGAAATTGATCTCCTTTAAAAGTTCTAAAGAAATGCCACTACAACATATGTGTATCTCTCACTATAACCTTTTTTATCGTAATCTAATATCTTCTAAAATAATGCATTATTTACGAAGGTGTTTTTATAAACATGATGTTAATCCTTATCTAAATAAACACATTAACAAATAGAGTACGTGCGAAGCCGGAGCGGGTTGCTGGTATATATATTTATATATATATATATATATATATAATAATAAAGCCAAGCCATATGTGTTGTATAAATGCTTTATTTATTTTATTGTTTGACCACCGTCAATAGATGGCGGTCTTTCGGACTTATGTAACCTTCCTGATGAATTTCTTCAAATTATAGTGATAATAGAATAAAAATATTTCGCTGGTTTAGAAAAAGTGAAGATAACTTGTTCCCTCTAATGTGGTTGAGTGCAATGACGCTGGCTCATCAGTTAATGTTGCTTGTGGGGACTGGTCTGTTCGGGATGCAAACACTGATTAATCTAAAAATGAATCTGTATTATTGTAAACATATACACCCATATTTGAAAAGAATACGAGCTGAGTTTCGTGTCAGTTCTTCTCATCTCGAAAGCATTAGGAACTGACGGTAGATTTGACATATCATAAAAGTCTGTAATAAACCTACACGAATAAAGATATTTGATCAGATTTGACTAGGTTGCTTTACCCTATTTTGAGATTATTTAAACAATTTCAGAAACGAATCACAAGTGACAACACCAGATACAGACATACAAAACGAAATCTCATCTAATACAAAAACCAACCGTGAAACAATTGGTATAGAATTTAAAATAGACTGTATACAAACCTCAATAAATTTCTTAAAAGATGCAACCCAACATTTATTAGAATACCCCGAAATGTCTGTCGAACAGTGTGAGTTTGTGTGCTCCTTATTTTGGAAACCTTATAACACGTCTCATAATACAAGCATGGCGGACTGTCTACCATTGTGGGAGCTCATGACAATATATGGTTTGAAATATAAATTTAAACTGACATTTATGGACACTTTCAGGACTTTTGCCGCGTAAGTTATCATTACAGGTCATCCATTAATTACCTACGTTAGATAATTTTCATCAGACTCATCCCATGTCGTTGTTACAGCTGGCATTATTTATTTTTTATTTATTTATTTTTTACTGCTGTTTGATTTTTTGATGTTATATGACAGGGAAATTACATAGTACAAAAGCATAACACCTTTGGTTGGTTAATATCTATTTTATATAGCAGCAGAGTCATGTATATATTAATAAAGGACCATAGTCTTTATTGTCACTATCTCATAGGGTCTAATATCTAATTCTCTGAAATCGGAAAAGTTTATTCCAAATTTGAAAATTTAAATATTGTTTTCTTTTTCGGATCTTAGGTGGCCAGACTTGCAGGTGTCCAAAGTGATAAGGTTTCCACTGTGGGTATTGTTAAAATCTTAATTTTTGAATAATCGACGCATGGGAACCCAAGATGCACAATCATAAACTAAAAAGCGGCACAGGAAATAGAATGCATAATGCCTAATTGTGTGCTCGTTTCTAACCAGCTACTAATATTTGTGATCGAAAGGCTTTTACCAAATTTTGTAAGACTAATTGGCTTTAATCTATGCGATTTTTTTATATAATTGGCAACAATAAGTTTAAGTAATAATTTAGTACATCTTGGGTTTGTTTTGTAAAAATGTTTAACTTATTACATTTTTTTATATTTATACTCGCTTGGTTGGGACTTGGGAGCATCTTACATACTTTCTTTTTACATCTTACATTCTTTTGTTTTTACTAAATCCTTATTGAATGAAAATCTGTTTTGTATATCTTGTATCTGCTTTTTTGTATTAAAAAAAAACATATTATAGTTTTTCTTTTCAATAAACACTAATGATAGTATGGTTAATGTAGCAAGAAAAATATTTGAATAGAAATTTAATGAATGAATGGATACATTTTAATGAAATTTAATAGAATAGAATAGAAAATTTTCTATTAACTGTATTGTTCACTGGTTTTTATTAAACAAATACAAACCATTAACAAAAATAAACCGATTAATTAATTTAAAAAAAACAATAAATTTTAATCCATCCAATGTTATAAATGCTGAAGTGTCTGATTGTTTATTACAATTTCACGATAAACTTTTATGAAACTAAAACGCAATTTGGCTTGAAAATATATTTTTTATAAAACTTATGACAGGATTTTTTATCTCAAGAGGCAGGCTGAAATCGCTGGTAATACCTAGTTAAAATATACAAAATATATATATTTTTCCGCGAGATTAAATATGAAAATATAAGTGATAAAACAGAAAATATTTAGTCATAATATATATTTCATATTGATAACCTATTTGTAGGTATTGTATTGTATTTGGTGTACTTTATTGGTTGGCTTAAATGAAGGTTGTGGGTCTTGATTCTAAATAGTTTGTTAATTACTGGTTAAGCTGGGAATAGGATCTGCACGTGCGCTAACGGTACACGCTGATGGACCACCGGTGGAGGATGATAGGTGAGCATGAAATCAGCCCATTGTGATGGAATTAAACAGGGCATACAGCATGGCGGTCGACTTACTAGGCTTCATTGCTGGCAACGCGGCCCCTAGGTCCCATCGCTATTTACTTCCTGATTTATAATTTTATTGATTTACTAGCTGTGCTCGCGACTTCATCCGCGTGGAATTTGACTTTATTTTTCTAAAATAAAAGTAGCCTAATTACATCAGCTACTTGCCAAAAAAAGTACCGTCAAAATCGGTCCAGCCATTTCAGAGATTAACCGAGATTATCAGAGATTAAACAGACCGACATACAAACAAAAATTGTAAAATATGTTATTTTGGTGTACCGTATTGATATTCATATGCATTTAGTAAAAAACGGTTATTTCAATATTATAAACAGACGCTCCAATTATATTTATATGTATAGATTTCTTCTTTATTGTAGGTACACTAGTCCCTCCCCAACATTAAATTGAAATGTAAGCTAATGCACAAATTTTGTTTTCGACATAAATAATTTCTTGTGTTCATGAACAACGTAACTCATCTGCTTCTTTCTTATCCCATTTATTTGGGGTCGGCGTAATATGTATTTCTCTTCCATTCATCTCTGTTCGCAGTCACAACGTAACTATAATATGAAATTTGATGTTGTTATTCATTTCTATATAAGTTTTAAGTATAAATAATTATTAATTGCTTATAATTAATATTTGCACGAAATTCTGTTGAAACATATTGGACAGAATAATCGTAAAACTAACTGAGAGGACGCTATAGTATTAAGTCCACCTTATGTCCAATTTTAGTGGTCAATAAATAAAAAAACATATATCGGAAAATATTTCAATTTGTCCACTTCGCTTTCTTTGGAAAAGTTTTTCGGTTTGCACGAATATTATTACTTATTATGTGGTATTAACTTATCTATGCCTTGACTCTATGACGACTAACTCTGTATATAAGAAATAATGTTGCCAGGATTACACAAAGTTCTAAAAGTGGCTTTAATATTGTATTCTTCTTCTGTTTCGTAATTTACAAATAAAATAGTGTTTATTTTCGTTTTTTTTAATGTGGATCTATATACAAGCGACCTAACTCGGCTTAACACTGGTGTGTGTGATATGTGTTATATACTGTTTGTATATTTATCTATGTATATCCAATTAATATTATATTTATAAACATGAAAGTTCGTGAGTATGGATGGATGTTTGTTACTCTTTCACGCGAAAAGTATGTCATCTTTATTGTAACACTATGGAATGCAAATGAATGAATATATTACATGCGGGATCAATTAGTTATTAGTAATATTGCAATTATTAAGTTGCAGTGGAAGCTGCTTAGTCTTTCCTACTAACTCTATATTTGTATCAGAAGAGTAGGGTGCCTTCTCGGGGCCCCGTATAAAAATTTGTTTGGGGGCCCTTACGAAGGGCAAAGATTACGCACAAAAGAATTAAAAGAAATATTTACTCATCATAATTATCTGCCTTTTTTCGACAAACTGATTTATAACAGATATATTAAATGATTTATAACTAATGAGAACTTTAGTTTTTCTATAATTTCTGCCTCCACGGACATGATCTTTGAAGTAAATGACTAAACGGGGAAATCCCGCAGTCCGCGAAAATAAATAGCGATAAATATTATTGATACAGCAGATACGTGGGCTAATTATGTAACTTCGTTCGCAACGATTTTCGTATGTAACGTAGTGAAAATGACGTCATCTGTCAATAATGCGATCATATAGACGCCATTTGACGCTGTCAACTAGCATTGCAACGTAAACGCAACTTTACATATCGATAAAAATTATTTCTATCGAATGTCGATTTAGTAACCTCGTTGCAACGTCACGTAATCGCTATTTTGCCGAAATGACAGCGTGGAATTGAAACGGTTTTTACATTATGAGAAACAATTTAGAAGGTGTTTCTTTTGGTTACAATCTTTAAAATATCAGCATTAGCAGCATTATTTATCTTGTTTTGGTAATTTTCAGTATTACATATATTTTTATTATATTAAATATTACGTAGAAAGTCGTGAAAAGGTTTTAAATTTATTAAAATGGGAAAATTGTCACGACTCACAACACGACATCAGTGTTGCCAATTCGATATTTTATTTTCGTCCCAAATCACATAGAATGTTGTATTAACTAGAGTAAATGTTTAATATAAAATTAGGGTTGATTATGATATTAATATAATTAAAAAACTATTTCAATGAATACGGTGCTCTGTGAACGGAATACAACGTTTATGATGCTCTGTGATTTGTTTAAAGTAAATAAATTTATTTGTTTAAAGTTTTTACAATTATGTACAAATTTAAAAAGATGTGCCCATATCATTTTAAATTTATATGGATACCTACGTACTTACCTAGGTATCTATAGCAGAAAAGAAAATTTAATTTGTAGGTTAGATTAATATTATTAATGATTATAAATAGTTTGTATAAAATATGCTTTTATATTCAAAATTATTAACCTTATTTTTTCATTAGAATAGAATAGACTTTCTTTATTTTATTTTATTAAATGTCTATTAATAAAATTAAAATAAAAGAACAAGTGAACGCTGCAGTATATTTTGTAATTTTTGAACGCAATAAAATTTGTTTCAAATCAACCAACTAGTGTAACAACCCAATAAATTAAAATGTATCCCTCTAAAGGTATAAGCTATCTAATGTACTGACTTTTTAAATTGGTCGGATTAACAATATTCCGCTGCAACTTCATAGTAGTGTTTTATCGATAGAAATGATTTATGTTGCGGTCATTCGACCTTACTTGATCGCATTTTTTAAATTGAAATGATTTCATATTGCATCACAACTTCAACAGAAACAATTTCATATCGTGTTACATAATTAGCCCAACGCTATTGATTTGTATCCAAAGTGGTAGGTGGTAAGCCCACCACTATCTCCCGGATTAATTTGGTTGTTATTGGCGTTTCCATCACCGTAGTTTTAAAATCACTAGTACCACTACACTAGTTACCATTTTTAATTAATGGTGCGTCACACGATAGTTAACCGTAGTCACTTAGAAATATAAATCAACTCGAAAGATGCTTTTCTTTTGATGTCGTGTAGATTTGAACCTCTAACCTTTTAATCGTCGGATTAGCAAACCACTAGACAACGTGTTTTTATATTCTTTATGTATTTATTTTACAGTCGTCTCGTGTTAGAAAAAGTGCTAAAACCGAAAATGCAAAGTGAAGAAATGTAAGTTTATTTATTTATGCATAAATATTTATATATTAGACGGCCTCGGCAGTCTACCGGTTTAGCACAGTACTTTATTTCCGATCGTCCCGGGTTCGATTTCTGTCCTCGTATAGAGGACTTACGAGTACAATTATACTTACGAGTACATTTGTACTCGTAAGTATCGGTACGGTACGGTTGTATTGCCATGGATGTTTTATGTGCATATTATGTATGTATTTATAAAAATGATGTATCTAAGTATTTATATCAATTGTCTAGTATCTATATCACAAGTTCAGCTTACCGTGGGACTAGAAAACGCTGTGTGAGTTGTCCAGGGATATTATTATAATATTTTCTACTGAGGTGGACTTTGTACAGTCACTTGCATAGGAATCTGGACCCAAAGTCTTTAATAATAATAATTAAATTTGTTTACAGTCAAGATAAGACAGAAGTAAAGGACAGAATGTCGCAACACTTCATTAAGGTGTCATCGCAAACGATTTTGGACTTTATGAAAGATGAATATAGGGCATCTTTGATTTTTGAAAACGTAAAACCACTGGAAGAATTGTTCCTCCAATCTGTGATGACGTCCAGAAAGGTCATGTGCGAGGAACACGAAACGCTACTCGCATATTACAATACGACCAAAGTGACACAAGAATATGATCTCAAAGTGGACGTTATTCGAGTGAACAGAAAGACTAAATTGAAGTGAGTAGTTTTGTATATGTGTTTTTTATACCACGACGAAATCGGATCTACAATATATATAATAAAATTGTATCTAATTTTGAATTTCTGCTTTGAGGTTTAAAGAAGCCTAATTAATAAATATTTATCTTATGCCAAATAAGATTATATAGTAATGAAATATTATTGTTTTTTTTTGTTATTGGAATTGCAAAAAAAGTGACCCAGTCGAAACGTCGAGAGAGGTAAATTTGCCATAAAATATTCATATCAAGACTCGATTAATAATATAAACAAACAATGTATTAAATACGAAAGTTTAAGAATAACTAGTTTAATGTATAAGTTTAGTAGTTTACGTGCTAAGGCGGTATTAACACATTATATATCTTACTAGCTACTCGCCCCGGTTTCGCCCGGGTGTACATGTATCTAAATATATATAACTCAAAGGTTACTGACATAGTGATCTATCAACGCACAACCCAAACCACTGGACGGATCGGACTGAAATTTGGCATGCAGGTAGATGTTACGACGTAGACATCCGCTAAGAAAGGATTTTGATTAATTCTACCCCCAAGGGGATGAAAGTTTATATGAAACTTTATCAATTTTAAACCGATCGGGCTGAGACTTTGCTTGCATAAAGCCACAATGACGTAACCATCCCCTAAGAAAGGATTTTGATAAATTCCACCCTTAAGGGGTTATATTAACGCGAGCGAACCCGCGAGCAAAAGCTAGTTATACATATAAACCTTCATCTTGAATCATGCTTATCTACTTAAAAAAGCCGCTTCAAAACCCATTGCGTTTTTAAGTTTTAAAGATTTAAGCATACATAGGGACAGACAGACAGCGACAGCGACTTTGTTTTATACTATGTAATGATTTTAAACAGGTACTAATAACTTCCCAGTTTTAAACGGCAATGTGCGGAACGAGTTCTAGTACCTTATAAATGGCAATAAGTGGCAATACGCTTATAAGTGGCAATCCTCGGAACTGGTACAAACAACTGCCCCGCTCTAAACTAGTTACTTACGCTGTCGCTGTCTGTCCGTCCCTATGTATGCTTAAGTCTTTAAAACCACGCAACGGATTTTGAATCAGTTTTTTTTTAATAGATAGAGTGATTCTAGAGGAAGCCTTATGTATATAATACGTGTATAGATGTATAATGTAATCATTAACTTTTATTTACCTTGTCATTGTTTCAGAGACGTGATGTTCTCGAAGGTACCGAAATTTGATGACAAGTGTATAACAGAGAATTTAGATAAGTGAGTATTATTTTATCTATTATATAAATAAACTAGCTGTACACGCAATTTCGTCCGCGTGGAAAATAATTTATTTTGTCTAAAGTAAAAGAATTTTTCTAAATTAAAAGTAGCCTAAGTTACTCCTTAATACATCAGCTACCTGCCAAAAAAATCCCGTCAAAATCGGCCATATCATAGATTAGCCGGAACAAACAGACAGACAGACAAAAATTGTAAAAAATGTTATTTTAGGAGCAGCTATGGATATATTTGGGAGATAAAACCTTTTTTTATTATATTAGTGAAAAATTCATCGTTCCTAACATTATATTTGATATTTGACATTATGTTTGTTACGCTTTCACACAACAACTACTGAACCGTTCATCCTGAAATTTTGTACACATGTTTTTGGAGGTATTACAATAAATATAGGATACTTTTTATTTAAAAAAACCCAAATATTTTTTATTCAATGCGAGCGAAGCCGCTGGTAATAACTAGTATTGATATATGTATAAAATATTTAATTGTAGATTTAAAAAGATATCCAAATTCCCAGTAGTGGGATATTTCGACCCAGTGTCGCCGGACCGTAATCGATCGATGCAAAGTGCCGCGGACCGAAGAAACTACCCAGGTCTTAAAACGAAGCTTATAGAAGCGCTATCGGTGCCAGTTGAAAGTAACAAGGCTATGAAGTAAGTCGTAAACTTTGTCTTGTCAATAATATCGCATTTACAATATAGGGGCTGATGGTAGAAGGGTGAAAATATTTTATATATTTCTTATTACACATTATGAAAAAAGTAAAAAAAAAATTTTTTTTACTACGATTTTATATTATATATAATAATATAAAGCTGAAGAGTTCGTTTGTTTGTTTGAACGCGGTAATCTCGGTGAAGGCTTTAAGCTATATAACAGTACAGCCTTCCTCGACAAATGGACAATCCCACACAAAAATAATTTTTCAATTCGATACAGTAGTTCCTGAGATTAGCGCGTTCAAACAAACAAACTCTTCCTCTATATAATATTAGTAAAGATACGAATGTCTCTGTTTTTGTTTGTTTGTTACTTTAATCGATTAAATGGGTGAACGGTACTTATTAAAAATTGAGTAGTAACACTCACTAAAATGTAGCGGCGTGGTGGGCCGGCACAATGGACTCCCTAAAATATAGTTGAGTGCAATGATGACTGGCTCATCCGTCATACTCGTGAACGAGCGCTACATGTAGAGACCAGTCTGCTCTAATCACTACGACTGTTTTAGTCTTGTGTTTTTAATATTTCGACTCTAATTAAAGTTTGTATTCACAAATTTCAACTGAAAAATGTGAAATTACAACAATTATTTTAAAGGACAACACGCGAGATTCTTTGTCCTTATAATGAAAAATATTTATTTATTTATTGTTTTGCACACAAAAATGTATACATGGCGGACTTAATGCCTGATGGCATTCTCTACCAGTCAACAGTCGCGTTGATCAGAGATAATAATAAGGCGGTGCAATTTAACAATTAATATATAAAGAAAAACAAATATAGATAAATACAGAAAAATAATATTGACCCAATGATCACAAAATAGTATTCCCAATGATCGTTAGACTTAAAAAATAGAAGTATGACTATTCAAAAGTGTACAAATTAAGTTTATTTGAATAAAAGATTTTCAATTCTATTCTAAAAAAAAATATGTCGCAGAATGATGAAGTCTATGGGGTGGACAGGCGGTCCACTGGGAAAACGTGGAGATGGCATCACAGAGCCAATCATACCACACCTAAATCAGGTATTTAACTTTTTTTTATCCTACATTCACTGACTGGCACGACATTCCTCATTTTTAAATATTTATATTTTATTGTTGCTATGGTTTTGTTATTGCTCTTGCCTTCTACAATACGATCATATATACCATGTGCGCAGTAGCATGGTGCGGATAACAGTTTCGTTTCACTCTTGAAAATTGTTGCGATTTACAAATTATGACTTAGTATTTCAGCTGTACCACATTCGTAATATATTAAATTATTAACTGTAGTAACTTAATTTTAGCAACTGTTAAATGTAGCAATTGTTATCCGTACTATGCTACAGCGCACTTAGTATACTTTATTACGAAATATATTTTTATAATATACTGTTATACATCCTTCTATATCATATATCCTTTAATTACCACCATCGTTGAATGCACCAACCCCAGCGCCCTACACCTACACCACACAGAAGGGATGAAGATGGCCTCGAAAGAGGCCTACGTCCACCAGTGGACTGCAGGCTGATGATAATGAAGTATTAGAAACAATTCATTTTGCAGGTATCTCGCACAGGTCTGGGACATGTCCCGGATAATGTGGATAAACCTCCAATGACTCAATCTTCAATTACTGTTGTACAACCAGCGGGCGTGGAAGTAAATGTATTGAATAACTCCATAATGAAATTTAAAATCGAAGTGTACAAATCTCTAATTGAATTACTTGAAGCAGAATCAGATATAAAGATAATGAGGTAATTGTTATTTATTATTACTTATGGATTTATATTATTTTATTTAAATCATTGACGAAAAATGACAATTTTCCGTACAAACTTTCATCATCTATTTTATTTTTTTAAGGGTATATTTTTACAAACTTTGAATGTCATATTCATTTATATTTATTCAACAGCCTAAAACTTAGTTTCAAGCTTCTACCTCCATACAACCTTTATCTCCACTTTCAACCCTTTACAACCCTTTTGTTTTATTTATATTTAATCAAAAGCTTAATAAATAACGTATGTATGACCTGCCTATGGTGGTTATAAGATCCGTATTTTTGTTCTAGATTCCAAAAGAAGCTGACGGAAACGGAAATGTCGTTTGTAGCAAAATTTTTGCAACCACTCAACAGCCGGTCGTGCATTACGTTGGACACTGTGTCTGAACTACAATTAGTGCGTCAATTGGCTGAAAACATGTCGAAGGACCACAGAATAGTTATTACGACTTGTTACGACGACAATTACAAGTAAGTTTTTTTTTCGGACTACTCTAATACTGTTGGCCGCAGCTGGCCTTTACTGCTTCACCGGACGATAGGGGTCTAGTGCAGATGGCATTCCAAACCAATGGATGCACTTATGGAGCTAAAGGCTAACTCCCGCCTGACGGATACGACTTTAGTCTAAGGGCACCGCTAGTGATTCGAACCTCGACTCAGACCGTCGTAATTTCGACCTGCGTGTGAATTGGACGGGGGATCGATCGGAGGGGTACAAGTAAGTATGATAACTAACTAGTAACTAAATTAAATGTAGGTATTATATATCTTATCAGTTGTCTAGTACCCATAACGACTAAACGTCTTAACTGACGGACAAATTGACGGCCTCACTGGTCTAGGGGGTTAGCTTTACTCTCGACGATCTCATATTCGATTCCTCGCATGGTGCAAACATATTGTATTCATGAATATGAAAAAACCCAGACCGATACGAACTATCGGTCTGGATGTTTTCTATGTATATTATGTATGTATTTACTAAAAAAATACATATATCTACGTATTTATATCAGTTGTTTAGTACCCATAACACAAGCTCTGCTTACCGTGGGACTAGATGGCGTTGTGTTAATTGTCCAACATAGAAACCGCTACGCACTTATTCTCAGGTAATATTGTCATATTATATTATCTGATTGCACTAAGAATGTGTTTTTTTATTTTATATTTATTCTAACTGTACCCGCGACTTAGTCCGGGCGGAATTTAACATTATTTTTCTAAAATAAAAGTAGCCTAAGTTATTCATTACTACATCAGCTATCTGGCAATAAAAGTCTCATCAAAATCGGTCCAGCTATTTCAGAGATTAGCCGTTAGTTCCGGGGATACAGACAGACAAAAATAAAAAAAAAACTATTTTTATATATATATCATATGCATATGCATGTAGTAAAAAATGTTTATTTCAATATTACAAACAGACACTCTAATTTTATTTATATGTATAGATTTTTTTTTTTTATATGTTGCAGACGGTTGACATTCGTTAAATCAACTGAACGTGCAATGAAAATAATACGAAAAAGGAGTTCGTCTAAATATTGTGCAATAGACCAAGCCGCCGACGGATCCTGGCCGACTTCCTTCCCATTGCTGTCTAAACTCACGAACTACGAAAAAAAGTATAATTTCAGAGTTTTCATTCAAGGAAACTTGACTGTATTCCTGAAGAACGAGAATGAGACGCAGAAAGAGTTATATTTCGACGTGGCTCCGAGGAAACGCGCTGTTATAGCGGAAGTTCTTAAAAATATTAACAATGCAGGCTCTGTGTATAGCATACGGGGAATTGATATATATGAGAGTGATATAATAGACGAACTGTGCAAAGTTATAACTAAAGAGATTAATATCCAAGTGGAATATACTAAGAAGTAAGTAGAATTGTTCGTTAAATAAACTTAATTTTTTTTAAATAAATATTATAACTAGCTGTTCTCGCGACTTCGTCCGCGTGGAAATAAATTATTCTAAAATAATAGATTTTTTTAAAATAAAAGTAGTCTTAAGTTACTCCTTATTACATCAGCTACCTCCCAAAAAAAGTCCCGCCAAAATCGATCCAGCCATTTCAGAGATTAGCCGGAACAAACAGACCGATAGACAGACAGACAAAAATAGTAAAAGATGTTATTTTGATGTATGTACCATATTTATAATCATATGCATATAGTAAAAAATGTTATTTCAATATTACGAACAGACACTCCAATTTTATTTATATGCATAGACTTGCTGACCCGTGCAACCTTGCCACGTAATATTTATGATTATACTAGCTACCCACCCCGGCTTCGCACGGGTGTACATGTATTATATTATTATACATAAGAACCTTCCTCTAGAATCACTTTATCTATTTTAAAAAATCCGTTGCGTAGTTTTAAAGATTTAAGCATACATAGGAACGGACAGACAGCCACACCGACTATTGAATGATTTTACCCAATTTACGTTATACCTTTTAAAATTATAGCCTATGTGTTATTTTGATGTATAAGATATATTACTGTAAAGTTTCATCACATTCCGTTCTGTAGTTTTTGCGTGAAAGAGTAACAAACATCCATTTATACTCACAAACTTTTGCATTTATAATATTATTAAGATTAAGATTATTACATTATCGCATGTTATAAATTGAAATGATTTTGTATTGCATCACAACTTTAACAGATACGATTTCATCATCATCATCATTTGCTTCTTCCTTATCCCATTTATTTGGGGTCGGCGTAATATGTTTTTCGCTTCCATTCATCCTGTTCGCAGTCATCGCGTTATTTACTTCCTTTCTTACCATACGATTTCATATGGTGATACATAATTACCCCACAGAATAACATATAGGCTACAGATTTCATTAGGGTGAAACCGCGGGCTCAGCTAGTCTAAAATATATATGGATTTAACTATTTGTTATCGTTACAGAAAATGCACTTTCAAGAAAGTTAAGGTGACTGAAATGAATTCTAACAGTGATGCAAAGAATGATGTCAAAAGTGATGTTATAGGTGATGAAGATATAACTGACACTGATTGTATTACGGTACTTGCAAATACATCAATCAGTGATTGTAAGGAAACCAACGGTAACGGTAACGAAATGAAATATAGTAATGAAATGGATAATTTAACAGAAAATGGTTGGGGTCAGATAATATCTAAAAATGGTAACGAATTAGGAATTGGTAAAATGGATAAATTCGGAACTGACTACGGTTCCTGTCACAGAATACCTAAAAATATTGAAGAATCGGCAAATATAGTGGATAGTAATAATCCAAATCGCATGTACCATCCATACAAAATATCACCTCTATATCGTGATCTTTCAAACAATTCAAAGAGTTCAAAAAAGGTTTTTCGTATTGAACTAAGCAAGATCTTATTAAAGTTACTACAGAGTGAACCGGAAGAGATAGTTGTAAGGTAAGATAGCGTTGTGACCTAATAATTTGCTACCTACTTGCTACGTTCGAAACAGGAGGTTACTAAGAAAAAAGTGACACTTTTGATACATTGACTGTACGAGCTAGCATCGTACTTTATTTCGCAACATTAACATTTTATTTCTTTTCTTCTACTTCTCAATCAATAAATTTTTTCATAAAATCATTGTGCCGTATCATGAGTCCTAACATTTTTCCTCGTCTATTTTCTATACTATTCAATATCTACTTATTTTCTTTCAAACTGTGTATTCTTCATTTCTTATTTTATCTTTCTAGCTAATTCTCTCCATACTTCTCCAAAGTACATTTCTAAAGCGTCCACTTTGTCCCTTTCTTTTTTCCCTCGTCTATTTTCTATAGTATTGAATATCTGCCTTTTTTCTTTCTACCTGTGTAGTTCTTCTTTACTTCTTACTTGATCTTTTTAGATAATTTTCTCCATCCTTCTCGAAACTACATTTCAAAAGCTTCCAGTTTGTCCCTTCTTTTTTCCCTCGTCTATCTTCTATAGTATTGAATATCTGCCTTTTTTCTTTCAACCTGTGTAGTTCTTCTTTACTTATTACTTTATCTTTTTAGCTAATTCTCTCCATACTTTTTCAAACTACATTTCAAAAGCTTTCAGTTTGTCCCTTTCTTTTTTCTCTCGTCCATTTTCTATATTATTCATTATGTGCCTTTTTTTCTTTCACCCTGAGTAGTAATTCTTCGTTTCTTACTTTATTGATATAAACAAAACAAATCCTAGATAATTCTGTGAGATATTGGATTTGAGTACACTCAATTAGTGGCCATCTCAAGTGTTTGTTCACGTGACGATATTTAAAATCACCCCCCCAATCGATTCCCCGTCTAATTCAAACGGGGATCGAAATTACGACGACCTGAGCCGAGCTTCGAACTTCTAGCGGTGCCCTCAGACTAAAGTCGTATCCGTCAGGCGGGAGTTGGCCTTCAGCCGCTCCATAAGTCCTTCCGCGGGCTTAAAGTGCCATGCACTCCTTCGTCTGGTGAAGCTGTAAAGGCCAGCTGCGGCCAACTTTACTTCGTATTCTGATGTACGCTTGTTTTATGAGCGCGCATTGTTTTTTATTATTTATAATAGAATATTTATAGTTAAATTAATTCTTTTCTGCTACCATAAAATACAATGTTAATAAAGCCATTGAATTCTATTTTAACCGACTCCAAAAAAGGAGGAGACGGTTTCGGCTATAATTTTTTCTTTTTATTTAAATTACTTATTGCTTCGTCATTTATAAACCGATTTGATAAAACTTTTTTTTATAAGAAAGGGTATATTCTTTTGTACCATTACACCACCACCACTGGTATTAGCACAATTTTTTTGTTAGTGGGTTTTTTTTATCAAAATTATTACGTGCCCTGTCTACTAGTATAATTGGTTATTTTCATTTTTCAGCTTCGATCAACGTCTAAGTAAAGATAAGATTTCGTACGCGAAATATTTGATCACCTGCCTAAACACCAGAACGCGGTTGAGTGTGTCTGACACTGTAGAAATAAACTTAGTGACTCAACTCAAGGCGCTGATGAAGAATAATCTGATGCTCTCCGGGACCGTGAATGGCGAAAAGAAGTAAGTCACACCTAAATCAGTAATATTTGCTTTAGAATACTTGAGGATATACTAGAAATCGAACCTGCGACCATCTGAATTAAAGCAGTGTGCTAAACTGCAAGACCATCGAGGGCGGTACTTTAAATGTAAATATGTGTATGCACACTTATTATAAAATATATAAGTGTGGAATTAATTTAGAAATCAAGACAGTGTTGATATTCTCACTATTGTGGTTCTAGACTAGTTTTAAAGATTTAAGGATACATACGAACAGACAGCGACAGCGACTTTGTTTTATACTAAAGTAAGATTATTAATTCCAGTCAGTAAAATGACATTTCCAGTGTTGCAGATTTCTAGTCCCAAATAAATAGTGATGTGGTAGAATCGAGTTTTTACAATTAAAAGTCAGTCGAGATTACATTTTTTTTATTCAATATCAAATTGCCTTTATTAAAATTCTAGTGTTAATTCCTCTGAAAAAATGTATAAAGAGAATACATTTTTTTCCCAGCTTTTGTAATAATGTTGTAGTGAGAAATTTTTATATGATGGTAAGGTCCATATTTCTAAAATCGTATTATTATATACGGTATGTATTAAATATTTACAATAAAAAAAAACGCTTCGATACCTAATAAAATAAAGCATGACTAAATGTCTAAGTCTATTGATTGCCGAACATCACTATTGTAGCGGGTCAATTTTTTTTTTGTATCAGTGACAGTTGCACTTGTCATTTTACTGACTGGAATTAATAATCGTACTTTATGTAATCATAATGATTATATTGATTTCAGACTGCTAACAATCAAGAAGAAGATGCTAAGTAAATCATTTGACAAAAACGTTCCCGTACAGACAGAACTAACGAAGGAAGATCTGCATATACGAGAGAAGGCAGACGGTTCATACCCAGTAATTTATCAACTCTTGCTGCAAAAAGACAATCGCGTGGCAGAATTCAATTTCAACGTCTTCATCCTAGTCCACATATTGGAGTTACTTAAAAATAAACAACAGAATTATATAGAGTTATTCTTCGGCGAGGATATGACCAGCAGAAATGATGAGTACTTGAAAAGTGTTGTACGTATGGTGAATACGAAGGAAATGTTCAAACACTACACATCGAGTTACGAGAAGAATATCATGTGTAATATATGTGATTATTATGATGGTGTCAATTTGAAATTGGTCCAACCGAAAGAGTAAGTGGAGATATATTAGTAACTAGCTACTCGCTCGGGCTTCGCCCAGTTGTACATGTATACATATAAACCTTCCTCTTGAATCACTATCTATTAAAAAAAACCCCCTTCAAAATCCGTTGCGTAGTTTTAAAGATTTAAGCATACATAGGGATGCACAGATATTCAAAAGAGCAACACATAAGTTTCTTGCTCATTCTTCTTGTGATGAATCTGCGTTCCGAATGAGTCGTAGAATAAAAAATGTGACTATTCAAAAGTGCTTGTATTGAGTTTATTTGAATAAAGATTATTTCTATTTCTGCTCATCCACGCTTGGCTAAAGCCCAAGTGTTTGAACGTATTACCCCCGTAAAAAAGGGAGATATATAGACTATATATAAAAAATGATAATAATAATAAATGAGGCCCTGGACAATACAAATAGCGCCATCTAGTTCCAAGTTAAGCGTAGCTATATTATGTTCCTACTATTATAAACGCGACGGTTCATGAGTATAGATGCATGGATGGATTGAATACTATTACTGTTTCACGTAACAATCACTGAACGGATTTTACAATCCTATAGCTTATACATTAGAATATAGGTTATAATATATAAACATATTATGTAAATTAGGCGAAGTAATGATAAATTTCAAGTAAGTGTGATGCATAAGTTGCGCGGATCAGCTAGATGGTATAAAGTTATATACATTTTTTTTTATAAATACACACATAACTTATATAAAAAAAACCCAGACCTATACAAATAATCATACACGTGCAAATGTTTCTACTGTGCAAAGAATCGAACCCGCGCTACCATCGGTGTGCGGTGTGCTAAACCACCGATGCTGTCAATATCTCTGACGACCCCATCTGGGATAACAGACGTGAAGGTATATTTATATAAATGACAAGAAATGTTCTATAAATATCAATTATTTTGTAGTTGTTTCAGAAAAATCACCCTAATAAAGACTTATATAGACAAAGATGATACAAAAACGAATGTAGTTTGTAATTCGTTTGAGGATATCCAGAAAACTATGGTACATAGTATTTTGAAACCAGATAATAAAGATTCTTCATATATAGTTAAAGAATCAACACTTCATTTGGAAAACGTAATAAAACCTAACACTGAACATACATCATCTGTTAGTGTAAATGAAGATAATGTTATAAAACACGCGCCAAATAATGAATCTGGCTGTATTAATATAAATGTAAATTCGAGCAATCCGTTTGAGCGAGTAATTGAAAAAAAAGCATTGACTTATAATGATTTGGAATCAAATGATGATACTGAACAAGAAGTTAATGAATATGACCATATGGAAATTGTTGATGATAAAGTACCAACCATTAATGAAAATAAACAAGAAAATCTTGCAGATAACCAAAATACATGGTCGGAATCTGATGTGATTGGTAATGATATAAAAAAACTAATCATACATGATCCTCTCATTAATGAGGCAAATTCTAAAGTAGAGACTGCAGAAGAAAATAAAACCATAGACACTCCTCTGTTGACGTGTAACAAAAGATCCCTATCCAATGGATGTATATTTGAAATTAGTAAAAAAACAAAAATAAGCTCTTTCGAAAACATAAAAAAAGTTTCCGTCGTTCCCAATGATTTTCCCGCACGAATAATAACAAAGGAGTCTATGATCGACATACAAAGTATAATATGTAATTCCATAGACAAAGAAGAAGTATTACCGTTGCTACAGTGTCGTGGCATTCAAAATGGCTGCCTAGTCTACGCTTGTCACAATGACATAAGTTTGCTATTTCTTAAAAACATTTTAAATTCAGCCAGTGGTTTTAAAATCATAGAGAATAATACAAATGAGTATGACTATAACTTATTAGAAATGAAAATGAATTTTCTGTGTGACGATGCAAACAAAATTTTTCATACATTAGAGTCATACAACACTTGTTTAAACACAAAACTTTGGGTTGTAACTAATTTTATAACCAATGAAGATAATATTGTTATGATTCTAGAGGTAGATAAGAAATCTTATGATTATATTTATAATAACAATTTCTGTCTGTACGCTGGTGTCGATACAGCACGTTTTAATATTGTTTGGAAATAAATATATACATATAGTTCTACCAAATCACTAGAACAGAGCGTAGTGTTCCGTGTAGGAGTATGTATATTAAAGATCGAATTTCGTATTCCAATAGTCTAAATTATTATTAATAAGCAAAATATTTCCAAGAGATAATATAATAAGCAAAATATTATTAACGAACTATTAATTATATGTTCGTCCCATTCAACCAAAAATTCGGCAATTTCGCCAGTCTTGACATTTAATTGTTCTTATTAATGCGCCAGGCCCAGAACACAATCTATACTGTTTAGTCGAATAAACATGTAACAAAAAATATAAGAAAAAAAATTCTTATATTTTTCGTTATTATTTCCATAGAAATTGATGAATTTGTGACTTTCACAAGACTCATCTCTATCCTATTCCTAAAATAAAAATATTTTGTAACGTATATTATATTTAATTATAAATATACATACACTAATTCAAAATTGTTTTAGGTTGTATATTCATTTAGAAATTATGTGGGTACTCCAATATATAGTGATATAGAATATTACAATTTACCATAGGTATACTGTTAATATATCTTAGAATAAGTAATAGGTTCGATATACATATGTGTAAAACAAAAAGAAATCTTAAGGATTTGAAACTTTATAAAGTAACTCTGTTAAAAAACATAAGTAGGAAGTAGTCAGTGATGGAGTTTTGAGTTTTCCCCCAAATATGTTAAGATTGAAGTATAGTATGGGGAGAAAATTGAGTACAAATAAAACATTTCTTTATTTTGGAGGAAAATAAAAAAGAAAATTGTGACCTAATGCTCGATTTCTTTTTCTTTGAAGTAAAAATTCGAGAGTAATATGGTAACACAGAAAGTAGTAATCTTTCGTAATTAGTTATAAATCAAACAGAGCTTACACTATAATACTTGTTAAGTATTAGTTGTATTAAAATATAGCTATATATGTCTTTAAATAATAATAATCTCGGCACAATTCACACAGCGTCATCTAGTTCATCTAGTAAAATTATTTAAAAGAGCAACACGCAAGTTTCTTGCTCGTTCTTCTTGTGATGAGAAAGTTTTCCGAATGAGCGGTAGATAAAAAAATGTAATGACTATTCAAAAGTGCTTCAATGTAAGTTTATTTGAATAAATTATTTTCTATTCTATTCTAGTCCCAAGTTAAGGTAGCTAAAGCTTGTGTTATAGGTATTTTTTCGTAAATACATACATATTATAAGTAGAAAATATGTACGTATTTATTAAATGGTTTTCTTTTATGGCACTGTGTGAATTATCCTGATATTCTTATTATATTATCTAAACCTATCTTAAAAACTATAATTCTAGTTAGTTATTTCAGTAATGGCATAAAAAAATACTACTAGAACTGCATTTAATGTTAACATTTCGAAATACTATATTTTCTATTATAGAGACAATATTTATATATACTTCCAAAGAAAATAATGTTCAAGTATTTTTTGAATTCATTTTACGGGCCGGGCCTTATTAACGAATTATAATACTTTTAAAAGAACTGAGTATTTTAAAATTATCATTAATTAGTTTTAAGATGTATTTAGTGAGTATCACACAAAAGTGTTAAAAATAAATCGACTGATTACGATTTTGGTATTATTACCAATATAGTGTAAAGTAAAAATAATTTGTTAGTTAAGGTTCTTAAGATTATTCAAGTACCTCTCGATGTGATAAATGTTGATCTAAAATACAGGTGTTTTATTTATTTCACTGACCGATCCCGTAAATTATATTATATAATATCTGACCCGCGCAAATTCGTCTGCGTTACTTGACATTCAACATCAAATGTCGCCTAATTTACATAATATCTTTTTAAATTATAGCCTATGTGTTATTCTAATGTATAAGCTACATTACTGTAAAGTTTCATCAAAATCCGTTCAGTAGTTTTTTGCGTGAAAAAGTAGCAAACATCCAACAAACAACCCTTTTATGGATAATAATGGACAGGTACACCCGTCTGCGTTAACAGTTTATGCTGGCGGGGCACCAGTACAGTATGATAAGATGAGCCTCAGGTCAGGTCAGTTAGGTGGTCATAACATATTCACCAGGAATTTTTAACGATAGTTTTCAAGGGGAACCGCGTGGAGGTTAATCCGACAAGGTATATTGTTAGTTATAGGATCTACAGCCCATATCAATAACAAGCCTCTTCTTCCCACGATATATCTTAGATACATTCACTTCTAATTAGAATGGCAAATAAACGGGCCTTAAGTTGGCCCATCGTGTTACATTCGACTGGATAATCATCTAATTTGAATTTAAAAATGATTCTGTGCAGGGGCGGATCGTGAATTTGTGGGGCCCTGGGCTAAATCTACTTAGGGGCTTGCCTATCGTACCTAATTATATTACTCAACTAAAATATACACCGACCAAAAACAAGCGACTAGAAATTTCTCGCTCCTTTCAATAGACGCGCACTTCCATGGGTTGATTGATTTCAGGGTTATGATAGGTTTTTTAACATTCTAGATATTTTTTTTATACTCTACATCGTATCAGTGGGGACTGGGCCCTGGGCTGCAGCCCAAAAAACCCTTAGGTAAATCCGCCCCTGATTCTTCGTGTTTTTGAAACATGTACCTACAAGATCATTTGAAATGATTAAGAGCCACGTTCCTTCTCAATTTTTCTCATCTCGAAATCATTCTGAACTGACGGTAGCTTTGACATCATAAGAGTCTGTAATAGACCTACATGAATAAAGATATATATGTCCTACATTAAAGCAAAATTCAATCCATTATCAAAATAAAACAAACATCCACAATTATCATTAGACTTATATTACACTTACAATAAATTACAATGTCTATTTTCAAAATTCCTCATCAATACAATGTTAATTAAGTTACATACAGTCTCATACAAATGTTACAATTCTGTTATTTAAAACATGTGTGCAATGTACACTAGCTATAGCACATACTAGGTACCCCGCCCCGGTTTCGCACGGGCGTCATGTATACGTGAACATACAAATATTCCTCTTGAATCATATCATTAATCTAATTATAATTATTAAAATGCTTTGTAGTTCAAAAAATCTAAGCGAACAACCAGCGGAAGCGACTTAATTTTATACTATGAAATAGTAAAGATAGAGATGGATTAGTACATAATTGTAACAATAATTTAACATCTAAGTACTTCATTACTTCATTTGTCATCTTCAAACGAAGATGATACATGTTATTTTCTGACAATTTGAATTTCAACGTGATCGGTCAATATCGACTATGCTATATATATGTATATATACAGAAATTTATATATAGATATAGATAAATTTCTACATAAAAATAACATTTATTATAATTTGACACCTAAATACTTCATAATTTCAAAGACAAATTATGAACTTAGAAATGTTATTTTAACCTCAAAATATTTTTACAAAATCAATACAATGTCAAATAGTGATAATAATTTTTAAAAAACAAATTTTAATATTCCCCAATGACTCTTGTAACTAAACTTACTAAATATGACTAAATATTCAGATTATTGAGAAGAAGATGAACATCGTGTGTCTTTAATATTATTAATGTATAGTTAAGATATACATAAATATTTGTTTAATGCGTACAATTCCCTATTTGACAGTTGTAACAATAAAATATGAAATATATATTTTATGGTAGTTTCTAAGTAAACAATAATCATACAGTATGTGTTTGGCATTAGAAAACAATTTTTTTTTGGAAAATAACTTGAATTTTGTTTGTTATGAGACTGAATATCATATAACGTGGATCGTAACGTTTATTGAATGTGTAGCCCTCGCTTTAGTGATGTCTTCCAGGCTACGAACTTTCCGGTTGGGTCTTCGGCAGCAGCCCCCTGATGCTGAGGTCGTACACCACCTCCTCGATTTTCTTCACGTCGTATTTGAGAGCGTCGAACCGTTTGCGCAGGTGGTCGTTCTTCAAACTTAACAACCTAATGAATAATAACTAAATAAATAACCCAGGACAATTCACACAGCGCCATCTAGTACCAAGCTAAGCAGAGCTTGTATTATGGGTACTAGACTAGACTCTGATATAAATACTTAGATTTTTTTTGTAAATACATACATACTATACATAGAAAGACTCAGACCGATGCAAACAATCATACTCATGAATACAAATGTTTGCACCGTGATAGGAATCGAACCTGCGACCATCGAAGTAAAGTGGTGTGCTAAACCGCTAGACTACCGAGACCGTCGTAAGAAATATTTGAATTTACAATTTTTTAAATTAGACTTTAAAACTAAAAGTGGATTTTTAAAAGTTGGTAATATCACAGATAACATAATATTACATACAGATACCCCATCCCATACAAGAAAATGGTTCCTTCCTAACTCGGGCTATTCTTCGGGCTATTTTATTTCGCCACCGTAGCCGCTAGATGTCGCTAGATCTGAAGCAGTTCGGATTACTAGTGGGTGCTTAGTAACAAAGCATGAAAATAGATGGCAGTCAATTCAGTCTACATGACATCTGTTTTGCAAAGATATGTATATAATAGATATGTAGGTAACTGTATCGTGTACCTCATTAGGGACGATTCAAGATTCAATGTAAATGTGTAGGTATAATATCGTTAGCCGACACTCTGCAGATATGGCTTATGTGCCAATGTATATACCTATTATGTTATGGTTTATTTTACATTCCATGCCTATTTTTTTGATATGTTGTAACGCGTCTGCGCTATACGTATAGCCCGATTTTGATACTTTTATACTCGTACGTATCAAAATCGGGCTATATGATTTTTTATTTCAATCATTATGTGTAAGAGACTGGTTTTAGCTACAATTAATTTACTGGTATATACCTCATGTATTCTACGATGTACCCCTCTTTTCCCTAATGAGAATTCCGCTATATCTTATATATAAATTTTGTATCACAGTGTTAGTTGCCATATTTCTCCCACATTTTGATGAAATTTGATATGTATACTTGCCAGGTCTGAGGTAGGGTTGTTATCTATTTTTTATACCCCTAAGTCATAGGGGTGGCCTACCCCGAAAAAATATTTTTTTGTATTATGGACAATTTTTTATTTATTTATAATGTTACATTGAAAATACATACACGCCTAAATTTTCACCCGTCTTTCACCAACCCCTATTTTTAATAGCGATATTCTTACAAATATTATAAATGCTAAAGTAACTCAGTCTGTCTGTTTGTCTCGCTTTCACGCCAAAACTACTGAACTGATTTAATTGAAATTTGGTAGACAGATAATGTAGACCCTGAGAAAGGCTACTTTTTAATGCGAAAAAGTATTGAAAGGGGAAATGAAAGGCTATATGAGGATATCGTAATTTTTAAAGTCAGATCTTGTAAGATTAAGTGAACAGGGTTGGTCTAGGTTTTTCATTATTAGAAATGTGTAACGGGGTAACACGTTATTTAGTGCGAAATTGTGTATATTACAATAAAATTTAACGAGAAAATATTATAATGATGTCACTGGGACACTCATTGCCTTACTACTATATCGTCCGTTAGTCGCGAACTTTCTGGAAACACGAGAGGCGCGCTCCTATTGGTTAGTAGATGAGGTAGACGAGTCTCACGGCGCCGCAGCGTAAGTACTTACTATACATACGTAGTATACATATGGGTGTTACAAATGTTTTTATTACGAGTAATATTACTCTGTTATCTAAGCAAGTAATGTGTGCTTATTTTGAACTTGATAACATTTTGAATTACTCGTATATCTTTCAATATCTTTAGCGGTATAAACCAGGTTATGTACTACTACTAGTATTGTTAGTGAGGGATAAAGTTGATGAACAAAAATAAAACAATATTTGTATTAAAAATATATTCATCTAATATTTTTGGCATTATTTTTAAGTTTCTTCCAAATACAAGGGGTCTGACATGGGGTGTTATGTACCTACATTAAAAGATACTTTTTGAAATGTATGAAATGTATGTACCTACATTAAAAGATAATTTTTGAAATGTATGAGATGTATGAAAGAAATGTATGTACCTACATAAAAAGTTCATTTTTGAAATGTATGAAATGTATGAAAGAAATGTATGTACCTACATTAAAAGATAATTTTTGACATGTATGAAATGTATGAAAGAAATGTGTGTACCTACATTAAAAGATAATTTTTGACATGTATGAAATGTACGAAAGAAATGTAGTACCTACATTAAAATATATTTTTTTAAATGTATGAAAGTAATGTATGTACCTACATTAAAAGATAATTTTTGACATGTATGAAATGTATGTACCTACATTAAAATATAATTTTTTAAATGTATGAGATGTATGAAAGAAATGTATGTACCTACATAAAAAGTTCATTTTTGAAATGTATGAAATGTATGTACCTACATAAAAAGTTCATTTTTGAAATGTATGAAATGTATGAAAGAAATGTATGTATGTACCTACATTAGAAGATAATTTTTGACATGTATGAAATGTATGTACCTACATTAAAATATAATTTTTTAAATGTATGAGATGTATGAAAGAAATGTATGTACCTACATTAAAAGATAATTTTTGACATGTATGAAATGTATGAAAGAAATGTGTGTACCTACATTAAAAGATAATTTTTGACATGTATGAAATGTATGTACCTACATTAAAATATAATTTTTGAAATGTATGCACCGTACAATAACAATACACGTTAAACATTATACCACAGAGTCATACGCAAGTTAAAAACAAACTGCTATGATATATTAATGAGAAAGGAAAATCAACTTTATGGTATTCGAGTTAGGGTCGATTTCTCTCTTTTTTTTAAATACTATTTTAATCTTACCAGTTGCCAGTATTTGAAGACAGCTACGATTCGTACTCGATATTTTAAATTATTATGTAATCGATTATTCAGTACAAATGTAAATAACCAACGACACTAATAATGTACTACTATATTCCGTTCTTTGAAACGGAACACTGCTATAACACATAATAATGAAAATTTACTGTTTACAACGACTCATTAAATGCATCATCGAATAATGCGCTGTAATAAAATCCTGTTATCGATTATTCAAAAAAATCGATAATACATGTATTTATTTTTAATATGACAACACTTCATACATAAGTATTATTGGAAATAGTATTACTTGCTTGTTCGGCTATTTTTAATTTACTTAAAAATTTTTTATATGTTTAATTTACAATAATAATATATTAAGTGCTTATTATTGGAAAATATAAAAAAGACATTTAATTAGGCCGATACAAATGACGACAATGCCATCTATGAAAACATTTTGAAAACATTGAGCCCCATATTAGCACTGATTAAAGTGTAATTAAGTACTGGAAAATAATAAAATGAGTAAATATATGAAAATTACTTTTCTAAACGCATTATTTCATTTTAACATGTATATATAACTTTTTAAAAATTGATTAAACATTTTTGAAAACACAGTTTTGTTTTTTAAAACGTTTGCAAAACTATGAAGAATTCCATCGATACCAATTACGCCATCTATATGCAACTTTTAGCAATAATAATGGCTACTTCCTCATTGAGTGCCACTGGTAATATCAATAACCAAAGACAATACACACAGCTACTAGTCCCAAACTAAGCAGATAATAACTCTAACACTAAAATTTCATATCTTTGACACAAAAAAAATTGTGTGGATTTTTGATGACTCTTATGAATATTAAGAAAGTAGAAAGAAAACATTTTTCCTGGGTTATTTAATAAACATGTTCCAATGTTAATATATTTTATAACTAGCTGTACCCGCGATTTCACCCGCGTTAACTTTCAATATAAAATATTTAATATATGTTATTCTGTTGCAAAGGCTATCCGTTCAGTAGTAACAAACATCTATACTTACAAACTTTCGCGTTTATAATATTATTAAGATTATTAAAGTTGGTAAGAGTTGACTCACCTAAATCCAGCGTTGAGTTCCATTACGAACCGCGATATCTGCAGTGGCCTGCTGTAGTCGCCGTGTGTTACGGAGTTCACTGCCAGCCGAGACTAAAATAATTTACCATACCGACACATTAGCACGTTAAAGACCGCACGCTCACCGGTGGATCACTGTTGAGCACTGTTGGGGCCGGGTGATCACCAGTGGGCACTTGAATTGAAATAAATCTAGGGGTTAAATTGTCTACCTCAAATTATTGTACACTAAAAACTTATTTAAAAAATATTATGCGGTCAATGTGGTCAAATTATCGGTTCAACGTGTTAGGAGAGATATAGTAGAAGCAGTCAAGTACACTTTCCTTCACTCAATTCACAAGTATTCGTTCAAGAATTCACAAAATAATCCTCAAAAATGACTTTTTTATGAAAGCTTTTTCTGCTATTGAGGAATTTTTTAATATTGATATTGAAGTTTGCATTTCAAATATTTCGTGTTCAAAAAATTTGAAATGTTGTTTATCCTTACTATTGTAATATTTTACATACCAATTCAGAACACAGCATCAGCAGTCCAACTAAATAATCCTCTATGTCAAGATGGAATCCTTCCTTCAGTTCTACCGAGCTTACTGTAAAAAAAATACATATAAGTTTATAAATCTACCGCTATATATACAGGGCCTCGGTAGTCTAGGGGTATACCACATCACCTTACTTGTAATGGTCGCGGGTTCGATTTTCACGTTACAAATACATTCATGAGTATGATTGTTGGTATCAGTCTGGATGTTTTCTATGTGTATTATGTATTTAAAAAAAAAGGAATTTATATTAGTTATTTAGTACACATAATACAAGCTCTGCTTAGCTTGGGACTAGATGGCGCTGTGTGAATTGTCCTGAGATGTTGTTATTAAATGTATAATTTATACAATTCAATATTTGAATTTCAATAATTAAATATTTGAATATATAATATAATTTTTCAAATACCCATTCCGATGCCATATATGTATAATACATATATGGCATCAGAACATATATTTAATTTTGGACTAAATTTCGCTAGCTTTATATATATTTAGAGATTTATAGAAAGTTTTTAACCTACTATTGTTATTCTTATTTAGGATATTTAGAATAATTTCTGTCATAGTATGAAATTTGCGCGGATGGAGGAGTATGAAATTTTGCACTTTGGGACTTTTTTTGGCAGGTAGCTGATGTAATAAGGAGTAACTTAGGTTACTTTTATTATAGAAAAATAAAGTTAAATTCCACGCGGACGAAGTCGCGGGAACAGCAACAGAAATATAAAATTGCATAAGCGCACTAGCATATTGATATACTTACTGCCCAAAACGTCTGCGATGGTCTCATGTGCGGCCAGTATGCCCATCTCTAGCCAGATGGTGAGCGATATAAGGAATGAGTAACGCTGGGTCATAATACGCCAATGGTCGTGATACCTGCGCATATAAACAAACAAACAAACTGACTGACTGTACATGGCACCTGTTTCAAAAGAGTCACAAATAATTTATATGTACAATTAAGGAAATATCACGGTAAGTGTATATTTATATATATGTTCGTACTTGTAATAGTCAGTGGATGGAACAGCCGCCTGCAGTCTCTCGTAGCCGAGGCGAGCCTTCTCGAACAACTCGCGAGCTTTAAGACATGCTGCATTTACTGAAATCAGAAATATATATTTTATTTTATTTCAGAAATATTTATTTATTTTATACAAACTGTTTGCACTGTACCTGTCAAACAGGGTTCCTACAGAAATTTATTACTTTACTGAAGTTAAAAAACCTCAGACAAATTATTTAATTCTGAGGCGGAAAGGAGTTCGCGGGGTCAGTTGGTATCAGATATATTGTTAGGCTATTTAATTATTCTGATAGGAAATATATTTCCTATCAGATATGTTTTTTATGTTATGTTAAAGTGCAATGCATAAATTATTTTAAACATTAAGGAGGTATGTAATGAAATAATTATAATATTTATGATTACTTATACATCTATACATATAAATAAAATTGTAGTGTCTGTTTGTAATATTGACACCGTTTTTTACTACATTTATATTCATATGCGAATATAAATACGGTACATACACCAAAATAACAATTTTTACAAATTTTGTCTGTCTGTTTGTTCCGGCTAATCTCTGAAATGGCTGGACCAATTTTGACAGGACTTTTTTTCGCAGGTAGCTGATGTAAATAAGAGTACCTTAGGCTACTTATATTTTAGAAAATTTCTTTATTTTAGAAAAATAAAGTTAAATTACTTTGTCCACGCGTCATCGTTGTCGCGGGTACAGCTAGTATTAAATAATTTTTTACATTAATTTATTACATTTGATGTGTAGCGTAGTATAATTTCTTGTCTTGATGATTTTGGTCCATTGCCAAGCCATCTGCTTGTTTACTATTCTACATAATAAAAATATTAAAGAGTAACAAACATTCATACATGTGTTTATATTATTAATAGAAAAGTACTTACTCCCGCTCTCATCATGATGTATAACTTGTAGAACAGTCAATATCTCGCGAGACAAATGGTCCACTTCTTTGGAAATATTTCTGATTGACTGCAACACAAACAATTTTCTCAATCTTTATATATAAAAATTACGTATCACGTTGTTTATCGGCGATGGACTCCTAAACTACTGATCTGATTGCAAATTTGATTTGCACATTGTGTGTAATTTGATCCAACTTGAAAGATAGGATAGCTTACATCTCAATTTATTGTCGCAATATTATTTTATTCAAGAACCTTAGCCACAGCAACGCGTGGCCAGGTCTACTAGTATATGTATATATTTAAGTATTAATATACCATGGAATTATCCTTAAAGTTATTATGTGTAATGTTTACTATTTAATAAAGGATATATATGTGGTTAAATATACAGGTTCCTTCAAACAATAATATTACCTTTTGATTAGCACATTTATTTAAAGTTTTTTCTGTAAATATTATTCTGTACATAAAACAGAGTTATATCATTATTAAATAAAACCAGGGATGTTAGGGAGCTCCGTAACCATAACCGAAACTATCGGATGTCCGATATAAAAAATATTTGTAACCATAAACGAATCCAGCATAGAAGTTTCGGATAATACCGGATAGTGGTGTAGCCTAATTGAGACATGTTATGTAAACATTTTATTAGCTATTTTCCTCTTAAAATTCCTAAAAAGAATATTATCCCTAACCGAAATTATCCGAAACTAACAGATAATTTGAAATTTCATATTCCATATCTGCATCTGTAACCATATCCGGTATAATAATCATTCCTTTATCTGAAACCTATCCGTATCTGAAATTTACAAACGCAATACGTGAATTTGAAATTAGGTTTACATATGAGTTAAATATTACTACACATACCCCAAATTAACATAAACCCCAATCAATAAAATATAAAATTGAGAAGTTGACTTTATGGTTAAAACTTAAGTAAATTCTTGGCATTAATTTCTCTTGTGGCGTACATTGTTATTGTAGTAGTAAACTGGGATAATAATATCATTCGGTACTTTTAATATGTGAAATTTTATCTGAATATCAAATTTTAATAACATACATCCCGTAGTATTATGTAAAACGAATATTAAATCATACAGAATGTCATTTTTATAATATTAAGCAACAACAGCTAATCTGTTGTACTTATTGGCAATTTCACAATAATTTATTGAAATAGGTAAGTAAAAGAAAACTACAGTAATTCTATACATTTTCTTTTTTAAATTATACATAGATAAAAATTACAGATACGGTAAATAATTAAAAAGAATTGTGATAATAATAACGTAAAAGTAATAAATAGGCAAATAATTAAAAAAGTGCAACTCCAAATACTTTTAAATAAGCATGTTTAGTATATAACCCTATAAGTACACTCATTGCCTGTAATCCTACCTCTCGTCGTTCAGCTTCTTTGTCGAGACTTTTTTGAAATTGACTAAATAATTCGTTAACCAAAACATTGCTACCCATTTTTGTTTATTTATTTCTAGTTGTAAATAATTAAACAAAACAAATTGACAAAAATACAAGCCGATTCGTCGATTACACAGTAATGATTTATCACAACTGTCAAAGAAATGTCAATGTCAAATGATTTGTCATTTACTCATTCAAATGTAATATTTTTTTTATTAACATGGTCGCAGAAGGCTTTACTTTAATTAAAATATTATTATCATTTTTAATACATTTATAACATATTTAATTATCTTTGCTTATTAAACATTCTAAATAGCCCAGCACAGACAGAGAATTCTACTAAAAGATATTATTCTAATAAGCCTAAGAGTTCAGATTCATTGCATCTATAATATAAATGGTATGGGAGAAATTATTAGTTTAGTAGGTCCATTGCCAGTAATGTTCAGGTATGACTCTATCTGTGGCCCTTTAAAGTTCCGGGAAACAGATGTTATGCCTCCGTAGCCTGTACTTTTACTGACATGTCACTTACAAAGAACCTGTTTTGCGAATTACTGAAACAAGAGTCAGAGGTACTTTCTCTTTGTATGAAATTTGCCTCTGGTAGTCTAGTATGTATACCTAAATTGTGGACTATAGAATTACAACAACATGATAGACACAGACAACATAATATTCCATTCTTGGCACTATTGTAGTACAAAAAAAAAGGTAAATTAAATGAAAACTCGTAAGAAATGACCTCATGTTTATTGTTATTAGGAACATAGCATTTTAGCCAGGTGGCCAGCCTAGTTGTCGGCCTCCAATGATGTGTATATGGAGATGGTAGACAGTCTGAGCCCCGTTGCGACCATCATTGATGACAAGTCTGAAGCCAGTCTTGTCAAGACCCTCTTGCGCGGCTACTTTTCGAGCCGTTGTCAACAGATGCCCTGAAAAAGATAATATTCAATAACCTATTTATTTATTCAAATTTTAATGCACAAACACAGATGCGTACCGCAGACTTAACACCTTGAGGCATTTTCTCGCAGTCACCCATTGATAATGTGTTAGTTGTATAATTTATATAATTTGTAAGACTTCATTTTAAAATTTTTAAAAGCCTAACAATTTTACCATATACAAATGCACATCAATAAGGACATGTGGTTAAAATTACCAAGTAGCTGTTCATCTTCATCTTCAGCCTTTGATAGTTGAGGAATAGGCTTGCGAGGTATCACCAGAATGTGAGTGGGGGCTTGTGGGTTCACATCTCGGAAGGCCACACACTAAAAAAACAAAGAAATCAGAATTTACTTATGAAAACTAACAATATATATATATACTACAATATGTATCTAATTTTGCACTAGATTTGGCTTGGCAGGGAGAGGAACACGAACAGTGAGTGTTGATGAATGGCAGTAAAGTGTCCTACCTAACCTAAACCTACATTTTGCTCAGAGTTTCCCTGTCTGCTACACAATGACCCTGGCACCTGCACAGTGAATCTATGAAATACTCCAAAGTTCGTCACACTTTGTGTCTCTTTTATATAGGATGTCTTATAATATATTGAATTTTGTTTCTCACTTATTCTTGAAACAATTTCTAATATTTGATGTCATGTGTATATAAAAAAATGATAAGGTAAATAATGTCTGTTTGTTAGTTTCTGTGTAGGATTGCACATAAAAACACTGGAGATATTAGTATGAAGTTTTCACAGAATAAAATTGTTAACTTTTTAAACATTATTATAAACTGAAAAATGCTGAGAAATTTACCCCCTGTTTTTGTTCAAACTAAGAAGGTTAGTTATTCCTAAAGTTAGAGCATCCAAAGGTTTGTTTTTTACATTATGTAAAAAAACACATTCTATATTACTTATCTTATCAATAGTTAAACTGGTCATACCTCTTTTCATTCCACTGGCAGTATAAGTTATAATTCTCTAATATAGTTTTGTATCGGTACTTGGTGTTCTAGAGACGATTGTTTCTCCTCTAAAAAGACCTTCGGAGTATGTCCAAGGACTTTTTAAGGTATTTATAATATTGCAACAATTAATTTGCGACTTTAAAGGGTAGTTTCAGAGTACCATAAAAAAGAGGTTATTAATGATTCATCACAAATTGTTTGTTCCGATCAATTTTTAATATAGTTTCAATATTTGGCTTAAGGCTTGCCTTTATATGAATATTTTCAGTTTACGCAATCTATAAATACATAATTTTTAACTAGTCAAAAGTCAGCTGATTGACTGGTTGCCGATTTTACCGGCGGTAAATGTTTATGAAGATATATTTTACGTATTCACTGTACCTGATCATCTTCGTAGACGAATTTCGCCGGTATTTCCTTCCTTAATATCTTTCCAAAAATAGTATCTCCGCCAGCTAAGGCGGTTTGTGCGAGTTGTACTTCGTCTTCCGCCATGTTTGTTTCGACAGGTTATATTTTTATTTTTTTTTACGCAAAATGTTGCCACTTGCGAACAATAACATATATGATAACGAGAAATAGGTATTTTAGTTAACCAGCTATTGCCGACGACTTCGTCTGTACAACAATAATATATAGAAACCAACGTTCTATTTAGTTACAAATTAAATTTATTTTATGTAGAAATTCATGATTATGAGTCATTTAAGATCTGAAAGCATAGCAAACATGCTATTTTCCAGTCTTATCGGATATAACAATATTTTTTATAGATTTCATAATGACAATGTACCTATTGCGTTTTTGTGTTTGTTGTACAATACGATAAAATTGTGGAGTGAATGCAATACTTACATATTCACAAAACTTATAGGTATGTGTAGGTATCTATAATGATTTATGTGCAAACTAAAGATAAAATATCATTATACTATTGAACTACTGGTGCTAATATTTAGAAGGATTACTTATTACTTATTACTAAGGCCAAACACTTTTCCATACTAAAATAATTCTGATATTATTAAAATAAATTAACATGTTTTATCTAGGGAGTTAGATTATTTTTATAATTAGCCGCTACAGTGTCTGATTTAATAAAGATAGTTTTAAAAACTATTCAATTGCGAAACATGTTTATTGTATTTATGGCTCTGCTTCTGCAAGTAACAAAATGAATTAAAATTTAATTTAATACCTTTAATGAACATACAGGTTTCATGTCACTTTCATTACAGAAAAACTTATAATAATAAAACTTTTAATCTTACTAGTGAATAATTTATTACAAATCATTTTGTTTATTATAAATTATATTTACAATACCTAATACTATGCAAAATAAAAAAGTGTTTCCATTCAATGCTGTTGTATAAAAAGAAAAAATAATACAAATCCAGTATGTTTGAGACTTCACTATTAACCATAGATGAGATAATATTACATTCTGAGATGGCGTACTATAACATATTCTTATGTTTTTTAAGCGAAAATTCATCTATTTAAAGTCTACTGCCAGGCCCTACAGGCCAGATCATATGATGCAATGCTCTTTCAAACACGTGTAGACCGATGAACCTCCTGGTACGATGGTTTTCGTCCACCATCACGTGGTAGCCGGTACCCATCAGGCCTTTCTCGGCCGCTATGTTTTTAGCAACCAATAAAATGTGTCCTAAAACAAAATAGAGTTAATGAATAACGACGATTATTTTGCTACTGAAGTTATCGTCTAATATTATTACGGATGTTTTGAATTTGATAATTGAATCATATTTTTTTATTGGGGGGTTTGGACTATTGTCAGGTGCTGTAGCACTGTGACCTACATAGATCTATTGTGTTCGCCTTTTTTCAGAGTTCGCTACCTAGACCCGTTAGGGACAAGAACTACAGGACATTTATTCTTAGGAGCGATGGTTTATCTCCTCAGGATAGTGCGTAAACTTCCCAAATAATGTCCCTTATTATTTTTTTGGAATCAACAGTGTGAATTTGTTATTAATGAATAGACATTAAAACATTTACACGATAAATCGAGTCCACGTGGTAATACTCTCAATATGCAGGCAACATTATCTCATTGGATGAAAATTTTTCGAAGGATGAGTAGACTGAGAAAGTAATCACTACGTTTGAGAGGTAAGCGTATCTTGACGGAAAAATATTAGTTCGTTCGTTAATGTATATTCATTCGAACAGTTAACTTATAAATGAAACTAGCGGCAATTTTTTTTTTTTATAAAATTTATTTTAGCCAAATGGCCAAAACATTTGGCGTCCCCCGAACACTTGTATATGAAATTGGTCGACAGTCTGCCGGCCGTGGACACCTTCGTTCATGACTACTCTAAACCCGGACTTGCTTATGCCTCTCATTTTAGCAACTTGGCGGCTCACGAGGAGTAGGTGACCTGCGATGTAGACAAACAAATATTCAAACAGGGGGAAGGTGATTATTCGAAATGTGGACTGATGACCTCATCGCTAGCATGGTATCATGACAGCTTGATCTCCACGTGGTTCCCCCTGTAGGACTGGAATCAATTTATCACGATGGGCAACCGATGCCAGCGTCTGGGGCGGACTAAGGCTTAGGCCTAGGCAGGGCGGACTAAGACATAGGGCCCACAATTTTTAAAACTACCAAAGGAAAAGTATGTGTCATGATTGAAAAATAGGGCCCGAATTACAATGTTGATTAGAGCCGGCTTTTGCCTTAGTCCGACACTAGACAACGTAATACATTAGCGCAGGAGGATGCACTCTGTCATTATAATCCATAAAAAAATCAGATACATATCTGATTTGATATCTATTTCTCGATATTGAAACGCTAGATCGCTTACGACGTAGGTAGAGAGAACAATGTTAATTCATACTATTCAATACTAATCCATAGTAATATCACAGATAAGATAATATTACATAGTAATATATATATTATAAATGCGAAAGTGTTTGTCTGTTTGTTAAGTTTTGACGACTGAACCGTTTTTAATGAAAATAGACGTAATGGTGTATCAAACGACAAACTTGCTGTCCCCAAGTATCGTTTAGAAAAAGTTAATAGGTCTTTTATGGGAATAGGTATAAAAATTTACAATAAGATACCAAAGGATATGTTGGAATTACCCTTAAATAAATTCAAAACATCTGTTAAATGATATTTACTGAGCAAAGCCTATTACTCACTAAACGATTACTTGAATGACGAGTGTGCATGGCAATAGTTGTTCATGCACTGAATTTTCATTTAATGTTAGACATAGACACCTATATAAATATACATTGTAAATAAACTGGCTTTAAAAAAAAAAAGTAATTCAATTGAGTTTCTTGCCAGTTCTTCTCAATTGGATCTATATACCGAACTGGACGGTAGGGAAAAAAATAAAATTATAATGTAAAAATTTGACGTTCATAAGCGGCTAAAATGTCCTACATGAATAAATGATTTTTTAATTTGAATTTGAATTTGAAACGGCTATATGATCTTTTATAAAAAATGTATCTATTTGTCTTCAGCGTTTCAAAGACTAAATAATGTAATTTCAGACTTACATTACCTTTTCAAAGCTAAGTGAAATGACTTCATTGTTATTCCATCTTCTACTCCACTCCACTCCATCTTATAATCCACCAAAAATATACACCTACCTAGTAATTTTTCGTCATCCTCTGTAGCAAGAGATAGTCTCGGTAAAACCTTCTTAGGTACGACTACGAAATGGACTGGAGCTTGTCTGTCCTCGCCGGCCTCGAAGACGATGCACTGAAACAGATATTAATCGTATTTTTATCGAATGAGCATAAGATAACAACCGGCATTTGAGAAAAGTCACCAATCGTACTGAGTCATAGCACAGATAAAATAATATTACACAGTTAAGATAATAACAAAGTAATCAATAAATAAAAAAATATAAGCATGTATTTTTTCTTTTTTCTGACCCAAGGAAATCAAATTTATTAGTCCATGTCAAGGTTTTTCAACAATGCATGTTCAATTGTACCGCTATTTTTAGTTTTTTTCCTTCCCCCTTCACTTCCGTGTACCTACCGATCAATTGCCAATCAAAATGCTACCTAATTGTGTTCATCAGAAGTAAATAAAAAAAGAAAAATACTTTAATTGGTTTGTTTACATTACAGAGGTGTACATGTTAACTAACCTATTTTAGGTAGGCGTAGCCATAAAAAACAATCAATATTATTGTGATGTATGTCTTTTTTATCGTATTTTGACACTATTATTATTACATTGATATTACAAATATTGCATTTGATATTTTAGATAGTAATGGCAGAATTATGTGAAACAAATGTACAATATAATACATATAATTTTCGTCTAAACTGATTTTTTAAGATGAAGAACAACTGTCTTGCTGTAAATGACCCTTTTAAAACACTGTCCAATTATTATTGATTAAGATCTTTATGGCGTATGACCATGCTTAGTGAATTAAAAAAAAATACCTGTTCATCCTCAAAGATGTACTCCGGTGCAGGTTTCCCGCCAAAATATGGATTCGTTTTTTGTTCAATGTTAATTGCAGTCATTTTCTTATTTGTTAATCGGGTTTACTGTTTATATTTTAAAACAATAATTTCCAAATACACCTGACGTCTTGCTAAGTCTGTGAAATGACGCATACTGTTGAAAATAGTCGAAATAAAACATACGCATGGTTAAGTGAATAGAGTCTATTTTTGCACCATCATCATCATAAGATACGTTTGATAACATACGTAAGAGATAAACAGTTTTTTGTAAGTAGGTACTAAAAGTATTGTCCCTTTCCATAGTGTAGCGTTCTTCTTCTTTATTTTAAACTAGCTGTACCCGCGACTTCGCGTGGAATTTAACTTTCTTTTTCTAAAATAAAAGGAGGCTAAGTTACTGTTTATTACATCAGCTATCTACCAAAAAATATCCGAAGGCTAAATCCCGTCTGAAGGATACGACTTTAGTCTGAAGGCACCGCTAGGGGTTCGAACCTCGGATTAGGCCGTCGTAATTTCGATCCCCGTTTGAATTGAACGGAGGATCGATCGGAGGGGCTCATAAAACTCCGAAAAGATTTAACCGATTCTTATGAAATGTTGTGTCCTGTGTTCAATAGGACATAAATTATTTTTCAATCCCCTAAATGATATGATCGAACAATTTTTTTTATGATGTGGCATTAAAAACTACATATACTCCTAAATACGCATACTTCTACCACCAACTCCTTTTTTTTAATATATTATAATGGTTTCCAGGGGGAACCGCATGGAGGTCGCCCTGACATAGTACATTGTTAGCAGTAGCATTAATAATCCACATTCCTAAAAATTCTATTCTAAATTGTCACTGTTTTCTATTGTTCCTTTCTGCTTCCCTTCCTGGCCCTAGTTAGTAGTGTTTCTTTGTAATATACTCTTATAATAATATATACAATATATATATATCTTCCTTTATCGCCCACAAGAATACTCCTCCGAAATGGCTTGACGGAATTTTATAAAATGTGTGTATATTCAATAGGTCATACTCCCCTTTCCGCCTATTTCTGGCACGGTTGCCAATTATCATGCACCATATAGTTTTTGATATGGAAAAAAATATTACGTGTAAAATACAATAGTAAATACTTATCAAAAATTTTAACTAGCGACTGCTGGCCAGTATAAGACGTTACGTATAAGAAACAGCGTGTTTAAAGTTTATATAAATATATATCGTATGAAAATAAAAAGTAAACTCAACAAAATCAATTATATAAATTATTTATTATTAATTCACAACATGAGCCAAAATTACAGCACACATATATATACATATATACATTGGTAATTTACAATACAAATCACAGTCTTATATTATATATATGTATATATCGTACCAAAAATGTCAAGACTGAACGCTATTTAAAATTAGAATCCAGAGAATGCACATAAGAGCAATAATACTCGGCATATTCTTTTTTAATATATGAATATTTAATGGTTGCCCTGCCAGCACTGACTATCTATGATACTGTACTTACAATTCCTCCTACATTCTACATGTTGACTAGTTGTCCCATTATAAATAATATTTTTAACAATAACCCAGTAATGGTTTTGTGGGGGGAAAGGGAATTGTTAGTAATGGACTGATGACCCCATACGATTTTAGGTTGACGCCTCCACGCGGTTCCCCTCGGAAGCCACTGTGACAAATTCACTATGAATCAGACAATATTGTCAGCGCTATTAATTTAAAATTAGATTTTTTCTGTAAAAATATTTTTTTAATGGATGATAATGGTTAATCCTGCGCTAACACTACGCTGGCGGGGCACCAGTGAAGGATCCTAGGATGAGCATGAGGTCAGATCAGTTAATCTATCATGGTAAATTCAAACATCTCCCTTCAAACATATGTTTGCGCTTTATAAAATTATTATGAATGCATTTATAAAATTAAATGTGCATTAGTTTTAAAAAAAGAATATTAATTAAATTAAAATATATCAATATATTGCAATTTTTTATTTCATGACTTTAATAAATACTAAATATAATTAATTTCAATATAGTGTAGCCTCTCCATGGAGGTTTTTTTCATAATGAATCCTTGATGGTTACAGTTTATTGTAAAATTAAATTAAAGTTTGTATATAATGCTACTTATACATAATTCTGTACATATATTCTATTGCCACATTTTTCCTTCGGTTAATATAATTTTCTATATAAATAAGTACAAAAATCACATTAATTATACACTGTTTATTTTAGTTTTAATTTCGTTATTTCGTTATTTAGACGCGAAATCCTTTATACACTTAGTAGGATTATTAATTTGCATAAATTATAGATTAACATTTTGCACACTTTAATAATAAACTGAATTAATACAAACCAACAAATTTTAGAATATCAACTTTACTGCTTTGCAGGAAGGTATAATTTCCAATTTTTTATTAATCTGTAGTTTGTTATTAAGTGTGCCATTCTTTTCTAAATTAATTCTAAATAAACAACTCACATAGATTAGCTTATTACGGAATATAAAAAACATATAGTAAATAATTTAGAAAACCATTGTTGGGTTGTTATATGTTGAGTAAAATTCAGGGCTATTTCACACGAGTTATCCGGTTATGAATCCAGGGTAAGATCTCGTGTGAAAATGTATTTTGTGACAAATTAATTTTGACAGTCTTATTTTTTTATTTTGTTTATCCTTAACGGAAAGGCAAAGGGAACTGCGCCTATACAGCCATGTCTGCATGTTATTTCACAGTCTTAAATGTTTATCACATGACACTTAATATTATGGTTTTGAGCATTAAACATGTGGTATGGTAGAAAACATTTTTTAAATAATTATCTACAATTAAATATTTTAGATTATGTACATTATATGTATAATATAATTATACATATTTCAGGACAAAAACACAGCGCCATCTAGTCCCAAACTAAGCAGAGCTTGTGTAATGGGTACTAGACAACTGATACAAATAAACAGATAATTTTTTTCTGTAATTACATTCTTATTCTTAATAGAAACACTCAGATGGATACAAACAATTACACTCATGAATATGTTTGTGCTATGCGAGGAATCGAACACGCAACCATCGGAAGTAAGTGGCACTGCACTGCTACAACTGACCACGGCAATGTACCTGTCCCGCCTACACTACGCCACCAAGGGGCAGGACTATATACGGGTCAGGAGTAACCTGACATTGAGGGTGACGCAGCTGGAGTAGACTCACAACGCGAGATTCAATGCGTTTGTGGCCCGGGTCACCACCAACATGCTGACCACCTTCATGAAGAAGGGTGAAGGGTGTGATGTATTGGCGCTACCGTGGCAGATTGCCGTCGTCAGTGCCGTGACCACAGAGACTATTTATGTATTTAACTTCGTCCACATCACACTTACTTGACATTTATAATTATATTTCCCAATTTACATACTATCTTATTATATTTTTTTTTCTGATGTATAAACTAAATTACTGTAAATTTTCATTAAAATCTATTCAGTAGTTTTTGCGTGAAAGAGTAACAAATATCCATCCATCAACACTCACAAACTTACACGTTTATAATATTAATAAGATTTTATTATTACTACATATGTATGTTAGTCCATAAAGTATTCATAATATGGGCTAATAGTAACCTGAAATAAATACATAAATAAATAAATCTCTAACATTATAATTTATACAAACAGACAGACCTTATGTCCGATTATTGAAAAAGTATTTACATATTTCATGTTTACTATGAATACTTATTCATATATTTATATATTGATACAAAAATTCTATAGTATAAATATACATAATAATATAAAACCTATAAAAATGCATTAATTATTATAAATATTTCAGACATGCATACATTATATACATAGAAATCACCCAACCCACAATCATCATCTATAAATGTAGCTAATCGATAAACGGTACAGCCCGTCTTTCGACATAGTCCTCCTCTAAAGATTTATATTCTGTCCTGTCTTTTACTTTTCGAGTTCATAATAGACCGGTTATTTTCGTAATATCATCATAATCTGCTTCTTCTTTATTCATTTGTGGTCGGCGTAATGTTTTTCTCTTCCATTCATCCCTGTTCGCAGTCATTTCGTTATTTACTTTTCTTACCATATCATCTTTCACACAGTCCATCCATCTCTTTTTCGGTCTTCCTCTGCCCTTATAAGCATCCACATTCATATGTAGTACTTTCTTTAAAATATTATCTTAATTCCTACGCATTATATGTCTATACCACGAAAGACGATTACTTTTAACTTTTCCGACACTGGCACCATTTCACACACACCATACTCATGAATACACATATTTGTTTCGGGAATCGAACCCGTAACTAACGTACTACGTAATTAGTAAGGCGGCGTGCTAAACCGCTAGATCACTGACGATTACGATGCGGATAAATTATTATTATATGCTAGCATATTATTTATTATCTAGAAGAATATAAATTAAGTAATAATATTTTTGAGACATATTTTAAAAATAAATGTAAATTATAACAGTTTGTGAGAAAGCCACATTTAATTAATCTCGAAATAACATGAATTTCATAAGTTTTGACCCTTCCCTCGGGTCTTGTCACATTTGTGAGACGTTCCCTAGTATGACGTCACATATTTTTCAATTTCGAAAGACTGTTGACATGTTCCCTAGTATGACGTCACATATTTATCAATTTCCAAAGACTGTGTTGACACGTTCCCTAGTATGACGTCACATATTTTTCAATTTCGAAAGACATTGTGGTCACATTCATTTCAAATAAAAAAATCAACATCCATTTCTAAGTGACATTATTCTAAGGTAACAAAAAACAAGCGAATTGAGAACATCCCTGATTTCTTAGTCAGTTAAAAATGGACAGATTAATTTCTATTCACGTAACTTATAATTAATTGTATGTTTCAATTCAATAGACAACAAAGTTTTAAATACAGTCTTATAATTAGTTTAAATACAGCTTTATTTACAAAAGTAATAAAGCACATTTTTCACTGACCCAATTTAAGTTATAATATCACACGTTTACACATATATTATTTAATAGTAACTAAAATACCCTTATTCGCAGAAATGCTACAAGTCTTATAAACTAGGGAATAGCTTTGTTCCTTTCCACGACCTAATCTCTTCATTAGATAGAAAGGGACATAACTATAAACGAATAAATAATTTACACTTTTGTGACATTGTTTATACTTCACTTATTTATGGTCCACTGTAGTTCGGCAGTGAAGGTAATAATTTAGAACAAGATACTATTCCCGACTGGGGGAGAACTCATAGTATTTTTTTTTACTGGGGGTATTGGGCTATTGTCAGGTGCTAAGAACTGTGTCACTTCGACCTACATAGATCTGTGAGGGTCAATAATTGAAGGATATTCTTAGGAGCTATGGCTTTTATCTCCTCAGGATAGAGTGTATACTTTCCAAAGGAATTCGTTTATGCATGGACAGGACCACACAACACACTGTAGGGGAAAGTGGGAATGTAGTTCTAATTCCAATTATAATATCTGTCATGGATAATGCGGACTCTAGCCCAGTGTTTCCCAACGTGCCCCACGCCTCACAGGGAAGAAATTTAGCAATTAAGGGGCAGGTCGCAGTTGGGCTTTACAGCTTCACCGGACGTTAGGGGGCAAGTGCAGCTGGCACTCCAAACCAAAGGAAGGACTTATGGAGCAGCTGAAGGCCAACTCCCGTCTGACGGATACGACTTTAGTCTGAGGGCACCGCTAGAAGTTCAAATCTCGGCTCAGCCCGTCGTAATTTCGATTCCCGTTTGAATTGGACGGGGGATCGATCGGAGGGGCAAAAATGAACTCTACAATTCTATGGAATGTAAATTTTTCGCTGTATGTTTTGAAAATTTACTTACTGTTCCATTAACAGTTTCCTTGTGATTTTTTTCTAAAACCTATTATTTAAGTTTTTTAAGAGAACAATTCAATAATTTTATATTATAAATTATGTTGTTACATGGGCATAAGAATTTTGAATGGCTAAGGCCCCCACCTTAGCTCTAAAAAGGTTGGGAAACACTACTCTAGTTGGTGTCTTCGCCCGTGCAGCGTCCGTTCGGGCGGGGCCGCGCGGGGTGCGGGGCTAGCCCCAGCTGGGGTCGTACCCGCGCCAGGGGTCCCGCGGGGCCACCCACACGCGCCGCCCCCGCACGAAGCACGACACCACGCCGCGGTACGCCGTCCGAGGGACGCCACTCTGTTTACAACACTTTATTTTATTTTACGATAGTGGCAAACAAGCATACGGCCCGTCTGATGGTAAACAGTTACTATACCATACCTTTATGACACTATTTTTACTGAGTAGTTACAGTAAGGCAATATTTAACAAATAAAAGTTTATTATATCTTACCCGAAAGTCGTCCATAAGTCCAAGCTTCTTGGCCGCTTTCTGGTAAGTCTTGGCATTGGAGTAGCTGACCCTGACCGCGGGGGGGTCGCCCCCCACGGGTAGCGACACGACCTCGTCCGCGGTCCACTCCGGCAGCGCGTACACCGTCGATGTTAGAGATTCGTCGTAGTTTTCCTGTGACGGTACCAATGTATTTTCTTCAAACTCAAAATTATTTATTATATATTATATTTTTTTTTTATCACTATCCCTATCGTCCAGTACGTCTGCCTAGTTCAGTCCAGAAGAACTGACAAGAAAATCAATTGATACATTTTTTTTAAGGTTTTATTATTTTAATTGCAACCAAACAAACTAATAAAATTGTAATTTTGTGTAGTTTTATAAATCATCTTACGTGAAGCAAAAACTTTGAACCTCTTTTTACGAATATTGCGCGGATAGAGGAGTATGAAATTTTGCTTATAGTATATATAGAGAAATACAGAAAGAAAGTATATTAAATCAATAAAAAAAACATTACACACACGTATTTTACACACATGCTTAATTTATTTATTTATTGTTAGTCTGTGGTCAAATTTAGAATAGATTAACAATGTATGTACTTAATATTATTTGTCTATATTCTTACTGAATGTGGAATATAAGCATAATTTAAATTATAGTCGAAGTCCGACCTTAATAGTAGTTCATGTTATTAGTTGACAATATTGTTTTTTCTTTCTTACTATATCAAATAATTTGAGAAAGAAAAATAAACTGTTTTAAATCTGACGCGGTCATTATTTATACGTATAATAAGTATAGTCTGCTGATATGAATATCGAGCGAGTTTCAATAGTAGCAACAAACGAAGACGTGTGAAGGTAGACGAATATGTCTGCCCATAAAAAAATATTATGCATCTACTCGCTGCTCTTCAGTTTACCCGTGATCATGGCGGTTGTAACACTGCCGAAATATCGGGAACTCAATAAAAATAAAATGGGGTAAGATCCCGTGATTTTTACCAATTATATGTATAAGAAAAATAAATTTACTTTTTTTCTATAAGAAATACCTTGAGTAAGTAAGTGAGGTTCATCTTAGTGAACTCTACATAGTCCACGTTCAGTTGCATCGCTCGCAGGTGCATATCGTAGAAGAGGCCCTTACTCACGCCTATCTGCAAAGTTTATTTATTTTTTTATTTATTTCTGGCAACTAGGCCCATATTTGGGGCATTAAAGTCCTCGGGTGGCGATCGCGGACCAGAAGACGCAGCGTGGGAAGGCCTCCAGCAAGGTGGACCGACGATCTGGTCAAGATCGCTGGAAGGCATTGGATGCGAGCACCACAGGACCTATCGTCATGAAGATCTTTATGGGAAGCCTTTGTTCAGCAGTGGACGTCTTCCGGGCTGAGATGATGAAGCCCATATTATAAATACCTAATAGACTAACATACATATGAATTAATATAATAAAACTAATATATTGATATTGTATGTGTGGTCACGGCACTGCTTACGGCAATCAGGAGTTGGTCTCCAACCGATCTATTACTACTTCTACCGCAAGTATAGGGTGCCATCTACACTCGCCCCCTATCGTCCGGTGAAGCTGCAAAGGCCAGCTGCTGACAGCATTAGAATAGTTAAAAAAATATGCTAAAGAATGAATGAAGAAAGGCACCTTTCCGAATGTGAAAGTTCTAGATATTTCTGGACGTATGCATGCTCTGCCGTGCGTGTTCTCTGGATTACGTAGCCAGTCATCGAAGAATCTGGAAACAAATAGTTTTTTATTCAAATATATATAAAAAATACTAGGAAACAAGCTCATGGCACTTCCGATAGTAAGCGTGAAACGTCCCGCTAGCTCGTGTGTAGATCTAGCGGGACGCTTAACGCTTACTATTTTTATTTTATTATTATTAACTACTTACGCACACGCACCTTTTTATTCCATAAAAATGCCACCAAGTAGAACTAACTTACATAAAATTAACTCACACTTCAGTTCTATACAAATCATTACATAGTATAAAACAAAGTCGCGGTCGCCGTCTGTCCCTATGTATGCCTAAATCTTTAAAATTACGTAACGGATTTTGAAGCGGTTTTTAATAGATACGAGTAATTCAAGAGGAAGGTTTACATGTATAATACACGTACACCCGTGCCGAAGCCAGGGTGGGTAGCTAGTACATAATAAAATAAGGCATTAATTGAAGAATCGCAATAGCAGGCAAGATAAGTAATGTTAATATCGTCTCTGAGATAAAAAACTGGATATAATGGAATTTTATGATTAGTTTATGATACTCACGCTTCAGGCCACCGCGGCTCCAGCTCTAACCAAGTGTCTCTCCGCAGCGTCCAGCCCAGGCCCGGGAAGAAGTCGGTCCTGTGCAGCAGCTCCGGCCGGGACATGTCTATGACTTCCTTCTTGCCGTTGTCGTTCCATGCCGATATGCACCTAGAGGAAGGGGATTGTTAGAAATGTGAAATAAAACTATTCTATTATCATCCAATAAAAAATATAAATACTAGCTGTGATCGCGGTTTTACCCGCGTGAAATTTATAACCTATATGTTATTCTGATGTATATACAAGCTATATTACTGTAAAATTTCATCAAAATCTGTTCAGTAGTTTTTGCGTAAAAGAGTAACAAGCAGGGATGTTACGGATATGTAATTTCGGATACGGATAGAGTTCGGATAGGATCGGATACTGATGCGGATATGAAATTATTTCGGATTATCCGTTAGTTTCGGATAATTTCGGTTACGGATATTATTTTTTTAAGAAATTTCAAAAGAATAATACAAATAGCTAAAGAAATGGCCACATAACGTGTCTCTATTAAGCTCCGCCCCTATCCGATATTATCCGAAACTTTTATTTCGGATTCGGTTACGATTACGAATATTTTTTTTTTATATCGGATATCCGATAGTTTCGGTTACGGTTACGGAGTTCCCTAACATCCCTGGTAACAAGCATCGATACGTACTCACAAAATTTCGCGTTTATTATATTACATATTAAAATATCCTTATTAATATTATAAATGCGACAGTAACTCTGTCTGTCTGCCGCGCTTTCACGCCAAAACTATAATTTTAAATGAATTTTGGTGCACAGATTGTCTAAACCCCGAGAAAGGACACTATTTTTAAATGCAAGAAAGGGTTGTAAGGGGTTGAAAGGGGACGCGAAAGGTTGTATGGAATTATAGTCATTGTTAAAGCTACTAGTAACTTATTTTTTAGGCTGTTGATGGAATATTATATAAATATGACAAAATATCATCATAAAAAATTTATCAATGATACTCATTAATTAAAGAGCATGATGGAAGATCGCGGAAGTGGCAAGAGCTCCACCAACAAGAGCGTAGCTCTTAAATTATGAATGAATGAATGAACTCATGAATACAAATACGTATTACATCGACCCCAAATAAAAGGGATAAGGAAGAAGCCGATGATGATGACTCATGAATACAAATGTTTGTACCGTGCAAGGAATTGAACCCGAGACCGGTGGAAGTAAAGCGGTGTGCTAAACCGCTAGACCACCGAGGCCGATAATTTAAATTGGTCTACATTTACATATGTTCACAGATACATACCACAGACTTGAATCCTTCAGCAGCAGTGAATACGTGCCTCGAAAGTACTCGAAGAAATCTTGAGATATGTCCAAGTCATCTGCGAATAGCACAAAGTATCTTTTACGTTCAAGTTTTGTTTGCTTTTGCAATAGCATATGCTGGTGGTCACTCTATTCTCCCAAATATGAACATATAATTGTAAACATGTACAATATTTATTTGAATAGAATACGAGCTGAGTTGCTTGTCAGTTCTTCTCATCTCGAAATCATTCCGAACTGACGGTAGATTTAACATATCAGAAGAGTCTGTAGTTGATCTACATGAATAAATATTTTGAATTATACCTATATGATATATGCTATAGTAGCAGAGATTGATAATTTGTAAGTACTTTTGAATTGTATTTTTAGAATAAAATAGAAAATCCTTTATTCAAATAAACTTAATTTAAGCACTTTTAACTAGCCACTGTTATCGTTCTTTTAATCTACCACTCATTCGGAAAGCTCCCTTATAACAAGAAGAAACCTGCACATTGCTCTTTTAAATAAATGTTGGTTTGGCTCTTTTAAATTAACTTTACATTTATAAGTAAATAACTTTACAAGTATGGATGTTTGCTACAAAAACCACTGAACCTAGATGAAACGTTACAGTAATATAGCTTATGCATCAGAATAACTTATAGCCTATAAATTTAACGCGGTGAAACCGCAGACATAGTCTAGTATACATTAAATTAGTCGTGGTGATTAAAGCAGACCAGTCCCTACAAGTAATTTTCTTACTGACCTTCGACAATAATAACAGCTTCATGCCCCAGCGTGTTGAAGACGTGGTTCAGAGCGAATTTGTAATGTCGCGCTATTTTGTAGTACCCCCGGAACTTGACCTTGGCGCGGGGGAGCGGTATCTCTGAAGTGTCTGGCTGCTGGACCACAGTGATGCTGGGGTCTGTATCCGTGAAGCTCTTTATCACTTGGTAGGTTGCATTGTGGCCGCAATCCTAGAACAAGTAAATAATGGGATAGACATTTTTTTGCGGACTACTCTAATGCTGTTAGCCGCAGCTGGCCTTTACAGATTCACCAGACGGTAGTGGGCAAGTGTAGATGTCAGGCTGAACTCGCGGAAGAACTTATGGAGCGGCTGAAGGTCAACTATCGCGTGATGGATAAGACTTTAGTCTGAGGGCATCGCTAGGGATTCGAACCTCGTCGTAATTTCGATCTCTATTTGAATTGGACGAGGTTCGATCGGAGGGGCGGGATAACAATCGTGATGGTGCGTATTTTTTGAAAAATGTAACGAATTCCTTGACGAAGTGTATTTTATTTTTTAATTATATGTAATAACATTTAGTAAACATTTAATAGTAATAGTAAAATAATAATAGTACATTTTTAATGAAATAACAGTTTTTTACTATACGGTACATACACCAAAATAACATTTTTTTTAATTTTCATGTCCCGGCTAATCTCTGAAATGGCTGGACTGATTTTGACGGGACTTTTTTGGTAGGTAGCTGTTGTATAATAAGAAGTAACTTAGGCCACTTTTATTTTAGAAAAATAAAGTTAAATTCCACGCTGGCAAAGTCGTGGGAACAGTTGTGTATGTATTTTTGATATATTCTTTTTGTAATAATATTTTAGAAATAGAAATAGAAATGGAAATAATCTTTATTCAAATAAACTCATTACAAGCACTTTTGAATAGTCATATTTTGATTCTACCACTCATTCGGAATGCAGATTCATCACAAGAAGAATGAGCAAGAAACTTGTGTGTTGCTCTTTTTAATAGATGTTTTTTTTTAAATAAATAATTACATTACATCATTAATTATTAATTTATATTTTGCTGTCGTATTAATCACATTTTTAATTATCTCCGTATGTGTCTCATAAAACCTTCGAAAACATCAGATAGATGTACCTTATGATTTCGAGTGTTCAGCTTCAAAGAGTCTGTTTATAACAGGTACTTTATTATACATTTTTTTTTTATAAATCACAATAAACTTCTTACTAATATTATAAACGCGAAAGTTTGTAAGTAAGGATTGATGGATGTTTGTGACTCTTTCACACAAACTATTGAATGGATTTTGATAAACTTTACAGTAGAATATGCTATTACAATTGTGTTAAATTGAACTAGTTTAATCAGCGGCAGTATATATTTTACACGCACAACGGCTCAAATAAGAGGCTGATTGCAAAAAATGGAGTCCAACATACAACACAGTGGCCGTAGCGTACATACTATGTAGGCTATATAATATCACGCCACGATTTATAGGAGCAGAGCTGCACTAAAAAAAATGCGGCAAAATCGCTGGAAATGGGAAGCAGACGAAGTTACGCGGTTCAACTAGTTCAATGATGCACATTTGCACAAATGCGCATCGTTTTGGTTCTTATCAAGAATTTGTGCATAATTGCATCGTTAAACAGGTTATCGTTTGCATCGTTATCAGCTCTGACCTAAATAAGATTAGGTTGGTACTTAAATTGCAATATAATGTATTCTGTTATTTAATTTCGGAGCCAGTGGTTAGCATACTGCTTTAATTCCAATGGTGCAACCATTGGAATTAAGTACATAACTATTTTTTGATAAAAATATGAAATCAAACTAGTTTTTATTATTCACGACCTTAACGTACGTCATATAATGACGGCCTCCATGGTCTAGCGGTTTAGCCCATCGGCTTACTTCCGATGATTGCGGGTTCGATATCTAGCACGGCACAAACATTTTCACATTCACGAGTATAATTATTTGTAACAGTCTGGCTGTTTTCTATGTAAATTATGTATGTATTGTAAATACATACTGTTAAAACAATAGTAGCAAATCCTTTAAAAAAGGATATCTAAATATTAATATCAATTATCTATAACCCAAGCTCTGCATACCATTTATTTAAAGTTTTACTCATATTATATATCTATACATATAAATAAAATTGGAGTGTCTGTTAAAGAAAATTAAGAACACATCTCTAATGTAAATTATTATTATAATTAAATCTGATTATAGCCAGAAGGGCTGATCACAGATAGAAAAAAAAATCTCGAATGTACTCACCTGACTTACTATAATTGGGAATGTATTTTTATCTGGTCTAAACTTGACCAAGTTGTCCAAACATCGTCTCACTGTCACCCTGTCACACGCTATGAGCAAAACGGGCAGAACTACATTAGCGGTATCTGTAACAAATGCAATTACGTGACACTGATATTAAGGTTCATTTTGAAACAATCAAGCAAACCTTTTTTTTTCATCTAGTTTGGTTTAGTTTGACTTCAATCAATATATTCTTTATTCAAATATTTTTTATTATTTTACCCATGAATGAAGTTGGCTGAGTATGAACTCTCCCATATTTGATTATAATATACTGTGTGAAATAAGGAATTAATATGTTTAAGCTGTATATGACAAATTTGTTACTGTTTAGTTGTAAAAAAGAAAATAATATTTTTTATTTTTGATTCAAATATAGACAAAATATATTGTAATTTGGACATGGACATTTTCCTAATCAATTTTAAACAAATTAAATTCTGTCTAATTAATTTTAAGTTTTTATAAGAATAAATTTTCCTTCTTTATGAGGCAAAACATACTGGGATATGATATTTATTTTACAATTACAACTCTTGTAGGCTACCTATGTTTATAGCAAATTTGAAAATTTTACAAATAAACATAGTGTTTTTATTCCAATCAACCTCAGACTTATCCCAAGAATTATTTATTTATTTATTTGCAGAATATAATGTTACAAGTAGGTCTTAAAATATGAATATTCGTTCAATGTATTCAGCCTGCTAACAGGCGTGATAAATTTATATACATGATTACTTTTATAAATTGAATTAATTGTTCAAAGATTATAAGCCAAACCAAAAGTAAATGTAAAACTGTAAATTTCTCTATATTTAATGATGTGTCATAACTTCCAAGAAGCTTAGAAATATTAAAAGATTCTAAATGTACATATACATATAAATGACAATGGAATGGCACACCCGCCTGCATAGTACATGCTAGTCGGGCACCAGTGGAGGATAACGACCCATTGTGACCAATTCACTATTATTAATCACAATGGTTTTTAGAGCAGATAACATGGCAGATATTTCTAGTAATAGTGGGTCACCAGTTGCCATTACTAATAACTCCTTCCTGCAGGTGGATTGTATTGGTAAATGGTAATTTAAGTGTTTTGTGCATTTATATTAAGTTTATTGAAAAACAAAGATTTCTACATACTTGGCATAAAATTTCGATCATAGCCGCTATCTTTGGCATCTCCATGATAGTTTTCCTCTGTCCTCTTCAAATGTTTCTTCACTTTTTCTAATAAACTATTGCTTTCACTGAGCCGACCTTCAATACGTTTTTCTAAATGTTCTATCCTATTTTCTATTTCTAACAGATTGTGGTCGTTGGGTATTGACTTTGATAACTCTATTACTGACGAATATGACACAATAAACCATATCAACACCAATCCAATACCGATAATCAGTAATTTCTTAATGTTCACTCGCATTTTGAATATGTATTTGTTAGTGTTTCTATTAAGTTGAAAATCGCATTATCGTGTTTGTTACGCTGCAACTTTAGTATACTATATACTTTTGTAACAATAGGAAATAGTTGTATTCAAACAAGTTATATTCAGATTGCAAATATTATAGAGAGCTAGAATCCGGCATTAAATTGTATCACAATACACTTTCACACATTAAGTTCATGCATATAAATAAATCAGCTTAAACACAAGAGATATAGACTGCAAGATGACAGAATCAGTCAATTTAATATATATATAATATAAATTCCTAAATATTATTTTAATTTACATTCTACATTCGAACAACGATAAATGTAGATATAAAGGTAATAACATTTTGCAAATGACAACAAGATTAATTCCATTTGACAGTTCCTGTTTTACCAATTGTCACAAAGTACACTTGAATGTTCACCAGTTACAACAACTTCCTTATAAATCCACCAATCACAAAATTTACTAGTGACTGATCCACCAATCTTTCACAGGAAAACGACACCTTAAAATGTCAAAGTCACAAATGACAGCTCAATCACCATCCACAGACTGCACAGACTCGGCAAATAATCAAATAAAGTAAATAATAGTCACAAGTTCTCCTTTGTTAATTTGTACGACGACTTTTTACAATTCAAATATAGATTGTAAAAAGGCGTCAGTGTGGATACCTCAGTTTCGCTTCCCTTATTTATATTAACTTATTCACCTCAGTATCACTTATTAATATAATTGGAATAGTATACAAACTGACGGCCTAAATAAGCGGTAACCGTTGCCTATGTACGAACTATGGACATAATTTGTCACCTACGTACCACTCATACGTTACTAGAGGACATGTCATATCCCTTAGTCTGTAATTTAAACATAACCACTGGAAATCAGCGTTGTGGGATAACTTATTCATACTACAGTATAAATGCTGAGTGGGAGTCACATTCAGCGTTACCAGTATGTTTTAAGCTTTAGCTTTTAAGTTGTATACTAATAATATTGTGGATAAGAATACTGATGTAATGCTGAATAAATATCTTTATTATTAACTGCTCAATCTGTACACTACAAACTATATTATCCTGTGTTACAAACGAAACTTCTTACAGATATGCGAAATATCAGTCGCCAAACAGCTTGCTTGAGAGGTAAGACTGAGATCCCCAAGCAGATGACTTAAGTTTAGTTGGTCAAATAACACTTGTTTCATCGTTATATAATTGAGACCCTTATTTTGCAGTATCTACATCAAACCCCATGTACCCATATACCTATGTTAATTAATATTTCAGTTTACATGCGAAATAAGAGATACGATAATTGTAATTGGGAAAGTAAAAATAATTATATACATTCACGTTAGTAAAATGTTTAGTCTTTTTTATTCAAATCATTGCAAAGACATTTATTCATGTAAGACATTTTGTTGAACATAAAACTCCTTTGTAATATTGACATATATTATTTGTATATTAAAAGAGAAAACATATTAATAAAAAAGACGACTGCGAAAAAAATGGTGTTTCCTTATTTGCCCTCTGCATAAATAAAATCCCAATACATTTAGCCGCGTATGAAAGTCAAATTTTCTGTATTAATATTTTTTCCCTTATCGTCCAGTTCAGTATACAGATTATATTGAGAAGAACCAGCATAAAGCTCAACTGTAACCAAATAGTTTTACACAAACCAAATCGTTCTTAACTACTCTGATGTGCAAGTCAAAATCGGAGTTTATGCGTTTTGTTTTTGGCAAATATGACATGCAAGTTACATGCTCTGTTCCGGCTCATATATATTTCGCGGGTAAACATTTTTTACATGGAATTCCTAATTCGTCGCCGCCTCATTGACAAAACGAGAAATTTAAATCCTGCAAAGAATGCGGGGTTCTATTCGATAATTACCATTTGGGATAGCACTCTCGCAACATGTTAATAATTATTAAGAACAGTTTTTCTTAAATAGGTTTGTTATGTTGAAAATGTGTTTCACTAGCTGTGCTCGCGGTTTCACCTGGGTTAAATTATAATATATAAATTTCAATATAAAAGTAAAATTATATAAAGAGAAGCGGTTGCAGTTTTCACTATTCTTTGTATTGCAAGCATCGCAATTTTTTTTCGTTTTGTTATTGATGACTACTTATGATAGCTACTAGCAGCGGGTGTACATGTATTATTCATATAAACCTTCCTCTTGAATAACTCTATCTATTAAAAAAAACCGCTTCAAAATTCGTTGCGTAGTTTTAAAGATTTAAGCATACATAGGGACGGACAGACAGCGACACCGACTATTGAATGATTTTGCCCAATTTACATGAAACCTTTTAAAATTATAGCCTATGTGTTATTTTGATGTATAAGCTATATTACTGTAAAGTTTCATCACATGCCGTTCTGTAGTTTTTGCGTGAAAGAGTAACAAGAGTAACATCGACAGCGACTTTATTTTATACTATGTGATAATCATGAGGGAATGCACACGCCTGCGCTAACTGTATACGTGGGGCTCCAGTGGACGATGATAAAATGACCATGAAGTTAGGTCAATCATTTGCCAGAATGACAATTTACCACGATCACGGAACTACGTGGAGATCAACCTATGTCAGGTACATTGTTATCAATGAGAGTTTTTGTTATGCATGATAATGGAATAAAGCAGTAAAGCAGTGGAGGATGATAAGATGAACATGAGGTCAGGTCAGTTAGCCCATTGTGACAAATTAATCAGTACTTTATCACGTTGGTTTCCAGGGGAGGAGGTCGTGGGTGAGGACGTGGAGGTCAACCTGACCAGCTATGTACCATACATAGCTAGTAATGGGGTCATGAGTCCACATTACTAACAATCCCCGTCCCCCCTATGAATGGGGTTAGTCCACATTACTAATATGCACCTTTCCTTATTTAGTGTTATATAACTATTTTGTTCTAATTACTTTATAAATAGTTAAAAATTGTTATTTGTTCCGAATACCACATTATACGAGTACAAAGTCACGGATTAAGCTAGTTCCAATATGTAAAACTTATTAAAAACCCAATATTATGAAAAGAAACTATTTATGTAAATCACGTGCTTTTAATATTTTTAAAATAATTGCCTACAGCTTATTAACTAATTAAGCGTTGCGGGGTTCACAGTGTAAATTACAGGCGCCGGCCGCGCATACCGAAACAATTTCAAACTAAGAACAGCGCGGCGCGCGCAGGTTACTTGTCAAATAGAGCGGAAATTGTCAAATATTTTTATTTCCTTGTTGGGATCTGTGGGGTGATAAATTAACGGTATTTTTTTTTTATTTTTATGTAACTGGAATAATAAACAAGGGGAAGGTTCACCCGATGATAAATGGCAATGTCGTCTATATATTTACAGAGACAGATTGTAGTACCCATTGAACAGCGTCAACGATATTACGGAATAGGTATATTATGAATTGAGTGGGATGTTTAGTGATGCAGACTAGTCGCCTCATTGCCAGTAATATATGACACATTTCTAGCAACGTGGCCACTAGTCTGATCCACCACGTTGTTTTATTTTTTACGTAATTCCTAATTGCAATGGCAAACAATCTGAGGGTCCATCCGATGATAACAGTTACGTATATGAACCGCACTATGGATATTATGCTGTCATGTGACACCGGTGATACCACTCATGCGTTGCCATTTCAGAAGACTAAGATGGACACCATCGTAGTCAATGACAGCCTTGGTTATCCAGCGTTTTAGCACATCAATTTACTCCGGATAGACGCGGGTTCGACGTCGCACGGTGCATAATTTTGTATTCATAATATGTATAGTGTATATATTATTTGTATCGGTCTAGGTGTTTTGTTCCTTTCTTATAGTCTGTAACAACAACAGAAAGTCTGTTTAGCTTGAGATAAAACGGCGTTGTGTGAATTGTTCAGTGATAAAAAAAAATAGATACAGAACCACATATGCGTTCGCCTTTAATCCAACATGGCAGTATATCGGTAACACAGAGCATCGATCAAGTGTAAAAAAAATGAGGTCAAAAAAGCTAGCGCCACGCAGGAACGCACTAATTATGACAAAATGTGTCGGCCGAATGAATGGACGCTCTACATCACATTATTTATTGTTACTGTTATTACTAACATTTGTTTTAGTTATAGTCGCAAATAATATTATGTAATATTATAAACGCGAAAGTTTGTGAATAAGGATAGAGGGATGTTTATTACTCTTTCACGCAAAAATGCTGAACGGATTTTAGGTACTTTATTAGGATAATAGATACTTTTATATGCATTTGGTAAAAATCTGTTAATTTGAAATTACAAACAGTGTTAATAACTCTTTAGTTCATGTAAGGACAATATACGTTCTTTGTCATCTCTAAAACATTAGGAATTAAACGACTGTAAATTTAGACTTCATTGTCAATATATATACATACTTTACTTTCCTCTTTTATTGATGCCCTATCTACGAACCTAATAATTACATATCTATTATTATTATTATATATATTAGGGTTACTGTACTGCCCAATATTGAACAGACATTTTAGTTTTATTTATTTGTATAGATTGTATAAATAGTGATGATTAATGATATCAGCACTCTCTACCAACCTTTCGCAAAGATATCTCTTTACTTGAATAATATCCAAATTTGTACACCAATGGTAACACTAAATGTCATTTATTATTTTTTACGTGACTATTTACATTTATGACTGTCCTTATAGAAAATATGACAAATTAATTATATCAAGGCGACGCATCGCAAATATTGACGTTAGTAATCTCAATTTTTCTCAGCAATTACAAATCATTCGGAGCTGATATTTAGTTAATCATTTTTCACATATTTAACATCATAAACATTGTTCTCGTTACAGGATTGATTAACGTTTGTAGCAGAGTACAATATATCAAAGAATGGTCTTAATAAAATATAAATTAATATGGTTTAAGAAAACGGGACGGGATTAAGAGTCAAATTTTCCATTACATTATACTAAGTACACTATGCATATATAGTATGAGCATGTAATGGGTAGGAATGACAATAAATTTTAAGGAAAGTGTTACATATGAATATGGATCGTCATAAGGGCAAAGGAAGCCAGAAAAAGAGATGGATGGACTGTGTGAAAGATGACATGGTAAGAAAGGAAGTAAATAACGAGATGACTGCGAACAGGGATGAATGGAAGGGAAAAACATATTACGCCGACCACAAATAAATGATATAAGGAAGAAGCAGATGATTAAACTAAGTACACTCTTAAATATAGCCATTCAGAGGTATCTAATAACTGTTTTGCGTTGAAAACCTTCCTCATAGATCAAGTCTACAAGTTATTCTGTATGAATTTTGGTCTCGACTAGTGAGTTGTGGCCATCAGTCGACGTCGCCCATAACGACGGTGGTATCCTGTTGGACCAATTATAACGAGCAACATGTGGGAGGTATGATAAGTGTTACCTAAATGTCGTTTAACTAAAGTTAGTAATTCGTTTTATGGCAATTGCGTAAGGTTTTACAACAAAATACCAGAGTCTGAATCTACCTCCTGTTCTCTTATAAATGTACCTGAAAAAAGATTTAAATGTCATATAAAACACTTCCTTTGCAAAAAAGCTTACTATAAAATTGAAGAATTCGTTGACGATAATATTGTTTTCATATAAAAACTTAAAATCCATACCACTGACAATATTATCTGATTACACTAATAATGAGTGCGTGGCGATTTCTGTGTTAATTATCGCATGCCTCTTGTTATGCTGTAATTATTTATATTAAAAAAAACATATATTCAAAAGAGCAACACACAAGTTTCTTGCTCATTCTTCTTGTGACGAATCTACGTTCCGAATGAGTGATAAAATCAAAATATGACTATTCAAAAGTGCTTGTAATGAGTTTATTTGAATAAAGATTATTTCTATTTCTGCACTCGTTCACGACTATGACGTATGAGCCAGCCATCACTGCGTTCGACCATATTTTAGGGAGCCCAAGGACCGGGCCCACCACTTTTACTATCATGACCATGTCCTTGTCTTATGTTGTTTTTATTAATAACATATACATATAATGTACTATGTGCGAAGTAATAAATAAATAAAAAATAGCTAAGCGATCTCTTCCAGACGACCTTTGGGTAGAGAAAATAAAGATAAAAAAGGTGATAGATACCTGAGTTGCTCGCGTTATAACAGAAACAATATACAACATATCTTATGATAATTAACGTAAACACATATTAATATATATGTATACGGATACCCTTACATTGTCCCCAAGTTATGTTATTGCTGTATTATTTGTGCTATAAAGATTATGGTTATTGTTTACAAAGACACAACTCAAAATGTTTTTAACCAATTTAAAAAATTCTTTCACCTATACAAAACTAAATATTATAGAACTGTTATCTATTTAAAGAAATAAGAATTATTCGTTGTTTTAAACAATTCAAGTGTTGGTAACGACGACAAAGCATATTAGAAAGACAATCAAATCAGCAACTCATTAAGCTGTTGATCACATAAATCAATTAAACCATCCGACCACTCACAATAAATCCGTCCCTGCCAACTCGTGTTCTATTTCAACCACACGACGCGTCCAATTAAACGAACTAACTAAATAATTATCACAATTAATGAACGCGCACATATCTCACTGGGATCCTTAAATAAATTCCAATTTGATTGTCAAAGAGGCGCGCGCGCATCCGTTCACGATCCAGACACACCCACAGACTCTGATTGGTCCAACTCTAATTATATCACAGATGAGATCCCGAACAGCTATTTGCAACGTTTAACATCATACACCACGAAATCATCTTTAAAACTAAAGCATTAAAGATGAAAATCGTTGAAACTACTCTTAAATACGATATACAAAAGTGTCATCCAGAAAGACGCCCATTAACCGAAGCTTTCCATCTTCATTCTGATCAGACACATCTTAAGGAGCAAGCGCTTGAAATTGATCGATATATTGAACCTTATGGCAATAGATATAAGGCTGGATAGTTGGGTGCAAATCATGATGTTTTTCAGAAGAGGCAGTTAACATTCCCGACGCAGTCATTTCAGCGGTCCAATTTGACAAAAACGGATCGTTAAACTTTCGAATTGGATAAAATTATTGCGCGTGAGATATCCCTGCCTACTACTCTCTGGTTTTGGATTTGAAGTACCTGTCTGCTACTCAAACTGCTTTTTGACTCGTCGTAACTCGGACGATTCTTTTATAAAATTTAAAATAATCGAAATGAGTGTTCAAGAAACAGAATCTTCAATGGACGTGGACGAAGTAGAAGGCGAATCAAAAATCGAGAAGACGGACTCGAAACTTCCATTTTCTATTGAGAATCTTCTCGCTGGAAAATTCGATAAGAGTGGTCACGCAAAAGAAATATGTTATACGGACGAGGATAAAGTCAACCCATCGACAAGCGGAAGTGGTGAACTGGATTGTTTTAGGAGTTTTACAAAAAGTGATGTGAACTGTGCGTCGGATGATGATGATGGAGCGAGCTCTGAGAGTTCAGAGCCGGTTGATGTGGAAGGTTCAACTGTAGAAGACACCCAAGATTTTGGAGATGGCAAGGCGGACTATCAACAATCAGGTAATACTTAAACTAATTTTTAAAGTTCTTTTAACAATTATTTGTAATGAATGAAAGAATACTGGCGTAAATGATAATATTACTTAATAGAAGATATCACTTACTCGTATAATTGAAGAAATTCTTATAGACTTGCTGTAATCTGCTAGACTTCGTCCGAGTGGTTTTTAACTTTTTTTTTAAGTAAATTTAGTCTAAGTTACTCCTTATAACATTAGCTATTTACGAGCGAAAGTTCGTTTCAGAGATTAACAAGAACTAACATGGTGAAAGACAAAAAAAGAAAGATAATTTTAGGTGTATCAAAATCAAAATATCTCTATTCGTGTAGGTCTAGTACGGTTCGGAATGATTTCGATATGAGAAGAACGGACAAGAAACTCAGCTCGTATTCTCTTCAAATAAATGTTGTACATATTACAATAATACAGATTTATTTTTAAATTCAAATTTGGAGAATGTAATTACGTTATGAATATTGCTGGTTTTTAAAAATAAGTTTTTAAGTTGAAGATTTTTGTGTAGGTACATAGATATAGAATATATAATTTATATACTTATATAAATTGAGAAGTAACGGTGAGAATATTTGCCTTTGAATTTCTCTTATACTCAGATTCTAAAGCTTCATAGTAGTAGAACACTCTTTACATAATCAAGAATCGATAGAGGGACTCCTCTATCGACGAATGACGAAAAGGTGAAAATCGCGCTACCTCTATACCACTACATGATTAGTTTCATCATTGTACTCCTATTTGTAATATTGTATGTATTCTTTAGATATATAATATTTATGCATTCTTCTTCTTTCTTATCTTCTTGTATATAAAAATGAAATTACGTTTGTTAGTCTCGCTAAAACTCGAAGACAGAACCGATTTAGCTAATTTTGGTTTTGAAATATTTGTAGAACTCCAACGAAGGTTTATTATATGGTGAGAAAATATGCAAAAATTATATCGAAAGTAGTAAAAAATCAATTTTATTTTCCCATACAAATTGTTAGTACCTACCTGTCAAACTTTTATTGAACTTTGACAGTTAAATTCAATTCATTCAATTCTGAGGCGAAATGTATTAGTCATATATATATACATATACAGTCAACCCTCCTATAACGCGGTGAGTGCGTACCGCGTTGTATGGAAACCGCGCTATAAGAAACTCGGATTTAACCATACAAACCAGGCTAATTCGTAGCGCGTTCTATGGAAACCGTCTACCGCGTTGTATGGAAACCGCGCTATAAGAGACTCAGAATAAGTACAAATCACATCATTCGTACCGCGTTATATGGAGACCAATAAATACAAAAGACAAGATAAAAATAAGGAAATGATGAAAAAAATGAAACAAAAACTAAACTAAAAAACTGTTTTCCAACAAAAACAAAAGAAAGACTTTTGTAAAATGATGTAATCTTTCAACACTCATCCTCACTGTCAGATATGAGTCGCCTAACTCGCCTTCTTTTAATGGGCAAAATGTCTTCCTCACTTGGTTGATCTTCACATTGGTTTTAAGCGGGTAAGACATAAGCAGAACGTAGTTTTTCTATAGTTCACGCGACAATGTAGTCAAAAGATCACATATATATCTTTCATGTTACAGTTTCGTTAGACACACACACGCATGGCACGCTGTCGATGCGAAACTATTTAGTTAATAGAAGTGGAAGATAGCGCATGAGGAGCCCCACCCGTGAACCACGCTGATATAAACATATCCAGTTAAAACCATTCATTGGGTGCACGGAAAGAACTGATGGGACGTTGTTGAACGGAAACCGCGCTGTAAGAGTACCGCGTTATAGGAGGGCTGTCGCAATTTCAGCTCCGCGTTATATGGAAACCGCGTTCTGAGAGTACCGCGTTATAGGAGGGTTGACTGTATTTATATATTGTATCTGTATGTGCAGTGTAATTATATATTGTTCTGGACATTAATTCTTTAGTTTTAGTTTTAATTAGTTATTTGTTTTTTACTAGCGACCCGCCCCGGCTTCGCACGGGTGCAATGCTGATACTAAATACACCAAATTACCTAAATTTAACAGTCTTTCTCTACAATATTATGCAGGTATTATACATATAAACCTTCCTCTTGAATCATTCTCTACTATCTACCATCTATTAAAAAAGACCACTTCAAAATCCATTGTGAATTTTTAAAGATTTAAGCATAGGTACATACGGACAGACAACGACAGTGACTTTGTTTTATACTATGTAAAGATTTACACTTCCAATGTCACGCTGTTTTACACTAGAAGAGATTTCTTTTAGAGATAAGTCCTCCTTGGCTAAAAAAAACACTTCAATGTCTGTATTTATAAGTTTAATAAAGAATGTATAAACATCAAACTTATTAACATAGTAAAATTATAGGAATTATTTTTCTAAACCCATTATTTCTTTTTTCTATTATGTTTTAAACGTCTGCACAACCCAATGGTAGTAGGTATGTTCGCCGCAAGCAAATGTTCGTTCTATATCTGAGATGATTTCACAGTAGTACGAGTAGGTAGGTACTAGTTATTAAATTTGGTTTCAATATTTGATTAATTGTTTATTGGAATATTATGAATGAATGAATGAATTATTATAACTGTAACTTATGAATTGTAATTAACGAAGAACGCGCGGAACAACACGAAAGTATAAACAATAATTTTAAATGAAAAAATAATTCAATTTGTAAATACAAATAGAATAATTTAAAAAGAGCACGGATCTTCTTCGTCTTCGTCTGTGGTTACAAAAAAAATTTGGTGGTCTTAGAGATTTGAGATCTTAGATCTCTTTTACAGCGACATTTTTTTCAAACCTGCATACAGTTTAAATAAGAATTTAGTTAATTAATTGAGCCTCTAGTGAGAAATTGACCGAATGAAGAAAAAATATTCAATAATCTAACCCAAAAAAGCAAAGAAAAAGTTTCATCGTTCTAGCTTTAATCCGCTATTTTATAGGGTAATAATTTACAAATTTTGAATGTCATGTTTATTATATTTAATCAACAGCTTAAAAAATAAGTTATAAGGTTGAACTTCTAGGCTTAAAAATGACAATATTTCCATATAAACTAAAAGGACAACAAACAAAAAGGATTGTAAGGGGTTGAAAGGGAAGTTCATCTTCCCTTTCAACCCCTTACAATCCTTTTTCTCGCATTAAAAAGTAGCATATCCTTTCTAAGGATTTAAACTGTCTGTGTACCAAATTTCATTTAAATCGGTTTAGTAGTTTGGCGCGAAAGCAAGACAGACAGACACTCTGTCTACTTTCGCATTTATAATTACTAATTACTAATGTAAGGATTAGTAGTTTTCTAATTATGTAACAGACAATTCACTCAGTTGTCTTTTTACACTCGTGGTTTTGAGTCAAAACTACTTACATGAAAATAGTCAAAGAACCATTTTCACATAATAACTCTAATGCTTTTAATTCGTTCATAAGAAAGAATAGAACAAATTATTAAAAAGACAATCATCGATATTTCCTAATAATTTTTACATAGTATAAACCAGTCGTCGTTGCTGTCTGTACCTACGCTTATATCTTTTAAATTAAGTAACTGATTTTAATGCAGTTTTCAGTGATAGATAGTGTGATTCAAGAGGAAGATTTATATGTATAACTAGCAGTTCCCGCGACTTCGTCCGCATGGAATTTAACTTTATTTTTCTAAAATATAAGAATTATTCTGAAATAAATGTAGCCTAAGTTACTCCTTATTACATCAGTTACCTGCCGAAAAAAGTCCCGTGAAAATCGGTCCAGCCATTTCAGAGATTAGCAGGAACAAACAGACCGATAGACAGACAGACAAAAATTATAAAAAATGTTATTTTGGTATATTCAATATTACAAACAGACACTCCAATTTTATTTATATGTATAGATATATTCGTGTTATAGTGTAGAATAAGCCGAGATACGACTGTTTTATAATTCATTCGTGCGAAGCCGGGACGGTTCACTAATGTTATGTAATATTATGTTATCTGTGCTAACGTATAATAAAAGCATAATTATTTGCTATTCCAGTTACATACAAAAAATTACAGACAAAAAATCCTATTTAGTTAAATCACAGATAACAATACTACAAATTTTACAAAACAAAGAAAGACGAATTTAATTTTCATATGAGGAACAAGTAGGTGTTTGTTCTCTTAAAAATTATTTATTTTGTATTAAATCCCATCTCACTAGAGGCACAAAATTAATTCCTCTCTTTTATCGAAAAACAGATTCTGGAACACCATAGGTTACAAATGCACGTCCATAATTCATACAAAAACCTTTTCACATCGTATTTGAAAAACTGTAACATTCTGTTGTCTCTGCGAGCGCAATCGCGAGTCACTACTATTTTTTGTGTTCATTCATTCCTTCGAATGTAAACGCGCGAAATTCAAGTTATTTCACATTCTTTTAAAATTGTATTTTTTATTTAGATCTTATTTTCTAATGACAAAATCAATCTTAATAGTATTATAAACGCGAAAGTTTCTAAGTATGGATGTTTGTTACTCTTTCACGCAAAAACTACTGAACGGATTGTAATGAAACTTTACAGTAATATAGCTTATACATCCAAATAACATATAGGCTATAAATTTCACGCGGGTGAAACCGAGGGCACAGCTAGTAACTCTATAATTATGTCTTTTCTTTATAGACAGATGTCCACCATTTTGCAATATTAATTAATTGTTTTAAAAAGGCACTAAAACTCCTGATTCAAGAACGCGGAATGCGCAAGCTTGCAGCGCAAGGTTATGCTCGTTGTCTATCTACATTTACATGCTTATTCTTTGCTGCGTGAAAGCCCATTCGCAAATGGAAGAGCGTATATGTAAAGGCAGCTATTACTGGTAGAATAGTAAACAAGCCGACTGCTAATCTGATTAGTGGCTACCGTTACCTGATGCTTGATGACCATGCTGCTGTTCATGTCATATACACGCATGGTCATCAGGCCACATG